TGATGCTCTTCATATTTGTTCAACTTTTTCCGAATAATACAATTAGCTACATTTCCTAGACGTTTTGTAGTAAATTATTGATGTCTGCACAAAATTTTAAATGCATAGCATCGGCACGTGTCCAGTAAGTACGAAACTGGACCAAAAATCGATAATCTCTGGAATCAAGAACAATCCATTACATTTTTGAAGATTTGTCAGCCTTCCTTATTATGCAAATATTCACTAAAATGATTTATTCAACAATTTAAAGGACGTAATCAACACACAAAGCATATGTTCAAAACAAATTTTCACTTTTGCTAAATCATCTTCAGCATTTACTTTCTAGCTGTAATTACTGTAAAAGTTATTATTATGCGTCATCAAATATTTTACTGTCAAAAGCTATTTCTTATTATACTAAGTGACATATAAATCCGAACACCCAGTTTAAATGGTTTTATTTTAATAAAAGTTGGTGAATGTATTTATCTTACTGTTAATAACAAGTGAAAAAATGTTCAGCCTTATCAGTTGGACATTCCGGTTTTTATACTGTTTTTTTTAATTCACTAACGCTCTAAAAATGAATATTTCAGCGGCAGTAAAGAATCAACGTTGGCGGATTTTGGTTCTTGACATCCTTTACGATCGGTTACGATGCCTAGAGTACGGAGACCTGTACGATTTCGTCAACTTAGTGAGTTTGATAGGGGCCGTATATGGGACTTCGGGAAGCTGGACATTCTTTTCGGGCAATTGCAGTTAGAGTGCAAAGAAGTGTAGACACTGTGGTTAGGTGTTGTCAGGCATGGCTTCGAGAAGGCCGTACGCAAAGAGCAAGGGGCACTGGACGCCGCCGTAGAACAACAGACCGTGAAGATCGCCGCCTAAGATTATTGGCTTTAAGGGACCATTTCTCCACTACCAGGTCCATTGCAAATGAATGGTTTGCAGAACACGGAAGACCTATTGGCATGCGAAGTGTTTACCGACGAATGAGAAGTTTTGGCTTGTTTTCATACCGGCCACACTGGGTCCTCCCTTTAACTCGAGAACACCGACGTAATCGCCTTGAGTGGTGCAGACAACGGTCATTCTGGGATCAGGAATGGAACAGTATTGTCTTTAGTGACGAGTCTCGATTTTGTTTAGGCATGCACGATGGTCGTGCCAGGGTTAGAAGGCGACGTGGTGAAAGGAGGAATCCACAGTTTTTTGTTGACAGACATGTTCATCACACTGTTGGAATTATGGTTTGGGGTGCTATAGCTTATGGTTCCAGGTCACCTTTAATCTTCATCAGAGGTAACATGAACGCGCAGCGTTATATCCACAAAGTTCTAGAACCCCATCTTTTACCCTATCTTGACACCCTGGCAGATCCAACTTTCCAACAAGATAATGCCCGACCACATGTTGCAAGAGTCACAATAGACTTCTTTCAACATAATGATGTCACATTGTTACCATGGCCACCAAGATCTCCCGACTTATCCCCAATTGAGCACGTGTGGGATATGATGGCTAGGAGATTGCTCAATTTGCAACGTCCTCCTCAGACTCTAGAAGCACTTCGAGAGGAGTTGGTGGTTGCCTGGAATGAGATACCACAGGAGGACATTGACCACCTGATCAGAAGCATGCCTAGGCGCGTTGGAGAATGCGTAGCACATCAGGGTGCATCCACACATTATTAAAGGTCAAAGGGCTTTAAAGCAGTGCAATCATTTTGAAATTTTTATCATTTACTTATTATGCTTCATTAAGTACTTATACAAAATTTTATTAAAATAAAACCATTTAAACTGGGTGTTCGGATTTATATGTCACTTAGTATATGTCTATACTTTGATGCTCTTCATTTTTGTTCAACTTTTTCCGAATAACACAATTAGCTACATTTCTTAGACGTTTTGTAGTAAATTATTTTTCATTTCACAAATTTTAAAAATAAATAAAAATCGAGACGATCAAGCTATTGACATTCTTGAACTTGATGTCTGCACAAAATTTTAAATGCATAGCATCGACACGTATCCAGTAAGTACGAAACTGGACCAAAAATCGATAATCTCTGGAATCAAGAACAATTTTTTACTCAACAAATTTAAAGGACGTAATGAACACACAAAGCATATGTTCAAAACTACAATCTTAAACAGTGTGACCGCTAACAAATTTTCACTTTTGCTAAATCAGCATTTGCTTTCTTGCTGTAATTACTGTAAAAGTTATTATTATGCGTCATCAAATATTTTACTGTCAAAAGCTATTTCTTATTATATTCCTGACTGTTAGTATAGCTTTTTAGAATACAATTTTTTGCGTATCTGTCAAGGTAAATTCATTTTATTTCACTTGTACAACGTTTCGGCCATCTAAGAAACCCTCAGGTACATAAAGCATTTTTCTAATGGGTTCAAGCAGTACCAAAATCTTAAAAACTGAACAATAAACCCATTATCAAAATACTTAATTTCATTCAAAAAAGTTACTGTCAAAAGTCTATGTGTATCCAGAGTTCACCTTGCATAAATTTGCGATATTTTGATACTGACAGACAGAGTCATCTATTTCCACTATTTTAAACAAGAACACGTTTTTATAATCTCATTTTTCTTTGTTTGTTGGTCTGCATTTTGAGGTCTATAATGACACATGGCGCTTAGACTTTTCTAAAAATGCACGATTTTTTGGTCCACTTCCTTGATTTTTCTTCGTACTTGTATTATTGGATGTACGGCTCCCCAATGTTGTATCTAGTATGTTTATGATCCTATTTTCGTATTTTTTTCGATCGAAGATTTGGATTAACATTTTTATCAAATCAGATAGAAAAGTTATCAATATGGTTAAAGAAACTAAGAGAATACACACTCAATGTGAATACAAAATATGAAACTTATTGAAACGATAATTCTTTAGAAGAAAAATGTTTCAAAAAATTGGACCAAGAAAGATTGAAACACTTGAACAAGATGTAAAGATGTGATAAATTCATCATCCTAGTATTAATTACGACTGATCAACAACCATAAAAAATGAAATTACAAAGATGCGGTAGACAAGCTTAAAACAATATTCAACGAATATTTCGAATCAAAAATCGCATCACATTTCCAATAATATACAATCTACTGCTACATTTTTTAAAAATACAAAAAGCCACACTGTAGTATCTTGAAAAAATTAAGCTCAACTACTATACAACTTCAAACTTCATCAGGCCCATGAAATAGAAATTTGCGTTAAAAATCCGTTATTTTGGTTTCATAAAATTTTTATATACCCAGTGCTACTCGCATTTCAAGTAAAATCCTGAAACGCCTCATTTAAAATCACATTCTCACGCGTGAAAAACATAACCCTCCTTCTGAGGCAATTATCCAAAAAATCATGGTATGGTTCGCCTTTTTGTATATTTTTGTCTCTCGCTTATACAAACATACCTCTCTGGTTAATATACTAAGTGACATATAAATCCGAACACCCAGTTTAAATGGTTTTATTTTAATAAAATTTTGTATAAGTACTTAATGAAGCATAATAAGTAAATGATAAAAATTTCAAAATGATTGCACTGCTTTAAAGCCCTTTGACCTTTAATAAAGTGTGGATGCACCCTGATGTGCTACGCATTCTCCAACGCGCCTGGGCATGCTTCTGATCAGGTGGTCAATGTCCTCCTGTGGTATCTCATTCCAGGCAACCACCAACTCCTCTCGAAGTGCTTCTAGAGTCTGAGGAGGACGTTGCAAATTGAGCAATCTCCTACCCATCATATACCACACGTGCTCAATTGGGGATAAGTCGGGAGATCTTGGTGGCCATGGTAACAATGTGACATCGTTATGTTGAAAGAAGTCTATTGTGACTCTTGCAACATGTGGTCGGGCATTATCTTGTTGGAAAGTTGGATCTACCAGGGTGTCAAGATAGGGTAAAATATGGGGTTCTAGAACTTCGTGGATATAACGCTGCGCGTTCATGTTACCTCTGATGAAGATTAAAGGTGACCTGGAACCATAAGCTATAGCACCCCAAACCATAACTCCAACAGTGTGATGAACATGTCTTTCAACAAAAAACTGTGGATTCCTTCTTTCACCACGTCGCCTTCTAACCCTGGCACGACCATCGTGCATGCCTAAACAAAATCGAGACTCGTCACTAAAGACAATACTGTTCCATTCCTGATCCCAGAGTGACCGTTGTCTGCACCACTCAAAGCGATTACGTCGGTGTTCTCGAGTTAAAGGGAGGACCCAGTGTGGCCGGTATGAAAACAAGCCAAAACTTCTCATTAGTCGGTAAACACTTCGCATGCCAATAGGTCTTCCGTGTTCTGCAAACCATTCATTTGCAATGGACCTGGTAGTGGAGAAACGGTCCCTTAAGGCCAATAATCTTAGGCGGCGATCTTCACGGTCTGTTGTTCTACGGCGGCGTCCAGTGCCCCTTGCTCTTTGCGTACGGCCTTCTCGAAGCCATGCCTGACAACACCTAACTACAGTGTCTACACTTCTTTGCACTCTAACTGCAATTGCCCGAAAAGAAAGTCCAGCTTCCAGAAGTCCCACTATACGGCCCCTATCAAACTCACTAAGTTGACGAAATCGTACAGGTCTCCGTACTCTAGACATCGTAACCGATCGTAAAGGATGTCTAGAACCAAAATCCGCCAACGTTGATTCTTTACTGCGGCTGAAATATTAATTTTTAGAGCGTTAGTGAATTAAAAAAAAGCAGTATAAAAACCGGAATGTCCAACTGATAAGGCTGAAAATTTTTTCACTTGTTATTTACAGTAAGATAAATACATTCACCAACTTTTATTAAAATAAAACCATTTAAACTGGGTGTTCGGATTTATATGTCACTTAGTATAGATAAAATCACACATGCAACTTGAATACTAGTTAACGTTTTGGATACCATGAAAGTTATTTGAAATACGAAATGAACAATACATATACTAAATTTTGGTGTTAAAATTTATAAATGATTTCTTCCAGGACCCCACATGGAGAGCAAGATCCAGGCAAAAGACGCAAAAAGTCCGCCACAACGACGTTCTGCGTGGAGATCAGGCCAGGCGGTGCAGAAACCAAACCGTTCCAGATTTGCGAGACTCCCGAGCAACAGAAGCCCCAACCACCACCACAGCAGCACTACCAACCTCAACCGCAACCACAACCGCAGCAAGGCTACCAACAGCAAACCTACCAGCAACAGCATTATCAGAGCTACCAACAGCAGTTGAAGCCTCAAAAGGCGCTAACCATCGAGGCACCTCAAGAATTACCCCAGCAACCCGCCAAAAATTTACCCGGTAAGCATAAATTTGCTTTATTATTTTATTTATGTAAGTGTTGTAATCGCTAAAAATTTAGAAAATCTTGATAGGCTGTATTTCGGTGAAGAACTTTGAAAAAAGCACCTAAACATACCTTAGTTCAAAATTTGATAGTTTGCTAGATACAAGGTGTCAAAGTTACAATTTTATTTTCTATTTTCCCTTATTGCTTGAGAAGTATAACTTTTATGTGCTGGCCTGTACGCAACAACTGATCGAAAAATCTTATTTTCTCGTATTTCCACAACAAAAAAGGTTCATTTGTTAGAAGTAGTAGTAGTAGAAAGATTTATTTAGCACATTTGGCTACATAAACAGAACAATTGTAAACAACTTAAAACTAGTAAATTCAAGCCATACGGTGTATGATGTAAATGCTGGGCAACCTATAATTGTAGATTTAACAAGTGATTTCTCAATTTTACTTTAAATTTTGTCAAAGTTTTCTGGTCTTTTATCTCCGAGTATAATTTATTATATTCAATCAACCCTTGATGGAATACAGATTTGTAGCATATGTTATACTTTTTGGTCATTAAATGGAGGTCATCTTTATTTATGGTATAATGTAAATGATGGTCGACATTTGATGATGTTAAATTAGTTAGACTTGATGGAAATATATTAATTTTTACTTTATAAATGAATATCATTACAAGATATTTAATAAAAATTTTTACATTGAGCCATTTTAATTTGCTAAGCATTTGCCTAATTGGAGTATATTTATCTTTATTTAGTATTATTCTCATGCACTTATTTTGTAAAATTTGCAGTCTTTCAAAAATGGAATTATTTGCTAAATATAGAATAGTCGAACAGTACAAGAAATTTGGAAGAATGATGGTATTATAGATAATTTTTCTGCTATATGAACTCAGACATCCAGAAACTCTCGATAAATATCCCACTTTACTACTAATCTTATTTATAACTTTTTCATAATGAATATCAAAAATTAATCGAGAGTCAACAAAAACCCCCAGGTATTTAAAATTTTCTACGAATTCAATATCTTCACCATCAATATTCAGTTGAACATTTGTACATTGTTTTTTTCCGATTAACAAGGCTTTCGTTTTACTTGCATTTAATTTTAGTCTGTTAGATGCTAACCATTTTGAGACAAGCTTCAAGTCTTCATTTATATAAGAGATACCAGACTGAATATTTTTAGTACTTATATAAATCATAGTGTCATCGGCGAAAATATGAATTTTGCATTTTTTTACTATGGCAGGTAAATCATTTATGTATAAAATAAAAAGAAGTGGTCCCAGGATACTGCCCTGTGGAACACCCAACGTATTTTCAATTTTTGATGAAATAGTGTCATTAACTTTTGTAACTTGCATCCTTTTAGTCAAATAATTTCTAAACCAATCTAAAACACTTCCTGTTATACCATATGCCCTCAATTTACCTAACAAAATATCTCTATCAATCGTTTCAAATGCCCTCTTCAAATCCAAAAATACTGCTATGACAACTTCTTCTGAGTCTATGGCTCTTCTCCAATTCTCAGTTACCAACTGGAAAGCTGTTTCTGTGGAATATTTTTTTCCACTAAAATTTTGTTTTCTTCTATAAACTGCATTAATTGGTCATGCACTATGGACTCTAATAATTTTTCAATGTCTTGTAACACATTTACTGGTCTCATATCGCTGCATCTGTTAGAATTTTTTATTTTGGGAACTGGTGTTATTGTAGAGCATTTCAAATTTTCAGGGAAAGAACTGCTTCTCAGTGAACAATTGATCCAATTTAATACAGGATATCCCAAAATTTCGAAACAGGTTTTCAGCACGTTTTTAGTAGTCATTTCGGCACAGTTGTTATTTGATTTTAAACTGTTTACTTTTTTTCTTAGATAATTCAATGATACGCTGTGAAATTTTGAAAGTGTATGCAACATTTCATTCTAAAGGTAATAGTTTTCGAGACGGCAGTCACCCAGGAAAACGTCGATGCTGTGCGCAAACTCAATATTGAAGATAGACATGTGACATATCGCGAGATTGAGGCGTCCTTGAAGATCTCAAAGACCTCAATTCAAAAAATTTTACATGAACAATTAGGAGTAAGAAAATTAGTTTCTCGTTGGATACCCCACCTGTTGACTGAAGAGCAGAAAGCAGCAAAACTTAAAAGACATCCCTCGTATCAATGTTCGGATGTTCAATGCTTACAAGAGCATTCGCTCCCACAAGCCCACAAGCGCTGCTCAAGTGTTTAAGCATGCCGCTGACACTCCCCACCCCTAGACAGATCCTTTCGAACAAGACCGTATATCGGACGCTTCATTAACTTTATCAATTTTCCAGCTCAAGGTTACGGCGCGAGCGTGCCAGTGAAGGTATACGCCCCCATCCCCGCCGCAGCAGTCGCCCCGAAACCTTACAACTCTCATTACCGCGAGGCCAAGGAGGAAACCGCAGAAGTCTCAGCCGCCAAGGCGGCTAAAGTGATGGCGATCACCTCCCGCGCCAAGGAGGTAGTCGAAGAGAAAGAAGAGCATCACGAGAGACAAGAAGCTCACCATCACGAAGACGAGCATAAGCAACGGTCTAGCTACGGAGGAGAACAATACATCCCTGCCACGTCGTACATCCCGATGGCGCACAACAGACCGAACAGGCCTTCGGGGCATCATTCCGGACACAATGGATTGGTCATTACTTGCCAGCCGAACCTAGCTGGGTTTGCGCATAATGTGCCGTCTAGCGTCCACCATCCGCCAGCCACCACTTACTACAGGTTAGTACAGGTTTATCTATTTTTCCGCACTTGACAACTTGATTTCAGGATGATTAACTGTATTCTGTCTGAAAATGTACATTTATAGGTACTGCAAGGTACATCGGTCATTCCTCTGCCTTGCGCAGCATTTAAGGTGAATTATACAGGGTGTAAACATTATTGAAATGGGTAATGGGGGGGGGTCCAAACAAGTCAAAAAGTTCATATGACCCATGGTCTAAAAGTCAATAGATGTTTTATATCGACCACAATTACTACAATCTTACTAATGTTTATAATCTAATCTAAAACGTGTTTAAATTGGGTAAAGAACAAATAAATGGCATTAAGTTTTTCTAAGTTAAGCCAAAATTTGTAGTCAGTAAGTTTCATTACATTGAATATTTAAAACACACATGACAACACCGCATCGGTTATCATCACGCTTATCGAACCGGCAATCGATCGCAAACGGTAACAGTGGTTAGTATGTTGTTTTGTTTTTGTTCGCGTACGTCGTCGTGTTTATTTACAATGTTCTCGAATCAAGAGTTCGCCGACATCACCCATTTAAATAATGACTATCATAACGTATTACTTGCAATACCTAACAATATACACCTATTATACGGTATGATCTGACCAGACTACAAGGTTGGGCGATTGAGTTGAGACGATTTTAGAAAAATCATAGAAAAAAAACTACAAGGCTAGGGAAGATTCTATCGTTCGTTGTACTGCTCGAAATGGGCATTCGAAATTTAGCATTCAATTTGTTCATACCAAATTATGTACTAAATGCTGTCTGATACTATCCTTAATTTTGTACGAAATTTGGCACAAAATTTCGTATCGTGACATACAGCCTTAAAGTTTGTTTAAAATACATAATTTTGAAAGGAGGTACGTATTTTTATGTGCATACATGTCGCCCTGGGTGTGACGTTTGACGCTTGTTCAAGTCGACTGGTCGGCGAAACATTGCAACAAGCTGCATTATGAGTGTTTTTCAGCTCTTGTTATCATTTTAAATATATTATGATATAATTTTTTTTTGGTTCTCAAATATTGGAATTTGATATAAATAATTAGCAAAAATCCAAGCCACACCTGGGTAACTTTGACCATTTTGGCTAGAAATATTAACTTCCGGTTTAGTAGCAAGTTTTTTAATTGCAGTCTTTTTTATCGAAAAGTACAATAAATTTCGTATATACAGGGTGGGCCATTAAGTTGAACGGATTTTAAAAAATCATAGAAAGAAGCTTCAAAGCCTAAGGAAGATAATCTATATTTTTAATAAAGTGGACTCATGGGATTTTATTTTTTAAAAATAACATCATTGAGATGCCAGTCATCCAGACGTAAACACTCCTCGAATCATGACGTATTCGGTTTATTGGCGTAAACGCGGCTGTTGAAATATCTCCAGAAAAAAATATCCAGCAGCGTGAAATCTGGGGTCCTCGTCGCGTTATCAGCTTTCCACTAAACATTTCGTTTGAAACCAGGTCCTGCTACGGTAGGCTTCAAAATTATGCGGTTGTGGAAAGGAAAAGTTACGTAGCATTGTTGTCCAGCGATTAGAATTTGCTGTTACAGTCTGGCCTTGCTCATTTTCGAAGAAATAGGGTTTGATGATTCCTTCAGACAGCATAGCCGTCCAAGCTGTAACATAACGTGAATGCAAAGGTCATTAGTGTCTTAATTTGGGATTTTCTGCGGCCCAATACCGGCGATTTTGCTTGTTGGCAGATCCACTTAAATGAAAATGGGCTTCATCAGTTGTTCAAACTTGGAAAGCGCTCCAGCATTGTTCCGGCACACGCTCGGCGTAGATGGTGGCCTTGCGGTTTCAATTCCTGCACTAGTTGAAGTTTATACGGATGCAATTCAAGGTCTTTCACCAAAATACATATGTCCTTGATATGGCGAGCACAGCTGATCTCTGCCGGGACGATAACTGTGGATCGCGCCGTACCGATGTCGCAACTTCGCTTACAGTTTCCCCTGTTCGCATTGACCCAGGTTTCTGATTCAGTGTCGAACCGGTAGACCCGGAACTTCCTGACCCACGACCTGGTCACACTTTCACTAGGACATTGATTTAGATCAGCCTTAACACAAAAAGCACGCTGCTCACCGGCGAAACGCTCCATGGTGACTAAATTTCCCAGCAAAAAAATCAAACGTAATGATTATACAAGGTACAAAATTCGAGGCACAGTAGAACCGGTAGACCCAGAACTTCCTGACCCACGAGCTGGTCACACTTTCACTAGGACATTGGTATAGATCAGCCTTAACACAGAAAGCACGCTGCTCACCGGCGAAATGCTCCATGGTGACTAAATTTCCGAGCAAAAAAATCAAACGTAATGATTATACAAGGTACAAAATTCGAGGCACAGTAGAACCGGTAGACCCGGAACTTCCTGACGCACGACCTGGTCACACTTTCACTAGGACATTGATTTAGATCAGCCTTAACACAGCAAGCACGCTGCTCACCGGCGAAACGCTCCATGGTGACTAAATTTCCGAGCAAAAAAATCAAACGTAATGACTATACAAGGTACAAAATTCGAGGCACAGTAGAACCGGTAGACCCAGAACTTCCTGACCCACGACCTGGTCACACTTTCAATAGGACATTGGTATAGATCAGCCTTAACACAGAAAGCACGCTGCTCACCGGCGAAACGCTCCATGGTGACTAAATTTCCGAGCAAAAAAATCAAACGTAATGATTATACAAGGTACAAAATTCGAGGCACAGTAGAACCGGTAGACCCAGAACTTCCTGACCCACGAACTGGTCACACTTTCACTAGGACATTGATTTAGATCAGCCTTAACACAGAAAGCACGCTGCTCACCGGCGAAACGCTCCATGGTGACTAAATTTCCGAGCAAAAAAATCAAACGTAATGATTATACAAGGTACAAAATTCGAGGCACAGTAGAACCGGTAGACCCAGAACTTCCTGACCTACGACCTGGTCACACTTTCACTAGGACATTGATTTAGATCAGCCTTAACACAGAAAGCACGCTGCTCACCGGCGAAACGCTCCATGGTGACTAAATTTCCGAGCAAAAAAATCAAACGTAATGATTATACAAGGTACAAAATTCGAGGCACAGTAGTTCCTCAGCCGCATGAATCTATAATGCAGCGGTCATATCTCTATTTAGCTCCAAAATTTTATGAAAAAGAAATTTGAAAAAGTGGCTAAAATTCTATATCTAGGACTGAATTTCATAAGCTGATGAATAGGAACATCAAGTAAATACATAATCTAATGGGAGTAATTTTTTAAAATTTGTATTCTACAGTTGCAACTTAAAATTATTGGTCAATGTACAGGCAACGCCTCCTATTGGGTCTGTTTTTTAATCTATATTTATTTACTCATATTATTCTTATAATATAATTATATTAAGTGACATATAAATCCGAACGCCCAGTTTAAATGGTTTTATTTTAATAAAAGTTGGTGAATGTATTTATCTTACTGTAAATAACAAGTGAAAAAATTTTCAGCCTTATCAGTTGGACATTCCGGTTTTTATACTGCTTTTTTTTTAATTCATTAACGCTCTAAAAATGAATATTTCAGCCGCAGTAAAGAATCAACGTTGGCGGATTTTGGTTCTTGACATCCTTTACGATCGGTTACGATGCCTAGAGTACGGAAACCTGTACGATTTCGTCAACTTAGTGAGTTTGATAGGGGCCGTATAGTGGGACTTCGGAAAGCTGGACTTTCTTTTCGGGCAATTGCAGTTAGTGTGCAAAGACGTGTAGACACTGTGGTTAGGTGTTGTCAGGCATGGCTTCGAGAAGGCCGTACGCAAAGAGCAAGGGGCACTGGACGCCGCCGTAGAACAACAGACCGTGAAGATCGCCGCCTAAGATTATTGGCCTTAAGGGACCGTTTCTCCACTACCAGGTCCATTGCAAATGAATGGTTTGCAGAACACGGAAGACCTATTGGCATGCGAAGTGTTTACCGACGAATGAGAAGTTTTGGCTTGTTTTCATACCGGCCACACTGGGTCCTCCCTTTAACTCGAGAACACCGACGTAATCGCCTTGAGTGGTGCAGACAACGGTCACTCTGGGATCAGGAATGGAACAGTATTGTCTTTAGTGACGAGTCTCGATTTTGTTTAGGCATGCACGATGGTCGTGCCAGGGTTGGAAGGCGACGTGGTGAAAGGAGGAATCCACAGTTTTTTGTTGAAAGACATGTTCATCACACTGTTGGAGTTATGGTTTGGGGTGCTATAGCTTATGGTTCCAGGTCACCTTTAATCTTCATCAGAGGTAACATGAACGCGCAGCGTTATATCCACGAAGTTCTAGAACCCCATCTTTTACCCTATCTTGACACCCTGGCAGATCCAACTTTCCAACAAGATAATGCCCGACCACATGTTGCAAGAGTCACAATAGACTTCTTTCAACATAATGATGTCACATTGTTACCATGGCCACCAAGATCTCCCGACTTATCCCCAGTTGAGCACGTGTGGGATATGATGGGTAGGAGATTGCTCAATTTGCAACGTCCTCCTCAGACTCTAGAAGCACTTCGAGAGGAGTTGGTGGTTGCCTGGAATGAGATACCACAGGAGGACATTGACCACCTGATCAGAAGCATGCCTAGGCGCGTTGGAGAATGCGTAGCACATCAGGGTGCATCCACACATTATTAAAGGTCAAAGGGCTTTAAAGCAGTGCAATCATTTTGAAATTTTTATCATTTACTTATTATGCTTCATTAAGTACTTATACAAAATTTTATTAAAATAAAACCATTTAAACTGGGTGTTCGGATTTATATGTCACTTAGTATATTATGCTTTCTAGTTCATTTCGGTGAACTAGTTCAATAGGTCGCGCTCACTATAACGAACTAGTTCGCGAATGAACTATTTTACAGTAAAAGCGTCGACTGGCAATCTGTCGTCCGATGCATTACTTCATACGTTCATAAAACCAAACATTACAGACATAAAAAATATTTGTTAGAATATTTTGTCGCCAAAATATCTGTTGTTTTTTGGAGTAACTCAACTATGCATCGCAATTACAGGTCATCAACCAGCAGAAGCTATGGACCATATGGAAGACCACATGCTCCCGTCAGGCCAGTCTACGGATACTACCCACCTCGGCCTCAGCCTCAGCACCAATCCGGCTCTAGCTACTCTGTGACGCAGCAACAAGAGGTCAAAGTTCTACCACAACCTCAAGCTATGATGACAATTCCACAAGAACAGCCTGCAGCTCCCCAACAGCTTTTGCCCGAGCCTGAACCTCAGAGAATTCTGCCAGCACCTCAACCTGCTTATGGAGCACCTCAACAACAGCCTCAGAGACTTCTGCCGGCACCTCAACCAATATTCGAGCTGCCTCAACAACAAACTTTTATCCCCCAACAGCAACAGCCTCTGAGAATTCTGCCTGCACCTCAACCAATGATCGAGCTGCCGCAGCCTGCACCACAAGAAACTTTTGCTCCACAACAGCAGCAGAAAGTTTTACCAGCACCTCAAACCACTTATGGAGTACACCAGCAGTCTCAGAGAATCCAGTTTGCGTCAACTGCGACGCAGCAAACAGCTCAACTGCCAAGTGCTCCAGCTCCAGTAAAGGTTCAAGTTCCGGTCCAGTATCACCAACCTAGTTACTCTGCACCCTCACCTCATCCTAGCTACCCTGCACCCCAGCCGTCTTATTCCGCCCCTGCTCCTCAGCCTGCTCCCTCCTATCAGCCTCAAGCTCCACCTCAACAGCAGACCTACGTCCCCTCTTCGTACAGAGAAGCTGAACAGCGTACGAAAACTGAAGAGCAACACACGGATAAAGAATCACACACGATCAAAAAGATGGAACAGATGTCCAAGGAAAGAGCTGCAGGAAGTCAGTGGGCTAAAGATCAGGACCCAAAAGAGGCCATAGACGCTACGGTTCAACAATGGAGTCCAGTCATGAGGTCAACTGGAAAACTTGAACATAATGAAAGCGGTCTTCAGATGATGACACATGGAGAGCATGGAGAGCATGGAGGCCATGCCGCTGAAGGTGGTAGAAAAACAACCGAACAGATGGTTGGACAAATGTGGAGTGGAGTAGAAGAGGCAGATCATGCCAAGGAGAATGAAGTTGCAGATGCATAAGTCGTGAAAATTTGTACAGATCATTAATTTATTTTATTTATTCGTTTCTACTATGGATGTCAACAGTTTCTTAATAAAATCGCTCAAAAACAGTATGTTTCTTTAAATACCCAACAAACATGTGTGAATTTCCCAAAAGGTGGAAGACCACGTGCATTTATTGCAGAGAGGACAGAGAGATTGGTGAGAAGAGCTAAAAATCAGGTTGGAATGTCAACAAGTAGACTGACTCGTCAATACAGATCTTCTACGAGTACGATAATGTTGGAATTGAGGAGGACTGGTCTTAAATATCGAAAGAGACTTAAGTGCCCCAAATACTATCAAGCTCAAGTCTTTCGTATACTGATGCTGGTACACATTGTCAATGGAAAGATCATTATTTTTGATGATACAAACATAAAGCGAAATATGCAGATAAAATCCTTGTCTGGTGCGTAATTTTTAACAGGGGTGTATCCCAACCTTTTGTGGAAAGAGTGAGTGGTGAATCTTTGAATCGTCAGATGGTTGGACAAATGTGGAGTGGAGCTGAAGAGGCAGATCATGCCAAGGAGAATGAAGTTGCAGATGCAAAAGTCGTAAAAATTTGTACAGATCATTAATTTATTTTATTTATTTGTTTCTACTATGGATGTCAACAGTTTCTTAATAAAATTGCTCAAAAACAGTATGTTTCTTTAAACACCCAACAAACATGTCTGAATTTCCCAAAAGGTGGAAGACCACGTGCATTTACTGCAGAGAGGACAGAGAGATTGGTGAGAAGAGCTAAAAATCAGGTTGGAATGTCAACAAGTAGACTGGCTCGTCAATACAGATCTTCTACGAGTACGATTATGTTGGAATTGAGGAGGACTGGTCTTAAATATCGAAAGAGACTTAAGTGCCCCAAATACTATCAAACTCAAGTCTTTCGTATACTGATGCGGGTACACTTTGCCAATGGAAAGATCATTATTTTTGATGATACAAACATAAAGCGAAATTTGCAGATAAAATCCTTGTCTGGTGCGTAATTTTTAACAGGGGTGTATCCCAACCTTTTGTGGAAAGAGTGAGTGGTGAATCTTTGAATCGTCAGATGGTTGGACAAATGTGGAGTGGAGCTGAAGAGGCAGATCATGCCAAGGAGAATGAAGTTGCAGATGCATAAGTCGTAAAAATTTGTACAGATCATTAATTTATTTTATTTATTTGTTTCTACTATGGATGTCAACAGTTTCTTAATAAAATTGCTCAAAAACAGTATGTTTCTTTAAACACCCAACAAACATGTGTGAATTTCCCAAAAGGTGGAGGACCACGTGCATTTACTGCAGAGAGGACAGAGAGATTGGTGAGAAGAGCTAAAAATCAGGTTGGAATGTCAACAAGTAGACTGGCTCGTCAATACAGATCTTCTACGAGTACGATAATGTTGGAATTGAGGAGGACTGGTCTTAAATATCGAAAGAGACTTAAGTGCCCTAAATACTATCAAACTCAAGTCTTTCGTATACTGATGCGGGTACACTTTGCCAATGGAAAAATCATTATTTCTGATGATACAAACATAAAGCGAAATTTGCAGATAAAATCCTTGTCTGGTGCGTAATTTTTAACAGGGGTGTATCCCAACCTTTTGTGAGGGGTGAAGCTTTGAATCGTCAGCTCTATATTGATAACTGTCTTTCCAAATTGCTTCAATTTGTCCACCAACATCATGCTAATGACCATGTCATGTTTTGGCCAGACCTAGCATCTTGCCATTACTCAAGGGATACCCAAAACTGGCTTCAACAACACAACTTACCTTTTATTCCCTAAAACCTTTCAAAAGAACCAAGAGTCGTTCTATGGTTGAACGTCAGGCAGGCTATCTTTCCTAAGCAAAGTCGTCATCAGTTCATTATGAATTAGGTTTAGCGCAATTTAAATCAGTTATGAACGTGCACAGCAAAGAAATTTAAACAGATAAGTCAGTCGAAAAGGCCCACATATTATAACATAAACATTCCCTCCCTGCCCTACCGATAATTAGTGTCCATTTGGCAACGTTGTCCTTTTCCACATCTGCGCGGCACCGCATTCTATACATAGTCCGTGTTTATGTTTTTTGCGGTGCAGTACGGAAAGATTAGTCCGGACGGTGAGATTAGATAGCAGGAGTAGAAGGATCGAAGACATTTTTAAACTAAAAAAAATTTACCTTAACAGGGAACTTTCCTCGCACAAATGCAGGAGGTACGTAAACTGAAAAAAAGTACGAGGGCGGTTCAATAAGTACCCGTAATTGACGACAGAGGGCGTTCCTGAGGGAAGTTAATGTTATCATCGTGTGCTGCCATCTATCAGACGACGGCACAACAAATTTTAGACTGATTGATAGGTTAGTTTGGATTTGGCAGTAACACGATTTTCGCTAAGATGGAAAAAGTATCGTTCGGTAATCCGCTTTTTGTTTTTGGATGGGAAAAGTGCGAGGAGATAAAAGCGAAGTTAGATGCTATTTATGGGGACATTTCGCCATATATGACCACAGTTACATGTTGGTTTACGAATTTAAACGTGGGCGAACATCCGTTTTTGATGAGGACGTGGTTACCGAGGAAATCATTCAAAAAGTCCACGACATGATTCTCGCTGATCGACGAACGCAAGTGCGCGAAGTAGCAGAGGCCGTAGGTGTGTCGACCGGAACAGCAATCAATATTTTACATGATATGTTGGCTATGAAAAAATTGTCGGCTCGATGGGTGCCGCGATCGCTCACGGTGGACAACAAGCGGATGCGGCTGTTAACTTCGAAGCAGTGTTTGGAGCACTTTAAGCGAAATCCGAAGGAGTTTTTGCGTCTAGTTGTCACCGTCGATGAAACCTAGATTCATCATTACACACCAGAAACTAAGCAACAATCAAAACAATGGATTTCTCCCGGTGAATCTGCTCCAAAGAACGCGAAGACGGTCCCATCGGCCAGAAAGGTCCGGGCGATGATTTGTTGGCGTGCAAACGGCGTCATCATCGTGGATTTTTTAGAAAAAGGAAATCGATCACTGGACTATACAGGGTGTCCGCAAAGTTGGGATTTACCTTTACAGGACGTGTAGATCTTGAAAACATAAGCAATTTTTCTTAGTAACATATACACCAATGTCTTAAGGGAACCGAGATAAAGGGCTCTGCAACATCAAAAATATCTGAATACCGTCCTGCAGCCGCGACACGCGACATCACCAAGTGGTACAAGGTCACTGGCTCAACCCGACGACAGAACTGGGTCGGGGTCAGTGTGTCAGGTCAGTATGCTACCTTCAACCGACGGTTACGGTCATGGGGTGAATAACTTTCGTAACACTCATGTTTGGTCAGTAGAAAATCCGCACGCTGTCCGTCGGGCACATTTTCAACAAACATTTTCGGTGAATGTTTGGGCTGGCATGGTGAACGGTATGCTCATTGGACCATGTATTCTCCCAAATCGATTGGACCGGATGCAATACCTAGACTTTTTACGCAACATTTTGCCTTCCTTGTTAGAAGATGTGCCATTAAGTGTAAGACAATCAATGTGGTTTCTGCACGATGGTGCACCGCCCCATTTTAGACGCGAAGTGCGTGAGTTTTTGAATGAATTATTTCCGAATAGGTGGATCGGACGTAATGGACCCGTAGCGCATTAGCTGATTTCATTTTCTGTTGGAGCGGTATGATTTCGGGCAGAGACGTACTTAGCCCTTCTCGTCAACTGGAGAGTGAGTACTTTTTCCTTTATTTTTTTTTTACTTGGTCGCCCTCGGTTCACTACACATTACCTTTGTTATTTCAAGGGTAGTTGTTTCTGAAAAGGAAAACTTTGCGGACACCCTGTATATAGTAAGTTATTGGACCGCTTCGACAAAAAATTGAAGGAGACATTTGACGAAAACGAAGGTGCTGTTTCACCACGATAACGCACCAGCACATTCATCCGGATTGTCGCCGCTAAACTGAATGAATTGCGTTATGGAGTGTTGTTGCACCCCCCGTATCCACCCGATCTGGCCCCTGCGACTTTTTCTTGTTCCGTGACATGAAGAAATGGCTAGCGGGGAAAAAAATTAGCTCAAACGAGGAAAACGTCGGCGAGACAGAGGCGTATTTTGGAGAGTTCGACAAATCCTATTTTTTGGAGGGTTAAAAAATGGCAGGAACTTTGGGAAAAATGTAAATGGAGATTATGTTGAAAAATAAAAAGAAATGCTGTCTTCATTTCTAAAACGGGTACTTATTGAACCGCCCTCGTACATAGGCAGAACCAGAATGGTTGTTCAAGGAGGAGGGCAAGTCATTCTTAAATGTTTTCCAACTTGCGAATGAGAACATTAATAGTTATGGGATTACTGGAAATGTGCGCACAAGGCAATAAAGGCATGTTTGCATGTTTTTTAATATGCCCCAAAATAAATAAAAATTGTCGGTAAAAATAGCGTCAAGTAGGTTGCCTCTGACTTGCTACGCAACGCCATTATCGGTTCATAAAGCATTATGTTCAGCAAAAACTTGACCCGCTCAGAGAAAATTCATACAATTAGACCATAGTCATTCATTTCCTGAGACAGGCAGACAGAGATATAGACGGCAATGATAGACGTAGTTTTTCGTGATCTACAGGGTGTACAACTAAAAGTGCGAGGTACTGTATCTGGGAACCTATCCATCCTAGAGGCTTGCGGCAAAAACACAGTTATTACCAAAACGGCCAAGAAAAAACCTGGAAAATATTTTCAAGTTTCTGAAATGGCCGTTTCTGTGAATTCGGCTATATTAACCTAACAAAAAATCACCTGATCTTAAAAATCGAGGATAATGTGAACTTTTTTTGTTTGACAATGTTTTCTGTATCTCTAAAAATAAAGTGGTGGGTGGTATTCAAAGGTTTCCGTAAAAAAACATCCTGAGTGTTTGAAATGACTGAGCCGATTTTAACCAACTTGGGCTAGTTAAAAAGAGTTATTCTTGGGCTACAATCGAGATATCATTTGATGTTCCGTTAGTTTCTCATGTGGCCGCTAGAGGGCTTTTTTCGACATCCCGACAGAAACTGTTAATTTTCTCAAAAAAGTTAAATGCATTGGTATGATTTTTTTTTGACGAAAATGTAGCTAAATAACGTCTAAGCGAGCTCGCGAAAACCGCATCTCGATATCAGGCTCCTAACCTAAAGTGTATCTAACGAAGCTACAAAGTAATCATAAACAGTGGTTGATTCGTGATCAACGCGTGATCGGTAGTCATGGCGCTCTGTCGGCCTCTTCCTGATTGGCTTGTAGCGACGAGCCTCCAGACAAACTCGCACGGTTGCCACGCTCGGCGAGTTTTCGCCAGAGTGGTTGATCACAATCGCATGGATCACAAATCAATCTGTTGGTGCAATACGTGCAATAACTGTTGTAAAGGACATTATATAACAATAAATGGCATCACAAAGGTATATTCCAATTTGATCTGCAGCAAATTATGAACGGCATATACGGAGATGCGAAAACAAGCTCAAAAAGGTGAAGAAAATTTTTGTGCAATCTTTATAGTTAAATTTTTCCTAAGAGATAGCATCAGTGAGGGAATTTTTTTCTATTGTCTTATTTTTCACATTAATGCGATGTCGAGGTATGTGGCCCTATCGCAATTGAAAATAAGGTTTCGATAATCCTTCCATAAAGTTTCGATGAGTACATCTGAAATAACCTTGAGATATTCTTCAGGGAAATACAAAAATCTCCTTTTGTGTTTCTTTGTGCAGATTTATCTATTAAAATCCTATCCGCAATCTATTTTCCGTGCACACACCTTCAACCGAATGTATGCCATATATGATATTACCGTTTCCAACTTTCACCAAGGTTAATAGGAACCATAACAGCTCCCTACCCTTCCCCCCTATAAGAATATCGATTTGTAGCCTCACATTTCAAGGTTAGACTTCTTGTAATGTTTCTGTTCAACATTCGGCGATTTCTGACAATTTTCCCAATAAAACATGATCATTGTGACATTAAGCCTGGCAACGCTGCATAGTAGAGGGAACTCTCAGCGTCACGTTGATGGTTCGTCACCACGCACAGGATTGTAATCAGTTACGGATACCCGTTTATGAGCGCGAACGTTTTATGCACGTCTTGACTTGATTTTTCTTGCGGAAATTTAATATTAGTCTAAAATGTCTGACACAGATACAGCTGATGAAGTGGTTGAAATCAGCTTAACGCCACCCAGAAAAAGGGCTAAAACGCTTCATCTTAGCGCAGGTGAAAAACAAATTATTCTAAATATCTACAAGAACCAGATGCAAGAGAATAGTGGATTGGCTATAGAAAATATCGTATGTAAGGTTGCTGAAATTTCTGGAGTAGGTCGATCAAGTGTTTACAAAATCTTGAACGAATATAGACAAAATCACTCACTATCTGAGCCAAAAACATATCCAGCGAGAAAAAAAATCATCGAAAAAATAGATGACTTTGACAAAAGTGCCATTAGAAGAAAAGTACATCACTTTTTCTTCAGGAATGAAATACCTACAATAGATAAAATATTGAAGCAAGTGAATGATGATGAGGACCTGTCAAATTTTAAAAGATCTACGTTCCATAAGCTGTTGAAAGAACTAGACTTTCGATTTTTGAAAAGAGGAAGGAATAGTTTATTGATAGAAAAGGAGGAAATTGTTATCTGGAGGAGAGAATACCTTAGAAAAATTAGGCAATTCCGCGCTGAAGGAAGAAAAATTTATTATTTAGACGAAACATGGGTGAACGCGGGGCATACGCAGGGAAAGGTTTGGGTAGACAGATCTGTGAGGTCCTCAAGGCAGGTTTTTTTAGATGGCCTTTCGACGGGATTGAAAAATCCTGCAGGTAAGTTTCGAAGTATATGAACTTTTTTGGATGCAGATAATTCATTTTCTGATCGAATCAATGATTTGGAAGCTCCGAACTCAGTTTTGCTATCTCATCCAAGTTTCTGAGTATTTCCTTCACCCAAAAACTAATCTAAGACCCTATCCTACACTAACCTAAAAAGAGTAAGTTGCTTAATTTCGTCATTTAGTGCGCTCGCTGAGAAGTAAAATAACTAATTACTTTCAGGCAAGGGAAAACGCCTGATCATTTGCCACATAGGTAGCGTAGATGGATTTGTTCCTGAAGCATTGTGGGCATTTGAATCCAAAAAAACTGGAGACTATCACGAAGAAATGGATGGTAACTCATTTGAAAATTGGTTCAAAAAAATTTTGCCGACACTTGATGATAACGCAATTATTGTGATGGATAATGCCCCGTACCACACCAGAAAATTGGAAAAAATTCCAACAATGGCCACCAAAAAGGCAGACATTGAACAGTGGCTTGTCTCAAAGAAGATCGACTTCGACCAAACAATGGTCAAAGCTGAGCTGATAAATATAGTCAAGCGACATAAGTATAAATATGATTTAAAAATTGTTGACGAAATGGCCAAAAACCAAAATAAAACGATTCTCAGGCTGCCTCCCTATCACTGCGAACTGAATCCTATCGAGTTGATTTGGGCCGACATCAAGCAATACGTGGCGTCAAATAACAGCACTTTTAAGTTTTCTGACCTTAAAAAACTGTTTGATGTTGCTGTCGATAGAATTACGCCAGCAAAATGGAGAACATGTATTGACCATGTCCAAGAGAAGGTTGAAACCAAAATGTGGGATATGGACAATATCATTGACACCCAAGTTGAACTCCTTATAATTGACATCAACAATTCTGATGATTCAAGCTCCTCGGAATACAGCATATAAATCGATTGATACCATTAAGACTGGCAGTTTAACGGGCTTAGGTAAGTTCATTATAGACTGCAATCAAAGTGTAAGTTTCTAGTTATTAATGTGGAAATTCCAAATTTATAATTACACAAAATTAGGGTTAATTTAGGAGTTCCAAAGCATAATAGTGCCATTTTGACCTTCTTCCTATTTCTCATGTAAATTTTAATAGCAATCAAACTAACAAACTTTATAGAGTCTGTAATAAACTTTTGTACTACTACTACTACGTCTGTAGTTTCTATTTGCTCAAAAAAATTTGCTCTGCATTATGAATAGAAGGTTGATTTGTAAATATTATTGGGTATATATGTAAGTTAATAATAAAATATGAACAATTTCAATTGAGATGGTCCACAAGTTTTTTTCGTGTGCGTTTTAGTAACATTTTGCTGAAATGGTGAATACAGAATTTTTTGCACTGATTCCTAATGTCGAAATATGATTAGAAAGGCGTGGTATATTCCTGATAATTTACTATGCTTTTGATAGAATTTACAGCAACACATATCTTGTACGACATTTTTTGATAGATCAGTCACAATAGCTTGATACGGCCCTGTAGCGTCTCCTACGGTTAAGTTCTTGATCACGTGCAATACGGGTGTATATGTTTGATTTTACTTTGTTTCTTCGATGGATACAGTTTAGTTTAAGATGATAAAAATTTTAGGTTAGAAACAAGATATCGAGATGCTGTTTTCGCGATTTTGTTTACACATCATCTATTTAGCCACTTTTAATAAAAGTAACCAAACTTCAAATATTTGCGAATAGCTCTTTTCAACCAGCTCAAGTTTGTTAAAATCCTCTCAGCCGATCCGAAGATACAGGGTGTTTTTTACGGAAACCTTTGAATACCCCCCACCACTTCATTTTTAGAGATACAGCAAAAATTGTCAAACAAAAAAAGTTCACATTATCCTCAACTTCGAATATCAGGTTTTTTTTGTAATTATAGAGGAATTCACATAAACATCACTTTTTTAGATTCAAGATTGCAGTTACGCCACCTAGCGGCCATTTCAGAAACTTGAAAATATTTTCCAGATTTTTTGCTCTTAGTCGTTTTAGTAGTAACTGTTTTTGACACAAGCCTCTCTGATGGACACGTTCCCAGATACAGTACCATGCATTCTTATTTGGCCACCCTGTACATGTCATAAACATCCAAAAAGCATTACTTCATATTTTCGAAAATTTTCGCGATTTCAATACTTTCCCGCCAGTAGACGTGGGAAGTGTAAATTAAGCAAAGGCTACATCTTTTTCTTGAAATATACACCTACGAGTACAAATTATGGAATAATGTAAATTTTTGAATTTATATAACTTTCAATCAATAGATGCTATAATGATGGGATGTAATTTTGCAAAAAGCATCATTCTCTGTTTTAATTTTCCTCAGAATCCGAGACATCTTGTGCTATAAGAACTCAATGGTTTTAGAGAAAAATAAAACTTTCGGAAACTCATGTTCGAATATGCTAAAATAAATTCTAATAAATAAATCATAATCTCCTACCTTGAGACGCATTGACCCATCAATAACATCAATTGTAATCAGTTGACCATATCCAACATCCACATTTTTACTTTATTTTCAGCACTTCGGAAATTGACAAACACAAAATTACTTTTTGACAGTTTATTGAAACATTTATACTGGAAGTTTATTTCAACTTGGACAGAAATGATGAAACAGTAAATAAAACCTAACTACAACAACATTGGAACAAAACAACCCTTATAGTCTGAGATCCGGCTGCTTGAATCTGCAGCCATTTCAACTATTTTTGGTTTAGTAACAATTAGACCTTATACGTATTCTGATCAGTTCAAAATGTAAAAAATTAAAACAATCAATAAAACGTAACGTGAACCTCTAAAATGAACAATAACACGCGGATGACATTGCGTCAATCAGTTTCTGAAATTAAACGCAAATGTTTTTGAGATCGCTGATCCGGTACTTTGGTAATCGTCAGTAGGGCTAAGCATTACTGAAGCATCGTAATCACCTAAAAGAGTATAATTAGTCGATAAAATAATGTGAAAACACAAAAAATAGTGTGTTCAAAAAATGGGGTCTCTACAACATAAACTGGTGGACAGTTGCTTTGCAACATGAAAAACTTTACCCAAAATCAAATCTCGATATTTTCGGAACGAAAACAGACGTCGGGTTGCGATATTCGGGAGGTTCTTGGCCAACTATTTGAGAACACGTACGGTATATCAATCGGTATATTTCTTCCAGTTGTCAACTTGTACAGGGTGAGCAAAGGAAGTAAGTTTTGAGGAGTCAACCCTTACCTGCACAGTAACACCCTGTAGTCCGCTGATTTTACGCAAAGCTTATATATATATATATATAAAGAAAATGATCGTGCGTAGAAAGGTATATAACAAAAAGCAGAAAAATAATAGGCAAAATCCTTAAAAAGGCGGAAAGTGGGTTCGAGCAGAAAATAGGATAGCTAACCCGAGCGGTACGTATTTCTGCTGGTTGGCTTCATCAGGGCCGAAATGGATGCACATATGCAACTACAAAACTAGATACACACGATCTACAAAAAGAAAATGATCATTCGGAGAAAGGTATATATAACAAAAAGCAGGAAAATAATGGGCAAAATCCTTAAAAAGGAGGAAAGTGGGTTCGAGCAGAAAATAGGATAGCTAACCCGAGCGGTACGTATTTCTGCTGGTTGGCTTCATCAGGGCCGAAATGGATGCACATATGCAACTACAAAAGTAGATACACATGATCTACAAAAAGAAAATGATCGTTCGGAGAAAGGTATATAACAAAAAGCAGGAAAACAATGGGCAAAATCCACAAAAAGGAGGAAAGTGGATTCGAGCAGAAAATAGGATAGGTAACCCGAGCGATACGTATTTCTGCTGGTTGGCTTCATGACGCCCGAAATGAATGCACATATACAACTACAAAAGTAGATACACACGATCTACAAAAAGAAAATGATCGTTCGGAGAAACGTATATAACAAAAAGCAGGAAAATAATGGGCAAAATCCGCAAAAAGGAGGAAAGTGGATTCGAGCAGAAAATAGGATAGGTAACCCGAGCGATACGTATTTCTGCTGGTTGGCTTCATGACGCCCGAAATGAATGCACATATACAACTACAAAAGTAGATACACACGATCTACAAAAAGAAAATGATCGTTCGGAGAAAGGTATATAACAAAAAGCAGGAAAATAATGGGCAAAATCCGCAAAAAGGAGGAAAGTGGATTCGAGCAGAAAATAGGATAGGTAACCCGAGCGATACGTATTTCTGCTGGTTGGCTTCATCAGGGCCGAAATGAATGCACATATGCCACTACAAAAGTAGATACACATGATCTACAAAAAGAAAATGGTCGTTCGGAGAAAGGTATATGACAAAAAGCAGGAAAATAATGGGCAAAATCCGCAAAAAGGAGGAAAGTGGATTCGAGCAGAAAATAGGATAGGTAACCCGAGCGGTACGTATTTCTGCTGGTTGGCTTCATCAGGCCCGAAATGGATGCACATATGCAACTACAAAGGTATTTACACATGATCTACAAAAGGAAAATGATCGTTCGGAGAAAGGTATATAACAAAAAGCAGGAAAATAATGGGCAAAATCCACAAAAAGGAGGAAAGTGGATTCGATCAGAAAATAGGATAGGTAACCCGAGCGGTACGTATTTCTGCTTGTTGGCTTCATCAGGCCCGAAATGGATGCACATATGCAACTACAAAGGTATTTACACATGATCTACAAAAGGAAAATGATCGTTCGCAGAAAGGTATATAACAAAAAGCAGGAAAATAATGGGCAAAATCCGCAAAAAGGAGGAAAGTGGATTCGAGCAGAAAATAGGATAGGTAACCCGAGCGGTACGTATTTCTGCTGGTTGGCTTCATCAGGCCAGAAATGAATGCACATATGCAACTACAAAAGTAGATACACATGATCTACAAAAAGAAAATGATCGTTCGAAGAAAGGTATATAACAAAAAGTATGAAAATAATGGGCAAAATCCGCAAAAAGGAGGAAAGTGGATTCGAGCAGAAAATAGGATAGGTAACCCGAGCGATACGTATTTCTGCTTGTTGGCTTCATCAGGCCCGAAATGGATGCACATATGCAACTACAAAGGTATTTACACATGATCTACAAAAGGAAAATGATCGTTCGGAGAAAGGTATATAACAAAAAGCAGGAAAATAATGGGGAAAATCCACAAAAAGGAGGAAAGTGGATTCGATCAGAAAATAGGATAGGTAACCCGAGCGGTACGTATTTCTGCTGGTTGGCTTCATCAGGCCCGAAATGGATGCACATATGCAACTACAAAGGTATTTACACATGATCTACAAAAGGAAAATGATCGTTCGGAGAAAGGTATATAACAAAAAGCAGGAAAATAATGGGGAAAATCCACAAAAAGGAGGAAAGTGGATTCGAGCAGAAAATAGGATAGGTAACCCGAGCGATACGTATTTCTGCTTGTTGGCTTCATCAGGCCCGAAATGGATGCACATATGCAACTACAAAGGTATTTACACATGATCTACAAAAGGAAAATGATCGTTCGGAGAAAGGTATATAACAAAAAGCAGGAAAATAATGGGGAAAATCCACAAAAAGGAGGAAAGTGGATTCGATCAGAAAATAGGATAGGTAACCCGAGCGGTACGTATTTCTGCTGGTTGGCTTCATCAGGCCCGAAATGGATGCACATATGCAACTACAAAGGTATTTACACATGATCTACAAAAGGAAAATGATCGTTCGGAGAAAGGTATATAACAAAAAGCAGGAAAATAATGGGGAAAATCCACAAAAAGGAGGAAAGTGGATTCGATCAGAAAATAGGATAGGTAACCCGAGCGGTACGTATTTCTGCTGGTTGGCTTCATCAGGCCCGAAATGGATGCACATATGCAACTACAAAGGTATTTACACATGATCTACAAAAGGAAAATGATCGTTTGGAGAAAGGTATATAACAAAAAGCAGGAAAATAATGGGCAAAATCCACAAAAAGGAGGAAAGTGGATTCGAGCAGAAAATAGGATAGGTAATCCGAGCGGTACGTATTTCTGCTGGTTGGCTTCATCAGGCCAGAAATGAATGCACATATGCAACTACAAAAGTAGATAGACATGATCTACAAAAAGAAAATGATCGTTCGGAGAAAGGTATATAACAAAAAGCAGGAAAATAATGGGCAAAATCCTCAAAAAGGAGGAAAGTGGATTCGAGCAGAAAATAGGATATGTAACCCGGGCGATACGTATTTCTGCTGGTTGGCTTCATCAGGCCCGAAATGAATGCACATATGCAACTACAAAAGTAGATACACATGATCTACAAAAAGAAAATGATCGTTCGGAGAAAGGTACATAACAAAAAGCAGGAAAATAATGGGCAAAATCCTCAAAAAGGAGGAAAGTGGATTCGAGCAGAAAATAGGATAGCTAACCCGAGCGGTACGTATTTCTGCTGGTTGGCTTCATCAGGCCCGAAATGAATGCACATATGCAACTACAAAAGTAGATAGACATGATCTACAAAAAGAAAATGATCGTTCGGAGAAAGATATATAACAAAAAGCAGGAAAATAATGGGCAAAATCCTTAAAAAGGAGGAAAGTGGGTTCGAGCAGAAAATAGGATAGGTAACCCGAGCGGTACGTATTTCTGCTGGTTGGCTTCATCGGGCCTGAAATGAATACACATATGAAACTACAAAAGTAGATACACATGATCTACAAAAAGAAAATGATCGTTCGGAGAAAGGTATATAACAAAAAGCAAGAAAATAATGGGCAAAATCCTCAAAAAGGAGGAAAGTGGATTCGAGCAGAAAATAGGATAGCTAACCCGAGCGGTACGTATTTCTGCTGGTTGGCTTCAACAGGCCCGAAATGAATGCACATATGGAACTACAAAAGTAGATACAAATGATTTACAAAAAAAAAAATGATCGTTCGGAGAAAGGTATATAACAAAAAGTAGGAAAATAATGGGTAAAATCCACAAAAAGGAGGAAAGTGGATTCGAGCAGAAAATAGGATATGTAACCCGGGCGATACGTATTTCTGCTGGTTGACTTCATCAGGCCCGAAATGGATGCACATATGCAACTACAAAAGTATTTACACATGATCTACAAAAAGAAAGTGATCGTTCAGAGAAAGGTATATTACAAAAAGTAGGAAAATAATGGGCAAAATTCGCAAAAAGAAGGAAAGTGGATTCGAGCAGAAAATAGGCTAGGTAACCCGAGCGATACGTATTTCTGCTGGTTGGCTTCATCAGGCCAGAAATGAATGCAAATATGCAACTACAAAAGTAGATACACACGATCTACAAAAAGAAAATGATCGTTCGGAGAAAGGTATATAACAAAAAGCAGGAAAATAATGGGCAAAATCCTCAAAAAGGAGGAAAGTGGATTCGAGCAGAAAATAGGATGTGTAACCCGAGCGATACGTATTTCTGCTGGTTGGCTTCATCAGGCCCGAAATGAATGCAAATATGCAACTACAAAAGTAGATACACACGATCTACAAAAAGAAAATGATCGTTCGGAGAAAGGTATATAACAAAAAGTAGGAAAATAATGGGCAAAATCCACAAAAAGGAGGAAAGTGGATTCGAGCAGAAAATAGGATAGGTAATCCGAGCGGTACGTATTTCTGCTGGTTGGCTTCATCAGGCCAGAAATGAATGCACATATGCAACTACAAAAGTAGATAGACATGATCTACAAAAAGAAAATGATCGTTCGGAGAAAGGTATATTACAAAAAGTAGGAAAATAATGGGCAAAATCCGCAAAAAGAAGGAAAGTGGATTCGAGCAGAAAATAGGATATGTAACCCGAGCGATACGTATTTCTGCTGGTTGGCTTCATCAGGCCCGAAATGAATGCACATATGCAACTACAAAAGTAGATACACATGATCTACAAAAAGAAAATGATCGTTCGGAGAAAGATATATAACAAACAGTATGAAAATAATGGGCAAAATCCGCAAAAAGGAGGAAAGTGGATTCGAGCAGAAAATAGGATAGCGAACCCGAGCGGTACGTATTTCTGCTGGTTGACTTCATCAGGCCCGAACTGGATGCACATATGCAACTACAAAAGTATTTACACATGATCTACAAAAAGAAAATGATCGTTCGGAGAAAGGTATATAACAAAAAGCAGGAAAATAATGGGCATAATCCTCAAAAAGGAGGAAAGTGGATTCGAGCAGAAAATAGGACAGCTAACCCGAGCGGTACGTATTTCTGCTGGTTGGTTTCATCAGGGCCGAAATTGATGCACATATGCTACTACAAAACTAGATACACACGATCTACAAAAAGAAAATGATCGTTCGGAGAAAGATATATAACAAACAGTATGAAAATAATGGGCAAAATCCGCAAAAAAGGAGGAAAGTGGATTCGAGCAGAAAATAGGATAGCGAACCCGAGCGGTACGTATTTCTGCTGGTTGACTTCATCAGGCCCGAACTGGATGCACATATGCAACTACAAAAGTATTTACACATGATCTACAAAAAGAAAATGATCGTTCGGAGAAAGGTATATAACAAAAAGCAGGAAAATAATGGGCATAATCCTCAAAAAGGAGGAAAGTGGATTCGAGCAGAAAATAGGACAGCTAACCCGAGCGGTACGTATTTCTGCTGGTTGGCTTCATCAGGCCCGAAATGAATGCACATATGCAACTACAAAGGTAGATACACATGATCTACAAAAAGAAAGTGATCGTTCGGAGAAAGGTATATAACAAAAAGCAGGAAAATAATGGGCAAAATCCTCAAAAAAGAGAAAAGTGGATTTGAGCAGAAAATAGGATAGCTAACCCGAGCAATACGTATTTCTGCTGGTTGGCTTCATCAGGGCCGAAATGGATGCACATATGCAACTACAAAAGTATTTACACATGATCTACAAAAAGAAAATGATCGTTCGGAGAAAGGTATATAACAAAAAGTAGGAAAATAAAGGGCAAAATCCGCAAAAAGAAGGAAAGTGGATTCGAGCAGAAAATAGGATAGGTAACCCGAGCGATACGTATTTCTGCTGGTTGGCTTTATCAGGACCGAAATGGATGCACATATGCAACTAGAAAAGTATTTACACATGATATACAAAAAGAAAATGATCGTTCGGAGAAAGGTATATAACAAAAAAAAGGAAAATAATGGACAAAATCCTCAAAAAGGAGGAAAGTGGATTCGAGCAGAAAATAGGATATGTAACCCGAGCGATACGTATTTCTGCTGGTTGACTTCATCAGGCCCGAAATGGATCCACATATGCAACTACAAAACTAGATAGACATGATCTACAAAAAGAAAATGATCATTCGGAGAAAGATATATAACAAAAAGCAGGAAAATAATGGGCAAAATCCGCAAAAAGGAGGAAAGTGGATTCGAGCAGAAAATAGGATGTGTAACCCGAGCGATACGTATTTCTGCTGGTTGGCTTCATCAGGCCCGAAATGAATGCACATATGCAACTACAAAAGTGTGTGTGTGTGTTTGTTGGTGGCACACTTCGTTTGGGTTCTTCACTAGTATTTAAATAGCCCTCAGAAAATGAAAATAGCAGTTTTCTAAATCTAAGTCTCAGGTGGTACATTATTTAATTTTGTTGTGGAAAAGTAATGTTTCGTGATAACTATTCACCTCAGTTCATCTGACTAATGAACATTGTGTCAATTGTGTAAGGTGTTTCAAGGTCATAACCTTTTAAAACATCGCCAAATAGTTGCTCATGATGACGAGACGCAAATTTTGGTTTAAAATGTTTACTTCCGATTTTGTACCTTAATTTTTTTCAAATTTTAAATTTTGTTTTTTTTTTCTCAAAAAATACAGAAACGTTCCTAAATATCCTGTTTAATATGCAAATGAGATACTTTTGAATCCGAAAAAATTCTTCGAAATAATCTCAATTTCAAGTACGGTGGTAGACGGTCTCTAACTGTCGAACGCGGAGGTACCACCCGGCGGAAAATTTACAAATCGACTTTTTTTATAAAACGGTGCTTACCAGTGTCGTTGAAACCAGAAACATCGCCGTAATTAAAGGAGACATCCATATTACTTTCCGGTTCGTTACCCAGATTTAATCCTCGTGACTGCTTCAAATCGTTACCTCAAAAATTATATAATTAGGTTGTTTATTCTTTTATGAAAACTAGCTACCTTCTCGTATATTAGATATAAGATTGTTACCTATGGGATTACTCGGCTTTTTAAACAGTCCTGGACCATTATTAGATATACCAAAGTTCGGCAGAGAGCTACTTGGCATTTTTCCTGAAATAAATAATTGGGAGAATTTATTCGCACTATTGAAGAACGGAATATATTGGCATCAAATTTAATACACCAAACTTTTGAAAATGCTCCCTGGCTTTTCATTGAGCTACGAAACCATTGGCGTAGCATTTTTTCTTAAAAAATACCGAAGTCAATACCCGTACGCACGGCACTGCTAAAGCTAAAAATTATTTTTGCATTGAAAAATATGCAACTTTATTAGCTTTCACTACGTACTAAATATCACTGAAATATCTGAAGCGGTTCTGGAAATATTAATTAATTTCCATTTTTTTCCTAAAACTTCAACACCCCGAGTTTTTGTAAGGAAACATTTTTGGACCATAGCTTATAAAGCAAACTAACATTATTTTTTCTTGTAGATTCACACCCTTAAATATTCGCATATCATTAAGGAACACCCTGTATACTTAACTGGGACACAGTATGGATGTACAATATTCCGAAAATAGGGGCCCCTTTCTAAAAAAGAAACCATAAAAGTAAGAGATAATATCCCTGGAAGACAAACATCGTTAGGAAAAAAGAAATTGTGAAAAGCAATGTTGTCTTGTATTAAGGCAGAACAGGACAAATGTGACACGGAAACATGAAAAAAAAAGCGGTTTTTAAAGTATTAATTAATTTCCATTTTTTTCCTAAAACTTCAACACCCCTAGTTTTTGTAAGGAAACATTTTTGGACCATAGTTTATAAAGCAAACTAACATTATTTTTTCTTGTAGATTCACACCCTTAAATATTCGCATATAATTAAGGAACACCCTGTATACTTAACTGAGACACAGTATGGATATACAATATTCCGAAAATAGGGGCCCCTTTCTAAAAAAGAATACATAAAAGTAAGAGAACTTATCCCTGGAAGACAAACATCGTTAGGAAAAAAGAAATTGTGAAAAGCAATGTTGTCTTGTATTAAGGCAGAACAGGACAAATGTGACACGGAAACATGAAAAAAAAAGCGGTTTTGAAAATATTAATTAATTTCCATTTTTTTCCTAAAACTACAACACCCCTAGTTTTTGTAAGGAAACATTTTTGGACCATAGTTTATAAAGCAAACTAACATTATTTTTTATTGTAGATTCACACCCTTAAATATTCGCATATCATTAAGAAACACCCTGTATACTTAACTGGGACACAGTGTGGATGTAAAATATTCTGAAAATAGGGGCCCCTTTCTAAAAAAGAATACATAAAAGTAAGAGACCTTATCCCTGGAAGACAAACATCGTTAGGAAAAAAGAAATTGTGAAAAGCAATGTTGTCTTGTATTAAGGCAGAATAGGGCAAATGTGACACGGAAACATGAAAAAAAAAGCGGTTTTTAAAGTATTAATTAATTTCCATTTTTTTCCTAAAACTTCAACACCCCTAGTTTTTGTAAGGATACATTTTTGGACCATAGTTTATAAAGCAAACTAACATTATTTTTTCTTGTAGATTCACACCCTTAAATATTCGCATATCATTAAGGAACACCCTGTATACTTAACTGGAACACAGTATGGATGTACAATATTCCGAAAATAGGGGCCCCTTTCTAAAAAACAATACATAAAAAAAAGAGACCTTATCCCTGGAAGACAAACATCGTTAGGAAAAAAGAAATTGTGAAAAGCAATGTTGTCTTGTATTAAGGCAGAACAGGAGAAATGTGACACGGAAACATGAAAAAAAAAGCGGTTTTTAAAGTATTAATTAATTTCCATTTTTTTCCTAAAACTTCAACACCCCTAGTTTTTGTAGGAAACATTTTTGGACCATAGTTTATAAAGCAAACTAACATTATTTTGTCTTGTAGATTCACACCCTTAAATATTCGCATATAATTAAGGAACACCCTGTATACTTAACTGGAACACAGTATGGATGTACAATATTCGGAAAATAGGAGCCCCTTTCTAGAAAAGAATACATAAAAGTAAGAGACAGTATCCCTGGAAGACAAACATCGTTAGGAAAAAAGAAATTGTGAAAAGCAATGTTGTCTTGTATTAAGGCAGAACAGTACAAATGTGACACGGAAACATGAAAAAAAAGCGGTTTTGAAAATATTAACTAATTTCCATTTTATTCCTAAAACTTCAACACTCCGAGTTTTTGTAAGGAAATATTTTTGGACCATAGTTTATAAAGCAAACTAACATTATTTTTTCTTGTAGATTCACACCCTTAAAGATTCGCATAACATTAAGGAACACCCTGTATACTTAACTGGGACACAGTATGGATGTACAATATTCCGAAAATAGGGGCCCCTTTCTAAAAAAGAATATATAAAAGTAAGAGATAATATCCCTGGAAGACAAACATCGTTAGGAAAAAGGAAATTGTGAAAAGCAATGTTGTCTTGTATTAAGGAAGAACAGGACAAATGTCGGAAACTTGAAAAAAAAGCGGTTTTGAAAATATTGATTAATTTCCATTTTTTTCCTAAAACTTCAACACCCCTAGTTTTTGTAAGGAAACATTTCTGGACCATAGTTTATAAAGCAAACTGGCATTAATTTTTTATTTAGATACACACCCTTAAATATTCGCATATCATTAAGGAACACCCTGTATACTTAACTGGAATACAGTATGGATGTACAATATTCCGAAAATAGGGGCCCCTTTCTAGAAAAGAATACATAAAAGTAAGAGATAATATCCCTGGAAGACAAACATCGTTAGGAAAAAGGAAATTGTGAAAAGCAATGTTGTCTTGTATTAAGGAAGAACAGGACAAATGTGACACGGAAACATAAAAAAAGCGGTTTTGAAAATATTAATTAATTTCCATTTTTTTTTCCTAAAACTTCAACACCCCTAGTTTTTGTAAGGAAACATTTTTGAACAATAGTTTATAAAGCAAACTAACATTATTTTTTCTTGTAGATACACAGCCTTAAATATTCGCATATCATTAAGGAACACCCTGCATTTTGGCAAAATTATTAAAAAGACGCCTTCTCATCGATGAATTATGATCCGTATCAAGAATTTTGACCTGTTAGTAAAATCGGGCCTAAGTGACGACTTACCTCCAAAACTCATAGAAAACTGCATATATTCATTCTCGGAACTCTTCAACGCATCGTTATTCATGTTCACCACACCGATTTGGTGATCACCTTTGTTCATCACCATACCAGTCTCCATTGGCTGCCCTCCTCTAAAAAAACTCTCAGAAGGCAAGATGCTTTCATCCGCGAACGTAACTTTGCGCTTATTCGGTTTCATGAGAAGCGTTTCGTTTTGATTCACGTCCAACCGATCCTGCTGGTTCGGTTTATTCTCCGCCGTTTCGGACTGCTGCGAGACAAACCTCATCTCGTGTTCTTCTTGGCTGTAAAGCATCGATTCTTGTGACGGCACGACGTCTTTTTTGTTCCTCTCAATGTTGCACTTCATCCTTTTCGCATCCTGCTTTTCGATGCTCGGAACGTATTGTCCTTTCTTAGGGACTTCAATGGAAGTATGGTGCGATATTTTTCTCTTGAAGTCGCTGAGGACTTTTTGTAGCTTCGCGTCTCTTTCCTTGCTTTTCTCTGCTCTTATCAGCGAAGGGTTCGGTTGCGGCGATTCTGGCGGCTTCAGTAACTGATTATCTAATATGACCACTTTAGAAACGTGCGACTGCGATTTAGGCATCGGGACGCTTGCATTGGTCACGCGAGGTTGAGCGGGAAGGCTAGGTTTTGTTTCGGTCAATTGCTTTGTAGTCGTTTTTTCGAGAAGAAATTGGAGTCCGTCGAACGGATTGTTCTTTTCTTTGACCGGTTCCTTATTTTCCGAATCCTTCTTTTCTTTTTGTGTCTTTTTCGGAACCGGTTTCGTGTCAGCCGGCTGTGAAAACTGAAATACCGTTTCAAAAAGATGCATTTTAACAAAGATCATGTACCATGAAATGTCGATAAAGTGGCTATCGCCCTTTCTACACTACCGTTCAAAAGTATTTGAACACCTGCGTTTAAAATCATAAAAAAATCAGCACGTATTTTTTTTTCTTTATTTATTGAAAACCATCACCATGGAAATCAAGCATCACTGAAAGATCATTGAAATCAAAATTTTGCTCATAGTGACAAATTGGTTCAGGCTTTTCCTGCGAGCGCACGAGGACAGCACCCGCTCCGAGACTACGGCAGTTCCTAGACACCTAAATGGTCCAGCACCGCACCATATTAGGCACCTGATCAGGGAGAACAGAAGACTCAAGCGAGAACATCTCCAGCTGTTGACAGAGGAGTCGAGAGTTGCGCGAAACAGAGCATCGCTAGCTCTGAAGAACGCACTCGCGGAACTCCAAAACAGCAGATGGAATGCAGCCTGTGCAGAACTAGAGACCCAGGATGGTACGGTCTGGACTATGCAGCGAAAATTTCGTCGTCAGCGCACCACGATCCCCACTCTTCACGGCCAACGCGGCTTGGCCTACTCCAGTGAAGAAAAAGCCGAAGCATTCGCCGATTCGCTAGAATCCGAATGCAGACTCAATTACCATGAAGACGAGGACGACAACCACGAGGAAGCCGTGGAAGTCGCAGCCGAAATCATGAGGAGTCGACCACCTGGCCAGGAGACGGATCACCCCTCCAGTCCAGAGGAAATCCGTCTGATCATCCGCAGGTTGAAAGTCAGAAAGGCGCCGGGAAGGGACGGCATCAACAACAGGATGCTGAAGAACCTTCCCTCCAAAGGCATTGCTGCGCTCACCAACATCGCCAATGCCACTCTGAGACTTAACCACTTCCCGCGGCGGTGGCGGGAAGCCCAGGTTATAACGCTCACCAAGCCAGGCAACGACCGGAAGTTGCCCCAGAACTACCGGCCCATCAGCCTGGTTTCCTCGATGGGCAAAGTAGTCGAAAAGGCTATCGCCGTTCGACTAGAGAAGCAGGCAGAAGAACTGCAACTTCTCCCCCCAGAGCAATTCGGCTTCAGATCGGAACTCCAAGCGCTACGACTGACAGAAAACATCACCAGCGGCTTCAATCTCCAGGAGGCAACCGGCCTCGTCCTGCTGGACGTGGAACGAGCCTTCGATCGAGTTTGGCACGATGGACTCATCGCCAAAATGGAAGCCGCCGGAATCGATGCGAACATGTGCCAACTGATCCAGAGCTATCTAACACAAATATGGTTCACGGTGAAGATTGGTACATGCCATTCAACAAGGCGACAGCTGGAAGCAGGCATGCCCCAGGGGTCAGCCTTAGCCCCCCTGCTCTACAACATCTATACTCACGACGTACCGAAGACAGCTGACACAATGCTGGCCCTATATGCAGACGACACTGCTATAGCCGCCAAGCATCGACGACCCGAGATCATCCGTAGGAGACTACAGGATGAACTGGGCCACATCCAGGATTGGTGCGTGAAATGGAAAATCCGCATCAACGTCCAGAAGACGCAGGCAACGAAGAAGGATTGCAAGACCTCTCGAAGCATCCACCTTCGACGAAGATATCCAGTGGAGCGACAAAGTCAAATATCTGGGGATCGTATTTGACAAGTCCCTCACCTGGAAAGCCCACATAGAAGCTGTCATCGCAAAGACCAGAGCAGCCATGGCTCAACTCTACCCATTACTGGGTAGACACAGCCGGATGCCGCTAGCTACCAAGCTACGGCTGATCAAGGCCATCGCCAGACCTCAGCTCGCTTACGCCTACGCGGTCTGGGGGCACGCTGCCCCCAGCTACCGCAAGCGACTTGCTGCTCTAGAGATGAAGCTACTCCGGATCGCCACCAGTGCACCATCCTACGTAAGAAACTCAACTTTGCGTAGAGACCTACATTGGGACAACATTCACGAGTACATGAGGAAAAAAGCGGAGAAGACCTTCCAGAAAGCTCAGGACCACCCGAACGAGCAGCTACGATTCCTCATGGACTACGCGGACGAGAGGCCTCGCAACCGCAGAACCAGGTACCCTAGACCAAGGTCCCAGTTGGCACCCGCTAACTGGAACCTTGACTAGGAGACTAGGAGAACCCGCGGTTGTCCCCCCCCCTCCACGGCGTGGATGCAGAGGATCAGGAACCACCGGGACCAGGACCAACCAAGACTAGGACCCGCCACGACCAGGACCCGCCAGGACCAGGACCCTTCAGGACCAGGACTTGAAACTCTTGATTTTTCGAAAACAAGAGTTTCAAGAGAACCTAGCAGACCCTCTATCGATGATCGCTTAACGACATCGATAGAATGTGCGAGGTAAAGGGAACCAACCCGGCGTTCCCGGAGACTGAAACACATGAGGAGACGTTGTAGCAGACCGCAGGTCACGCACAACACATGGCCTACCGAGACGCTGATGAGTCGGGCCTCGCGGAGGTTAGGGTTTAGTGGGTATTAGGTGGTCTCCTCAAGACAACCTGGAGTCCCACACACGCCGTAGCTCGGGCTATGGTATGGTGCGTAAACGCATTCCCCCCTCACCAAAAAAAAAAAAAAAATCGTCAGGCATTCATCCAGCATCGGAAGTGGAAGGACCTCTGAAGAAGCTTGCCGCTCGTGCTAGCGAAACGATTGTTGGGATCAAATCATTAGCCATACCTAATAGGAATTTTTTTGCCTTCAGAATATTGTTAAGTAGTCTGATCATATTAGCGAATTTCCCGGAAATAATTGTAAAGTCTAGTTTTATTGGTGCAACTTGTTCAATGGACATAAAATGGGTACACCAATTTTTGTGGGACAACAAAGAATGAGAAAACGTGTTTTTTGGGATTGAATTTAAAGTGTTGACAGTAACGAAAAAACGTTTTATACAAGATTTTTATGTATTTATGAGACCTACAAAATGAGACTACACGTAAAAAATCCTACTAATAGCAAAAATGTTATGGCCGAAAATCGATGCAAAATGCAGGTTTTGGCACTTGTTGGTAACGGGACGATAATTTCACGCAACTACTTGAAATTCTTCAAATCCGTAGGATTCATACTTCTAAATAACAACAAGAGATTTTTGAGAATTTCTAATTCCTTATCTCAAAACATCTATTTTCTTGCTATCACTACTGGTTTATTGGGCAATATACAGGGTTCGTTGAAAGATCATTTAATAGCAAAATACACGTGTTTACCTTGACGATATGAATCACAAACCATTCCGAAAGACAAATGTTATTTTTATGCGAAAAACAAAAGAAGAACCAAATATACTAAGTGACATATAAATCCGAATACCCAGTTTAAATGGTTTTATTTTAATAAAAGTTGGTGAATGTATTTATCTTACTGTCAATAACAAGTGAAAAAATGTTCAGCCTTATCAGTTGGACATTCCGGTTTCTATACTGCTTTTTTTTAATTCACTAAGTGTACGGAGACCTGTACGATTTCGTCAACTTAGTGAGTTTGATAGGGGCCGTATAGTGGGACTTCGGGAAGCTGGACTTTCTTTTCGGGCAATTGCAGTTAGAGTGCCAAGAAGTGTAGATACTGTGGTTAGGTGTTGTCAGGCATGGCTTCGAGAAGGCCGTACGCAAAGAGCAAGGGGCACTGGACGCCGCCGTAGAACAACAGACCGCAAAGATCGCCGCCTAACATTATTGGCCTTAAGGGACCGTTTCTCCACTACCAGGTCCATTGCAAATGAATGGTTTGCAGAACACGGAAGACCTATTGGCATGCGAAGTGTTTACCGACGAATGAGAAGTTTTGGCTTGTTTTCATACCGGCCACACTAGGTCCTCCCTTTAACTCGAGAACACCGACGTAATCGCCTTGAGTGGTGCAGACAACGGTCACTCTGGGATCAGGAATGGAACAGTATTGTCTTTAGTGACGAGTCATGTTCATCATACTGTTGGTGTTATGGTTTGGGGTGCTATAGCGTATGGTTCCAGGTCACCTTTAATCTTCATCAGAGGTAACATGAACGCGCAGCGTTATATCCACGAAGTTCTAGAACCGCATCTTTTACCCTATCTTGACACCCTGGCAGATCCAACTTTCCAACAAGATAATGCCCGACCACATGTTGCAAGAGTCACAATAGACTTCTTTCAACATAATGATGTCACATTGTTACCATGGCCACCAAGATCTCCCGACTTATCCCCAATTGAGCACGTGTGGGATATGATGGGTAGGAGATTGCTCAATTTGCAGCGTCCTCCTCAGACTCTAGAAGCACTTCGAGAGGAGTTGGTGGTTGCCTGGAATGAGATACCACAGGAGGACATTGACCACCTAATCAGAAGCACGCCTAGGCGCGTTGGAGGATGCGTAGCACATCAGGGTGCATCCACACATTATTAAAGGTCAAAGGGCTTTAAAGCAGTGCAATCATTTTGAAATTTCTATCATTTACTTATTATGCTTCATTAAGTACTTATACAAAATTTTATTAAAATAAAACCATTTAAACTGGGTGTTTGGATTTATATGTCACTTAGTATATTTTGAAAGTCATGCAATGGCCTCGCCAATCACCGAATTTGAATCCGATAGAGTTGCTGTGGAATGAACTGGAAGTGCGGAAATGTTGTCCTAATCTCAAGAACATTTATGGAGAATATTACAAGACGAATGTCGAAAAATAACCCCATACAATTTAGAAAAATTATTTGCGCAATTACCCATTATCTGCCAGGCTGTAATTAACAGTAAAGGAGGGCCTATTGATGAGTCAAAAATTTGATTATTTTGATTAAAAATAGTTGTTAAGAATTAAGAAAATAAATGTTTCATACAGATATTGTAATGGTTTCTTTAATAGCTTCCATTAATTTCCTTGTTTTCTGGGTGTTCAAATACTTTTGGACGGTAGTGTATGTCAAGAATGTTTTAGATAAAAAAAACTATTCGACAAAAAGTGATGAATTATTTTTGATGTAAAAAATTAACACCTGCACATATTGCCATGCATTAGAAATGCATTGAGAAAATATCGTTTTTAATGCCCGACTAATGAAATCACCCCACACTGTTTCAAAATTAGGTTAACAAGGCAAGATTTTAATTTACCCTGTAGCTGATGAAAGTACCTCGTTGAGGACCAAAAATATGAAAATAGAGAGAGATAAAAAAGCTACGACCAAAGGTTTGAGCATATGTCAGAATCTGCAGAGCAAAAGTTTAAACGATATTTAACATTTCCACTTAAGAATACCAAAAAAATAATATGAAAATTTTGTAATAATATGTGCTTGTTTATGATTGATTATTCACTACAAAAAAATATTTCTCATTCGAATTTATTTATTTCCTGGCAGACCTAAATTTCATTATAATTTTCCTAATGATTCATTGCTTGAAAAAGTAAAGTGAAAGAGTTTAGACCATAGTCGTAAATCATATTTCTTTCTTATATCAATTCTTTACACGAGTGAAATATTGTATACGAGGGATGTCTTTTAAGTTTTGCATACAGAAACATAGTAGGCCGCGCGGATCGAACGTCAGTACTGAATCTTAACCTCACTCTTTAGTAAACTTAAATTCAAAGTTTCACAACAATACGTGCAATGTTCTCACTACAGTGAATTTTTAACATTTTCGCGCCATAATTTATTACATCCCTCGTATACTCATCAAAGACAAAAATAAACTCAACCCTGGCGAATGAAAAAAAAAACGTATGTAATTGGCGTTTGTTCATGAAAAACGCTAAGAAAACTTTTTTGGAAGACGATTTTAAAAAAAATTCTGGGACGAATTTACTTAAAAAAAGGCCTCGCAAAAATGTTTTGGTCCAGGCCTCGCATCTGCTGAGGACGGCTCTGGCAGGAAGTAAAGAGTCGATCTATTTAACTCCATTTTTTATATTGGTTTCGATTAGGATTGTAAATATGGGGTTGTCCAAAACGGATGCAGGAAAGTAAACGCATATTAAAACAAGAAAGATTGATATTCAAATCAAGTTGGGTACTTTATTTTGAAGGTTCATTTATACCATTTATGTATGAAAAATAATATCGCTCAAATGTTCACCACGACTGGATTTACAGACGTCCACGCGATGGTCGAAATTTTCAATGACATTTTGCAACATGGTCGGTTCTATGGCATTTATCTCGGCAATGGTGTTGTTTTTGAGTTCTTGGAGGGTGGCTGGTTTGTTGACGTAGACTTTGCTTTTCAAATATCCCCATAAAAAGAAGTCCAAGGTAGTCAAATCGCACGATCTTGGTGGCCATGGCACATTTCCTCTGCGCGATATCACGCAATCACCGAAGAAGGAGTCGAAGTGTTCGCTCTTACTCAAGGGCTGACCCAGCTGGTGACGAGCCCTACTTTTTTCCCCCGCGTTTCGTCACACGCCAGTAGCCTACTGGATCTCTTTCTGACCACGCATCCTGCCCCTTACAGCACTGCTGTCCTGTCCCCCCTGGGTAACTCAGATCACGGTGTTGTGGAGGTTAGGTTTCGGTCAGAAGCCGCTGTGGCAGCAGAAACTCGCACAGGCCGCAAAACTTGGCATTACGGACATGCCGACTGGGAGGGGCTCAGAGACTTCTTCTCTAGCTTTCCTTGGAGAGATGTCTGTTTCACTGACGCGGATGCGTCGATTGTCTGTTCTTCAATAACCGAAATTATCCACGTCGGAATGGAGGAATACATCCCTCACACAGTGAAAGTTCCTAAACCAGGGTCCAACGGCTGGTTCAACAAATCGTGTGACACTGCTCGCCAGCAGAAGATCAAGGCCCACAGAACCTACTTACAAAACTCCACTGTAGAGAACAGACAAGCCGACGTCGTGTCGAGAAACAAATATAACGAAGCGGTTCGCAATGCCAAAACCCAGCATGATATAAAAGTTAGGCACAGGGTAATGTCGCAGCGCAATGGCAGTCGGTCTTTCTGGACGCTGGCCAAGCAGATTGAAAAGAACTTCTCACACAGTAGCCTTCCACCACTTACGTGTCAGGATGGAACTATTGTATTCGACTCAAAGGCCAAGGCGGAAGTGCTAGCCAAGATCTTTGCTGCCAACTCCACCATGGACGTCCCCACCAACGCCCAAGTGCCGTCAATTCAAAGGGTTCCCTACACTATGCGGGAGGTAACATTCTGGCATAAGACCGTAAGACGAGTGCTCTTGTCGCTCGACATCAACAAAGCTTCTGGTCCGGACTTGATTCCTGCCATTGTACTGAAGAGATGTGCAGCTGAGCTTGCTCCAGTTCTTTCGCGTCTCTTCCAGATATCTTATGAATCCGGCACCTTCCCAGAAAACTGGAAATTTGCTCATGTACAGCCCATCCCAAAAAAAGGATCTAAAACCGACCCCTACAACTACAGGCCTATAGCGCTGCTTTCTGTCATAAGTAAAGTGATGGAGAGGTGCATAAATCGCGAGCTTCTGGACTACCTCGAACGTCACACCTTGATTAGCGACAGGCAGTACGGTTTCCGGCACCAACGATCCACAGGGGACCTCCTAGCTTACGTCACGCAACTGTGGAGTAAACTCATCCAGTCTCATGGTGAGGCTCATGTCGTTGCTCTTGACATCACGAAAGCGTTCGATCAGCTGTGGCACGCTGCCCTCTTGAGCAAACTTCCATCCTACGGCCTCCCAGAAAAGCTTTGCAGATGGGTGGCTGACTTTATCTCTGGCCGCAAGATATCCGTCGTAATTGACGGATTCTCTTCATCCCACAACGTCAACGCGGGTGTTCCCCAGGGATCGGTCTTGGCTCCAACACTGTTTCTCTTACATATCAACGACCTCCTTTCCTGCACGATCAACCCAATCCACAGCTTCGCTGATGACAGCACTCTACATGCAGGAATTCAGAGTGACAAGCCGATCTCTGCCGCTGAGCTGGAAAAAAGAAGACTAGCGACGACTTCTTCTCTGGCAAGAGACCTGGAGGCTATCACTGCTTGGGGACGCAACAATCTTGTACAGTTCAATGCTTCCAAAACACAGTACTGTACTTTGACGAACAAAAAGCGTCCTAGCGCTCATACAGTTTCGATGGACGGTCGAGTTCTACCAAAGAGCCATTCATTTCGGTTGGTCGGAGTCCAGATCACCGAGGACCTGATCTGGCACGAACACATCTCTTCAATAGCTGCAGCTGCTGGGAAAAAGCTAGGCTATTTGTTTAGGGCTAAGAAGTACTTTTCTCCGCATGACCTTCTCACTCTATACAAGGCCCAGATAAGGCCTAGCCTCGAGTATTGCTCACACATTTGGGGTGCTGCCGCCCCGACTACATTGTCCATGTTCGATGCTGTCCAGAGGAGGGCGGTCCAACTGATCGATGACTCTTCTCTAACAGACAGTCTCGGGACTCTTTCGCACCGGCGGGCCGTCGGCGATCTAGCTCTTTTCTATCGCTACACCAACGGGCTTTGCTCCTCAGAGCTCTCTTCCATGATGCCGCCGCGCGATGTGCCTGCCAGACAGACCCGCCTGACTGCGGCGTCCCATCCTAACCGTGTCAAACTTCGTACATCCAGAACTGGCCGATACGACCGCTCCTTTGTCCCGAGGGTGTCTAGATTGTGGAACAATCTACGGGAGGAAGCTTTTCCCAGTTCTACTAACCTTAGGCAGTTCAAAAATCGTATTAACAAAATTTCTTTGGGATCATCATAGCAGCCGCGGTGTTCCGGCATTTAGGCTTCTGCCTGCGCGGCTGTTTCGATATAAAAAAAAAGGACTGCAATCGATGGATATTGACGTTGGTTGTGTGGCATGTTGCACCGTCTTGTTGGAAATAAACATCGTCCATATCCATCCCTTCAAGTTGCGGCAAAAAATAGTTCTCTATCATCACGTGATATCGCTCAGAATTGACGGTAATGGCGTCCCTGGCCGCATTGTCGAAAAAGTAAGGTCCGATGATGCCTTTTGACCACAATGCACACCGCACAGTCACTTTTTGAGGATGCATCGGCTGCTCTTGATACTCACGGGGATTTTCGTTCGCCCAGATGCGGCAGTTTTGCTTGTTTACCGTCCCATTCAAAGTGAAATGCGTTTCGTCGCCGAACATGATTTTTGATGAAAAATTGGCATCGATTTGGCGGTGTTCAAGGAGCCAATCTGAGAACGTTCGACGCGAAAAATGGTCGGCCCGACGCAGCTCTTGCGTCAATTGGATCTTGTAGACGTGTACATTCAAATCCTTGTGGAGAATGCGGAGCAAACTGGTTGTCGAAATGCCCAATTCTTGGGATCGACGCGTTGTTGATTGTTTCGGATCGTCTCTCACACTCTCCTTCACACACACACAGCAATATTTTCCGGTGTGCGAACGCTCCTTGGCCGGCCAAAGCCAGGCAGATTTGCCACAGAACCTGTTGCCTCGAATTTACGCACCAGACGATCGATGGTTGTTTCGTTTGGGCGGTTGTTGCGACCGAAATGTTCACGAAGCGCGCAAAACGTGTTTTTTTATTTTTGCACCATTTTTGTAGTGCTCTTGAATAACTTTAATGCGGTGTTCAATCGAATACGACTCCATGGTAAACATTCAACTAACAAAATGACATGTCGGTGACAGAAAACAAAGATGGCGTCTCTGTCAAATTGACGTTTACTTTCCTGCGTCCCTATTGGACAATTTATTATACAAATTCAGAATCCCTACCACAATGTGAGGAGTAGCCGCGGATGTATATGAAGTATCTTTGATATATCTCATCTTCTGCTTGTACTGCAATTTTTCTGTAACTTCCATCAGCTTGCACATCACTTCCCTTTTCTGTGTTATAAGCTGACTTAGAACACTATTCCTTTCTTCGTACATTTTTCGATCTAACCACGTTTTAGCGAAACAAACAATTCGAAGACGAGCAAAGTCTTCGAAAGTTTCTTTTTTTCGCCGATTCAGCCTGATTTGTTGTTCCAAGCTCATACAGGTGAACTTGACTTTTTTCTTTTGGTCGAGCTTTTCGTGGAGGATTTTACACTTTGGATTATCGTTCGCCAATTCTTCTTTGCGTTCTTCGATGTGCGTGGAATATTTGTCTAATATGTCGGCTACTTTTTGTTTGTATTGACGCACCTCAATTGTGACACATTTTTCGTGTTCTTTGTGGATAATAATTGACATGGAGTTTATCTCCATGGTTTGCCTCAGGCTGCAATTTTGGAAAAAATGGTGTCACGTTTGGGGAATGATCTCTCCTTGGATTTTGAGCAAACAATAACAATTAGCAAATTTCGGAAATATTCACGATTTTTCTAAATTTCAAATCTCCAAAGCAGAATTTTCAAAGTTTTTACAATCTTCAGTATTTAAAAATCTTGCTTATTTAGAGAGTTTTGAAAATTTTGAAAACTTAACAAATTCTGATGAAAATAGTTTTAAAAACTTGTTAAATCCTCCATAAAAGTTTCTCAAGGAAGAGTTATTGATTTAAATTTCAAGTCACTTTTTAAACGACCCCCAATCCTCAAGAAATGTCTATAAATGTGATTTTTAGAGACGGATGCTTATTTTTGATAAATGGCAGAAAATCGCGTCTGATCATCGATAGACAGTTGAAATGAAAAAAAAATCCCATTGCAGACGAAATTTTATATTGATCTCTTGGTGTACTCAAAATAATATAGGATGATCGAAAATACAATGATGATATTTCTATTTCTATTTTTAATTTTTCAGAATTTTCAGATTTTTAAGAATCTTTAATATTTAAAAATCTTGCTTATTTAGAAAGTTCTGAACATTTTCAAAACTTGACAAATGTTGATAGTTCTGAAAATAGTTCTAAAAACTTGTTAAATCCCCCATGAAAGTTTATCAAGGAAGAGTTATTGATTTAAATTTCAAGTCCCCAGTCCTCAAGAAATGTCTATAAATGTGATCCTTAGAGACGGATGCTTATTTTTAATAAATGGCAGAAAATCGCGTCTGATCATCGATAGACAGTTGAAATGAAAAAAAATTTCCCATTGCAGACGAAATTTTATATTGGTCTCTTGGTGTACTCAAAATAATATACGATGATCGAAAATACAATGATGATATTTCTAGAACAAAAAGTGGCATCCAAAAATAATATAAAATAATGAGGTACATGGTATTTTGGAATAAAATAGAGTCACGTTTATACACAATCCTTACGGATTGAGTGCCATTTGAGAAATGATCTCTCTTTGGATTTTAAGCAAACAATAACAGTTATCAGGTTATCAAAGTTTCCAAAATTTTGAACATTTTCGAAATTCGCACGATTTGCCACAATTTCAAATCTCCAAAGCTGCCAAAATTTTTTTAATTTCTCAGAATTTTCAGATTTTTTAAAATCTTCAGTATTTAAAAATCTTGCTTATTTAGAAAGTTCCGAAAATTTTGAAAACTTGACAAATGTTGATAATTCAGAAAATAGTTTTAATAATGGCGGAAATGGTACCAATTTTGAAAATTTTGAAAATCTTCCCAAGTTTTGGAAGCCTGTGACGGTAATTGTTACTGCCCACAGTACAATGCAAATGTTAAATCCTCTCATGTAAGAGTTATTGTGTATTCAATTTTCAAGAAGAAATCATTTTTTAAAGGTTCCCCAAAAAATGTCTATAAAGGTGATCCTTAGAGAAGGATGCTTATTTTTGAAAAAATAGCAAAAAGTCGCGTCTGATCATCGATAGACAGCTGAAATGGAAAAAATTTCACATTGTAGACGAAATGCTATATTGGTCTTTTGATACACTCAAAACAATACAGGATGATCCACAATACAATGATAATATTTCTAGAACAGAAAATGCTTCCAAAAATAATATAAAATAATAAGATACATGGTATTAAAGATTTATACACCACTGATGAGACTCAGAGAAAAAATATTTATATCCTTTAAATAACGCTGCAACGTGGTGGTATTAGTCTTCCAATGTTTAAAGTTCGACCGTGTTGCGTATTGAGGTAACTAACAAAATGACGCTTAGCTTCATTCAAATTCAAGGTACTTTCGGAAAAAGACAAAAAAATGTCGAATTTACCCAAAATATCCTTATTTGTAATGGGATGTTAAAAAATGCACATTATCATTGACATTTTTTTTCAACATAATTATTTTTTCTAATGGACACCATATTGGATTAATGAATGGAGTTTTATATCTGCTTCGTTATGAATATTTTATTAGTATTACTGCCATTACAATTCTATAAAATTTTCATTTTGCTATCAAGTTTCACCATACTCTTTTATTTCCAACAACATATAACCTCGAACTGAAAATTTGATGACGCCATCTCGTAGCGGACCTATAAGATGTCAACTTGCAGACTAGGTAGTTTTTAGGGCGCAAACAGTCGTTCCACGTTTACTCACTAGGATCGTTGTGAACGTCCATCTATGGAGGAATCACTCAACTAAACTACGCATTATTGGTTGCATAGTTTGGTGAGGCTGAGTGATCCGTGTCTGTAGTTTTTATCTCTGAGAAGAAAGTTGGTTGGATAGCAAGATCGCATCTGGATGATTGTGTGTATTGGTCTGCATGTGTATAAAATCAGTGATATTTGCTGTGTGAGAAAATCATTACTGAATATGACGGGTTATTTATATGTTGTGCTTTCTGAAGAGAGGTTATGTTCAAAGTTATAAAATACGCAAAACTGAGGAGAATTGCGGGAAATCATCACCGCGCCCGCGTTGTGTGTAATTACTGTTAGCATGTATATGGCTTGTAATACGACAGTGTACAGAGAAAATAATTATTTCTTATCTCTCTCATTTTTTAAATTCAGCAAATTTGTATATGTAACTTCCAGAATGGGTAAGAAAAAGTGGATGCGCAACTAATTTCTAGCTTTGAATCTCAATTAAGTGTATTTGAGACTAGAACCCAATGTAGTTATCATCAACACATACAACTTACAGCTTATACCTTCAGTATTGCCATCTCAGAAGCAGATTTTACATCACAACAGAGCCAAAGATGGATAACTTTTCAAGATACGTGATACCCGTGCCGATACCACTTCGTATTTCGGGATATAACAAATGTATTGTAGTTTTACACACAAGAGAATTACTCCGAAAATTATGGTCATAATTATGCCGAAAATTTGCATGGAAAAAATATGAAGATTTTCTCTACAACCTGTATTACACAAGCAAATAAAATTTCCGAGTAATATGATACGCCTGCGCATTAGAGTAATATTTTCGAATGGACATAACCTTGACGGGTATGACGTCCAATATAATCGGAAAGACAACAGACGTCGTTGATTTAAATTAATTTTTGAAATCGAGATCTTGGTTAATATTATAAAACTTCTCAATGCTTGGACTATCGCATCCAGCGCCTGACGCCGCAAATTTCTGTTTTTGTAATTGGGTGACTTCACCTTGTACAGGTTTGGCCATTTTTGGTACTCCTCCAACAACAGTGTAACTTCTTCCCGATTCCACGACATTATGAATAAACAATAACAATAAACGCTTCTTCGTACGACTCGAACAGGACCACACCCACAAATGTTAAGTGAGGTTATGTTGTTGACGTTGACATTTGATAATGACATGCACGGAAATAACCCTCTGCGCCAATTCTCGCGCATATTCTATAGAACGAGTTTTATATTTTTACCATGAAAATTTTTACAAGAATGTGTGATAGAGCCGTTTTACACACAAGAGAATTACTCCGAAAATTATGGTTATAATTATGCCGAAAATTATTGCTGTCGTATTACACCTAAAAGAATTCTTGTGAAAATTTTCATGGTAAAAATATAAAACCCGTTCTATATAATATGCGCGAGAATCGGCGCAGAGGATTATTTCCGTGCATGTCATTATCAAATGTCAACGTCAACAAGATAACCCCACTTAACATTTGTGGGCAATGTTGCCAGATTACACGATTAATCGTGTAATTACACGATTTCGGTCCTTTTTACACGATTACACGAATGAAGTGCCAATTCTCACGATTTTTGAGATTTTATAAAAAAATGAATTACTTTTACTTATTTAAAATTCCAACAGCACCCAAATCAATGTATCAACTCCACTTATTCATGTTTATATAGGAAAGTTTTACGCTTTCACGCGGTTTATCAATTGGGGGCACTGACGATTAATTCGGGGAATCCCGTAGAGCCGGTTCATGTTGATCACGTCGTACGTTGTCAGTTTGCATTCACTACTTGTTTTAACTTATGCATTTTGCTTACTGTTACTTCCATCTAGTATTTCATTATAAATCGTATTTAAAATGTGTAATACTTCTGATAGTGAGAGTGATGTGCCGATGCAAGAAATAAAAGATGTTAGCTGTTTTAGTACGCCTAAAAAAAAAACTAAAAAGTGCGGATTATACTCAGAAATACAAAAGAGACTGGGAAAAAGAGTGGAAGTGGCTCCAGTCAAGTAAGAAAGGCCCAAATTACGCGTGGTATGATAGTTTGTTATATGATTTTGTAACTTTAAAATAATTTCAGTTTATAATATTTTAGGTGCAAATTCTGCAGTTGCGATATCCTTATTGCGAGGGGCAAAGGAGAAATTAAAAAGCATATCACCACTGCCAAACACATAAAGTCAATATCAACCATCAAATCGCAACCATCTGTGGCGTCAGTGTTTGGCAAGAAATCCAAAAATATCGACGAAAAGGCAAAAGAGGGTGTTTTACGCCTTGCTGGTTTTATAGCGGAGCATAACTTGCCAATAAGATTAATGGAACATATTTCGAATTTAGTTAAAAGTATTTGCACAGATTCTGAAATTGCGCAAGCTATCAAATGTATTCGTACAAAAATGACTAACGTAATACGAAATGTCACCGGCGATTGATTTACACAATATAACGCCTTAACCCTTTATTTTACGGAGCAAGCTTATGAAGGAGTGTTGCAAGCCGACAATATTTTAGAAAAACTTAAAAAACCAGAGACAAAACTATACCTTGATTTTTTGGCATATACTCGTATATTACCTTTATTTAACCGGCTAAACCTTTTAATGCAGAGTGAGAAGCCACAGCTACATAAAGTATATGAAGAAGTGACATGTGTGTTAAAAACCATAATGGACTGTTTTATTAAACGAGATATTTTAGAGAACATCATGGTGTATGAAATTGATTATAAAAATCCGAGAAATTTTTTAACAATTGATGATATATGGTGCATCAATTAATGTAAGTAAAATTGACAGAAACATTTTATATTCTGTTAAAGTGAAATACTTGGATTTTTATGTTGAAAGTACAAAGCAAATATTGCTCAGATTTCCCTTAAAGAATTCTGTAATAGAAAAATTTAAGTTTCTGGATCCCATTTGTGTGAAATCCAAAGAGAAGAACACTATTTCAGATGTGGCGTCGTTTTTTCCAAATTTAATTCATCCTGATGAAATTCAGAATCTGGATAATGAATGGAGATTGCTAAAAAATTACCCTCTGGATGACACTGAGAATGATATTTTAAAATTTTGGAGCGAAATTGCCCAAGTAATGATAGGAGATTCTCTAAAATTTCCTATTTTAACTAAGTTTGTTTTTCAAATTATGTGTTTGCCTCATTCGAGCGCGGCTGTAGAGAGAATATTTTCCTAAATTAATCTGATTAAAACACAGTTTCGCAATAAGTTAAAAACAAAAACAATAGAAGGTATTTTGCATACAAAAAGTTTTATGGAAAATAAAACATGTTACGATTTTACTTTAAACAAAAATATTAGCAGAAGACTCGGCAATAGCAGCCTATTATATTTATCCGAACATGAAAATAAAGACTCTAGCGACTCAGAGTCTTCGTAACACGGCAACATAATGTTTTGAGTACGAATTGTGTATTTACTTTATTATTTTAAAAAATATACCTTTATGTTACTTTTTTAAGTTAGTGTCTTGCGTTTTAATATTGTTTTCGTTTCTGATATTTACAATAAAGTTTATTTATACTCGTGTCTATATACATATTATTTAAATTAAATGTAGCATTTTTCGGCGTTACACGATTTTACACGATTTTCGGCAGAGGAGTTTCATGATTTTCTTTTAACTCATCTGGCAACACTGTTTGTGGGTATGGTCATGGTATGGTCCTGTTCGAGTCGTACTACGAAGAAGCGTTTATTGTTATTGTTTATTCATAATGTCGTGGAATCAGGAAGAAGTTACACTGTTGTTGTAGGAGTACCAAAAATGGGCAAACCTGTTCAAGGTGAAGTCACCCAATTTCAAAAACAGAAATTTGCGACGTCAGGTGCTGGATGCGATAGTCCAAGCATTGAGAAGTTTTATAATATTAACCAAGATCTCGATTTCAAAAATAAATTTAAATCAACGACGTCTGTTGTCTTTCCGATTATATTGGACGTCATACCCGTTAAGGTTATGTCCATTCGAAAATATTACTCTAATGCGCAGGCGTATCATATGAATTACTCGGAAATTTTGTTTGCTTGTGTCATACAGGTTGTAGAGAAAATCTTCATATTTTTTCCATACAAATTTTCGGCATAATTATGACCATAATTTTCGGAGTAATTCTCTTGTGTGTAAAACGGCTCTAAAACGGCTCTTAAAATGGACATAGGCGTGGACGAGCAGATCGCTGTTGCTGCAGCTTCCATAATTATGTGCGGTTCTTGGTTAAAAAAAAGTTTTAACGTTGAAAAAGAAGGTGGTCGATGCAATCTTTAAATAAAAATCGTCAAAGGTACGTAAAGTTAAAACGTTTGTTCGCCAACTGGCGGAGAAGTATTGTAATCGCCAAAAATTTCGAAATTGGGATATCTTTTTTGTTTCATGACACGTACATCACGAAAAACCATATCACTTATTTCCAGCGGTCTGTTTGTCTGTCTGTCGTCTGTCTGTCTGGTAATACTTGGCACTCTACGTTATAACCGAAAATAATATTCGAAAGTTGACAAAATTTTGATCGCAGTTTAGTACTATAGCAAGGATGCTTTGTAGTCTTTTGGGTTTAGAAAATCGGTGCAGTTGCGGCTGTTATTGTCAAAAAACGAAAAAAAAATGAAAATCGCTCAAACTCTGTTTTTGGATGTTTTTGGGGCGCCTGGTCACTTTCCAACAATTTTTTGTAGGGGTAGATAATCAGAGCTGGGAGAAGGTTGGGAAAAGGGGCAAGTATCAAAGCGCGGGAATTATAGAGTCCATCTACTTGACGCCTTTTTTTAAGTGGGTTTTACTTTCACCTTTTTAAGGCATGAAGAGCTGCGATGATAAACAGTGTATTAAAAAATATTCAGGCACAATGGTATGGACATGTTACAAGACTTGATGAAAGAACCATCTTCGGATTCGGAATTGAGATTCCAAAGTATTTCCTCTTTATGGTCGAGATCCAAAAAATCATTCGCCAGACCGTTGTTCCACGCCATTACTACTCGCTCAAGCACAAATTAATACTGCACTGATCAGGCAAAATATAAGGAAGGAGCAGCGGGAAGAACTACGTAGTATGTACGTACTACCGAAGCCATTCTCCCACACGCTCCACGAAGTTAGGCGAATGCGGAATGTTCGGCGAAGTTCGTAGTGTCTGGGACCGGCTTTAGATTCATCTGACCATTCCTTGAAACAATGTAAAAAATAATTCATACATTATTAATTGCTTACCTTTGGAGAGTAGTTTCGGCTATCTTGACTAACGGTTCAAATTCCTTTGTCTCTCTTTCTACCTCGGCAATTCGTTTCCGGAGCTCTCCTGATAGTATTCTCAATTTTTCTGTTTCTTCAGCATAGGCTATAAAAGTTTACATCGGTGTATATCTTGATTTTTCGGGTGAGCGCATGCGTGTAACAGCGAGTATGCTGCGTAAGCAACGGCTTGTGAGAAAAAAAAATGGGCGCGAGCGGGATACGAACCCGCATCTCCTCCATTCCGTGAAACCGACATAACCAGCCCTTGTGAATTGTCCCACACATACTAACAACTTTATACTTACAAGCAGGTCAACTTGAATGAAAGCTTGTAATAAAAAGGTAATGGAACATACTCTTAAAAGGAAATAGAGTGCTTATAGCATGGTTAAAGCTACATATTTTATATTGATGAATTTCAGAATAAGATGAGATGGAAGAAGATATTTTATTATTGTGTATTTCATTTATTTGTATAATTGACATTTAGGCCCATATCGTCAGTCGTCCCTACAATTGTAGGGCGCGTTTATGGCCTCCTTGATTGTCTTACTCCTTTCTCTCCTTCAAAAATATCTAGATTACACTTGTCCCGTGAGAGCGTCATCGCTCTCCTTTTGTGAAGATATGTTTTCTTTTTAAATTGTACGAAATTTCAGGCTGATAAAACATGATATAACTCAAAAGCAAGCACAATTTGATGCAAATAGATGTTTGTGACATAACCTGACACGGAGAAGTAGAAAACTATGACAATCAAGGAGGCCATAAAGGCGCCCTACAATTGTAGGGACGACTGACGATACGGGCCTAAGTAATCTTTGGGCGGTGGCATATACGACCTACAGGCACAGTTATTTTTACGAAACCTGAAAACCATTATATTACTCAGTCTGCCCTATCGTGGCAGTATCTGCCCTACTACCTACGTCCCTGATCTTGTAGATAAAAGAATACCCGAGATAAAAAATACACTGTAAATTATGAATTTCAATATAAAAATGATACCTTCTGCTTCTCCTTTGGCTTTCCATAACTGAACAGCCGTGACAGCAGCTTGGTTCCTGTAATTCTGCAATTTTGATAACATATCTTTCTTAGGCTCCATGGTTATTGAAAATTAATTATCTTTCTGAAGAATGCTTCTGACTTTTGAATCGTATTGTACTCGTAACTGTGCTGCTGAATTTTTCTGAAGCGTCTCCGAGCCCCCGCCTTCTAGATTATAAGTTGGCCTTCAAGGCTTCTTGATTTTTCAATCTATTTTCAATTAAAATCCCTTTAAATCTAGGGATTTTTCCTATTTCTGCTTTATATTGGAGACCATGTCACATACTACCATGTTGCCACGTTGCCACAACTCTTGGTATATTTTTGTTATCTGTATCGGATTGTTCGCATTAAGGTGGGGTCAATTTGCTTTTGTATGTACACCTTTTCTGACGGAACAATAACATTTTTCAATGATAGATTGAATAAACAGTATCTATCTATACTCAACTAATCGTGTAATCTCCCCCGTAGCGCCCTAAAGGCTAATCAGCTAGGGGACCACTTACAGGCAATAAAACTGTTTCTATAAAATTGTAAGTCGCACTTTTCGCGGGTAAAAGCCGTTTTGTAGGGTCCTACGCAGGAGGTTCGACGATTTAGTTTAGTTCAAAAGAATATTGTTAGTACGAAATCTTTTTCGTGGGCTAATCACATTAAACAGATTTGAAGCTTTGCATGTTATTGTCTGCATCGGATTGATGGCACGCTGGGTAAAGTAGACGACAACGATATTGTATTCGTTTACATTTTTTGCGAATAGTTATAAAACCGAGAACGGCAGGGGTATCATGTAAAAAACTTATAAACCGTCAAAAAAACCTATAAGATGTCAACTTGCAGACTAGGTAATTTTTAGGGCGCAAACAGTCATTCCACGTTTGCTCACTAGGATCGTTGTGAACTTCCATCTATGGACGAATCACTCAACTAAACTACACATTATTGGTTGCATAGTTTTATGAGGCTGAGTGATCCGGATCTGTAGTTTTTATCTCTGAGAAGAAAGTTGGTTGAATAGCAAGATCGCATCTGGATGATTATGTGTATAGGTCTGCATGTGTATAAAATCAGTGATATTTGCTCTGTGAGAAAATCATTACTGAATATGCCGATTGCCGAATATGACGGGTTATTTATATATTGTGCTTTCTGAAGAGAGGTTATGTACAAAGTAATAAATTACGAAAAACTGAGGAAAATTACGTGAAATCATCACGGCACCCGCGCTGTGTGTAATTACTGTTAGCATGTATATGGCTTGTAATTCGACAGTGTACAGTAATTATTTCTTATCTCTCTCATTTTTGAAATTCAGCAAATTTGTATATGTAATTTTCAGAATGGATAAGAAAAAGTGGATGCGCAACTAATTTCTAGCTTTGAATCTCAATTAAGTGTATTTGAGACAAGAACCCAATGTAATTATCATCGACACATACAACTTACAGCTTAGACCTCCAGTAATGCCATCTCAGAAGCAGATTTTACATTACATCTGAGCCAAAGATTGATAACAAGCCTCATGACGTTTAGGCAACACGTACAACTAAGTGCTAAGTTAACCTCTTATAGAATAACCTACATAATGTCAAAAAAAAAATCGGCGTAATGTCACTTTTTAAGATACGTGATTCCCGTGCCTGAGGTATGAGGACAGAGACGCATCTGAAAATTTTCAAACATTTTCTCTTGCATGTCTGGATTTAATGAGAGATGACTGATCAAGTTGTTGAAGTAACGTTGATTGTTATAAGTTTCACATCTCTGAAATGTCCGCAGGGAACAACTCTCGCCTCTCTGCTTTGGGAATTTCATTACGTGTATAATGACCATACACTATGCTAATTATTTTGGCAGTTGTTGCTGCACTTAAAGGCTTAGATGTTGTCTTGTCAATTCTTATTTTTCTTGGTTTGACACCGTTACGATTCACCTGCGCGGGAGGAGGCTGGAGGGGTTCATGTCTTCATAGCACAGCCACATTTAGTGAACTTGTTGCTACGGCAGTATCGAAACAATGCTTTTTTTAGATTCGCAACATGCAAGCCAATTGTATCGAACTATTAGAGCTTTTTAGATTATTACACATTGCTCAAACGTATAATTTATACAGATTAACCAGATTCTATTATTATTTATACCGTTTCATATAATGACCGTAGATAAGGAAGCTGAAAAAATGTAAACGAATATTTATATCGTTGTCATCTACTATACTACCGCCAATTCTAATAGTAGTAGAATAGAAATGGTGCTGTTTGATTTTGTTAGCGTTTCGGCAATTCTGGTATTTTCTGGACATCTGGCAACGCCGCTCGCTATTTTTATCCTGACATTTTGACAGCGTCCATTTGACGGTTGACGTTTCAGTCGAGCACCAGCGCCGCTTCTCTTGATTAAAAAGTGACAAAACATAGAACAAACTGAAATTTTCAGATAGGTTTTCGAAATTTCGGAGTTGCTGAACCATCTAATAATAGGCCACACCCGGCGAGCACCGGAAGACAAGCTTAGGCATTTGATTAGGTCAGTAAAGGGGTTTCCATAAAAACTCAAAAACGACGATATCGACGGCATCCACCGGACTTTCATCTGATACAATGGCAGCCAGCGATTCGGCAGGCGACGACTCCTTGTATCCCATTGCTGTTCTAATTGATGAACTCAAAAACGAGGATGTTCAAGTAAGTTGAGTCATACCACTACCAACTAAAAACTTGATGTGAAAATTATGATTGAAAAATATCGCAGTCGTATTTACACTCATTCTGTATGGTGGGTACATGTAATAAGTTCCAAAATTATCGCTTTCTGTTCGTCATTGAAGTTATAAGTCGTAGAACGACGGAATTATGATGTAGGCTTACAATAAATCCAGTTAAGATGTTTTGTTGACTGAGGCACATAATATGAAGTGGGCCCCCAAGCCATAATGTTGTGATATATGATCAATATGCAAGGTGTTTTTCTTTCATGATAAAAATGCATCCTTAGTACCTCCACATCAGACTAGATATATAAAAATAAAGTTTTACATCATTTTTTATTATCCTGTTAAGATGACAAACTTCCAAATCAATACATGACATTCTGTACAATTTAACTAGACATGGTTGCTTTATAGTTTTTTTTTTTGATTTACCTATCCGGCAAAGCCTAACTTCACTCACCTATGATGCCAAAATAAGATTGAACTAGATTCTACACAGAATAATATTATAGAGTCAACTAAGATAGCACGCAGCTAGACCAGTGTCAGTTATTTTATGTTTTCACAATTTATATATGGTTTATTCTTACAGAAGTTGATAACTTGTTGGTGAACAGTCTGATATCTGGCACACAAGTTTTGTTCTTCTTGCTACCATATGTAAATGGGATTCATATGGCTCAATCTTAAGACTGTATTGTCAGTCGTTCCCACAAGTGCAGGATTCCTTTATGACCTCCTTGATTTTCATCGTCTTTTCTCTCCTTCAGAAAGGCTGGGGTATTTCTAGATATCTACTGTTCGGCATCAGCCTCTTGTGAGGTTATTTATTTGTTTATTTAAACTCTTACAAACACATTAGAATGTAGTTACATGTAGGAGTGCTTATTGGCTAGTAAAGAAACAGAGAATACACAAAAACTTATAACTAAAAAATAATGACAGAGAAAAACTATAAAAATTAACTAACAGATAAAATGAGATAAGGATGTTTTAGTTAAATTTAAAATCAGTACATACCTATATATTGATAGTAAACTAAAATTTGAGGATCACTATGAATACATTATTTCAAAAATTGCCAAAAAAACAAATTACTTTTATAGGTACATATTCCAAGAAAATAGTCACAATTCTGCAAAATGAGAAGCTTTTGCTTAAAGCTTCAATATTTCATAATTCATAACAGAATAATGTGGGACAAAATTTTCTTTTTTTCATCTCCAGAATATGTCTATTGACATTTTTTAAGTATAAGCTGTATAAGCTTTTCTGTACAGATGGAAAACATTCCAATACTCCAAATTACTATCTATACTAAGTGATATATAAATCCGAACTCCCAGTTTAAATGGTTTTATTTTAATAAAAGTTGGTGAATGTATTTATCTTACTGTAAATAACAAGTGAAAAAATTTTCAGCTTTATCAGTTGGACATTCCGGTTTTTATAATGCTTTTTTTTAATTCACTAATGCTCTAAAAATAAATATTTCAGCCGCAGTAAAGAATCAACGTTTGCGGATTTTGGTTCTTGAGATCCTTTACGATCGGTTATGATGCCTAGAGTACGGAGACCTGTACGATATCGTCAACTTAGTGAGTTTGATAGGGGCCGTATAGTGGGACTTCGGGAAGCTGGACTTTCTTTTCGGGCAATTGCAGTTAGAGTGCAAAGAAGTGTAGACACTGTGGTTAGGTGTTGTCAGGCATGGCTTCGAGAAGGCCATACGCAAAGAGCAAGGGGCACTGGACGCCGCCATAGAACAACAGACCGTGAAGATCGCCGCCTAAGATTATTGGCCTTAAGGAACCGTTTCTCCACTACCAGGTACATTGCAAATGAATGGTTTGCAGAACACGGAAGACCTATTGGCATGCGAAGTGTTTACCGACGAATGAGAAGTTTTGGCTTGTTCTCATACCGGCCACACTGGGTCCTCCCTTTAACTCGAGAACACCGACGTAATCGCCTTGAGTGGTGCAGACAACGGTCACTCTGGGATCAGGAATGGAACAGTATTGTCTTTAATGACGAGTCTCGATTTTGTTTAGGCATGCACGATGGTCGTGCCAGGGTTAGAAGGCGACGTGGTGAAAGGAGGAATCCACAGTTTTTTGTTGAAAGACATGTTCATCACACTGTTGGAGTTATGGTTGGGGTGCTATAGCTTATGGTTCCAGGTCACCTTTAATCTTCATCAGAGGTAACATGAACGCGCAGCGTTATATCCACGAAGTTCTAGAACCCCATCTTTTATCCTATCTTGACACCCTGGCAGATCCAAGTTTCCAACAAGATAATGCCCGACCACATGTTGCAAGAGTCACAATAGACTTCTTTCAACATAATGATGTCACATTGTTACCATGGCCACCAAGATCTCCCGACTTATCCCCAATTGAGCACGTGTGGGATATGATGGGTAGGAGATTGCTCAATTTGCAACGTCCTCCTCAGACTCTAGAAGCACTTCGAGAGGAGTTGGTGGTTGCCTGGAATGAGATACCACAGGAGGACATTGACCACCTGATCAGAAGCATGCCTAGGCGCGTTGGAGAATGCGTAGCACATCAGGGTGCATCCACACATTATTAAAGGTCAAAGGGCTTTAAAGCAGTGCAATCATTTTGAAATTTTTATCATTTACTTGTTATGCTTCATTAAGTACTTATACAAAATTTTATTAAAATAAAACCATTTAAACTGGGTGTTCGGATTTATATGTCACGTAGTATATTTTTAAAGTCATTGTCTAGTCATTGAATCTTTTGCCTAATGTTCAATATTAGTTACAGCAAATAACAGTCATTTTAACAAGATTAATAAAAACTATTGGAAATGCATAGTTGTTTCAATATATTCTTTATCAATCTATGAAATCAGTAGTTTTTGCTTAAAGCATCAAATTTTCATAATTCATATCAGAATTATGCAAGACTACAAAAGATTTTCTCATTAACTGATTATATTATTATATTTTGAAATACTTCGATTATGATTGTTAAAAGCTTTTTAGGGATGATTTTGTCTCAGTGACATAAAAACAACAATGTTTTTCGACATCTAAGAATGTTACTTAAAAAGACAATAGGTCTTTTCAAGGTTTTTGATGGTTACATCATGATGTCAATAAGTAGACAGACTGGCTAACTGTAGCATATATGTGTAGCTTAACTTCCCTAAAAAAATTGCAAGCTGCACAAGTCAGTCCTTAATGCAGCTGCTACTCACTCTTTCACACACATATGAATTGGATTGTGGTTGACATTGTAGTTTTACCTTCAGACAATGGTGTGCTTTATATCGAAAATCAACAAGAAATAAACTCAGATCCAATGCCCATGACAATAAAGTTGTCATAATGACATTGACAAGTAAAATCAACAACAACAAAACTAGAAACCGTACATCTTTAAGCTTACACAAACAAATGGACTGGCATAGAGACTAACAATTTAGAATAGATTAGAAGCTAAGCTTATATTTATGTTTGGATTGTTGAGTCATTTGATTACTAATGCCTACCAAAGTATAAAAATAATAATTACTGGAACAAACATGTAACTTCATTAGGCTTATGTCGGTTTTTGCATATTATTTGAGAAATACCATGTCTTGAAATTGTCTTAACACCCCAATTATCTGCTAATACACTCATTTTTAACAAATAACACTAAAAATAGGAATTTAATGCCTGTCAAAAAATTGATTTATGTCAAGTGCACTTTGATCCTCACTACAGACCATGAGAATTGGGATCAAACCCTTCTACCTATTCTGAATTCATCGATGATACCAACTGCATATGTATGTGTGAGCAAGATGAATGTACGAAAGTAATTGCTGTACTTTTACTGTGCCCCAACAAAAACCGTGAAAAAACCTATAAATAAGTTATTTCACAAGATGAATATGATTGAGAAATGCTTATAGTAGTAATATCTGTTCCAGCTTCGCCTGAATTCCATAAAAAAACTTTCAACGATCGCCCTTGCACTGGGAGTCGAACGGACCCGCAAAGAGTTGATACCGTTTTTGACCGAGACCATCTACGATGAAGATGAAGTGCTATTGGCGCTGGCCGAACAACTGGGACAGTTTATTTCATTGGTGGGAGGGCCAGAGTATGCATACTGCCTGTTGCCCCCACTAGAAAGTCTCGCTACTGTTGAAGAGACCGTGGTAAGTATTTATTTATTCAAATACATGTCATGTGAACCTACAATTTGAAACAAATAAACAATCTATAAATACAGTGGACCTCCAGTAATCCGACAAACATTATGCAGGGCAGTGTCGACTATCGAATTTGTCGGATTATAGAGCACTGCCTAAGACCCCCTATAGTCCGGAATTTTTTACAAAAGAGTACCTTGTAATCCGACTAATTACATATCCAATGGTAAGATTATATATGTTATGTATATGTATGTACTTTGAAGTACAAATCATACATAGTTTATGTATGTCGAATTTAGTAAATTAAATAATAGAGAGCTTACGTTTTATTATGAAATTAAGCATAAATGCACATACATATGTCCCAAAATAATCAAGAATTATTAATCAAAATCATTAATGAATTTAGCAAATTATGAAGCTTGGAAATATTCATCAATTTTTTTTGGTTTAAGGTTGTTATAACGCGAGATCAGAGCTTTCTCCCTCAGTCTTCTCAAAAGTAAAAGTTCGTTGTAGGATGTACCATTCTCCTCAGCCCATTGTAAACCTAGCTCAAAGGCGTTAATTGCGTCTTGTGCTGTGCTTGTGGAGCAGTTACAATCACGTCGTCGTTATTTTCCTGATTGTTTGTTGTATAATTAGAAACCTCTTTTATAATCTCTTCGTCAGACATTTCATGAAAAACATTTTCCTCTTTATCCATTCCACGGCACCAGATTTCCAAATCTTCCGGACTTATCTGTTCTATAACTTCCGAAGTTACACTGATTTGTGGAACGTTGCTAGGAGTGGTGACTATATCTGGCCATAACTTTTTCCAAGACGATTTAATAGTTGATGACGGTAATGCATTCCACGACTGACAAAGAGCAAAAACCAAGTCTTTCATATCAAATTCTTTTAAAATTTTTTCTATTGGTTGGTCTTTTAATACGGCTCTCAGAAGTAGGTTTTTCTTATAGTCTTGCTTGACCAACTGAATGATATTTTGGTCCATTGGTTGAATCAGTGCAGTTCAATTTGGCGGAAGAAACATCGCAGTGATGCATTTATCCTCAGTTGTTAGTTCTTCTTCAGACGGATGGCCGGGAGCGTTATCAAGAAGCAACAACGCTTTTTGAGGAAAATTATGATCTTTTAACCATTTTCTAACTTCAGGTACGAAGCATTCATTAAACCACTTTTTGAAAAGGTCTTTTCATCCATGCACTTTTTTGTCCATAATAGTGTACAGGTAAATCAATGTTTTTAAATGCCCATTAGATTTCCCAATGACCATCATTTTAAGCGCGTGTGTGCCCGCAGCGTTAGCACATGGTAGAATGGTTACACGCTCTTTACTTACTTTTCGTCTAGGTACGGATTTTTCGTTACAAGAAACGAAAGTTCTGTTAGGCATCACACACCAAAAAGCCCTGATCGTCTGCATTGTACACCTGTGACGGGTCAAGATTTAAATCGATCACCTTTTACAAAAATCTTAATTCAAAGGGCTCTATGCAGGTCGCATCGTTAGAAGGTTTCTCTCCTGTAATAGTCATTAAACGTATGCCATGACGACTTTCAAAACGTTCTAGCCATCCTTTGTTGGCCACAAAATCATCTTTTTTTGTTATTTCCTTATAAAAAAACTTTGCTTTCATGGCCAACATGGGTCCTGAAATTGGTGCATGTCTATTTCTTTCCTGAAGAAACCAGATGTACAAAGCTTCTTCCACTTCTGGATGTTCAGCTTTCTTGAGTGTCTGTCTCTTGCCTGGTCATAAATTGTAAATCGGCCTACGCCGTATTCACTTGCTAAACTACTGAAAGTTTCATTGCGATTTAAGCAGTCTAAAATATCACATTTTTCTTTAGTTGTCAATGTTTTGTGCTTTCGCTTCTGAGTTTGTGATGACATTACTAGGTACTATACTTAATACACAATGAATAAATAGTAAACAATCAACGCACGCTAGGCCGTACCGCTATCACAAGTAGTCAAATTCAAACTAAGTAAAACAATGCTTACGCGTCGAGCACGATAGCGGTGGCGCGTACATATTGTAACCTGTTCAAATCTGCGTGATCTACATCAGCGAAGATTGTCAAATACGTATTTATGTAATATTCAAAGACATGTCGGATTACAGGGGGCGCCGGATTAGACAGGGGCCGGATTATCGGGGGCCCACTGTATGCCTACAGATAAATTCCTGATACTGATGATTTTGATAAATATGTTTACATTGACTATAATTTCAGGTTAGAGACAAAGCAGTTGAATCGTTGAGAATAATAGCTCAACAGCACAGCCCGCAAGATTTGGAAACTCATTTTGTTCCATTGGTACAAAGATTAGCTGCTGGGGATTGGTTCACCACCAGAAACTCCGCGTGTGGACTGTTTTCAGTAAGTTCTGCAAACTTTTACTCAAAAAACCTGTTTGTGAGATATGATAATAACTAACTCATTTTTTTCACCTGATTTTTAGGTATGCTATCCAAGGGTTTCAACGGCCATGAAAGCAGAACTGAGATCTCATTTCAGAGCATTGTGTCAGGATGAAACGCCGATGGTTCGTCGAGCAGCTGCTACGAAATTGGGGGAATTGGCACAAGTGGTGGAGCTCGAGTATCTTAAATCAGACTTGATTCCGATGTTCGTGAATTTGGCTCAAGATGAACAGGTATGTTTGTAATATCGAAATAATATCCATGAAGCTTTTCAGTGAACTGGTAAACAATAATGTTTGCGAAATACAACTTTTCAGGATTCTGTAAGGTTGCTGGGGGTAGAAGCATGCGTCAGTATTGCGACATTGTTGCCTCAGGAAGACGTGGAACAGCTGGTTATGCCCACACTAAGACAGTGTACTGGTAAGTTGGATCTCTGTTTTTGTACTTGTATTCCTTTTTAAAAAATCTTTTTAAACGGTTCTATTTTTTCTTTTTGTTTTTTTTCTGGCGGTGTCTTGGCGGAGAAATTCTCCTGCTAGCGGCAGCACGTCTTCTGTCAGGCCCTGTTGACGTCTATGTTGAAAAAGGGACGCTGTACGAGCTTTGTCAAGAAGATAACTTTCACTATGTACTAAATATCATTGAAATATCTGAAGCGGTTCTGAAAATATTAATTTCCATTTTTATTCCTAAAACATTGTTGGACCATAGTTTATAAAGCAAACTAACATTAATTTTTCATGTAGATTCACACCGTTAAATATTCGCATATCATTAAGGAACACCCTGAATAGACTACTATACATTAAAATAAACGATATTTGAATCACACGAATATTCCCTATTGATCAAACTATTTTATTTTGTAGGAGACACTTCATGGAGGGTGCGTTACATGGTAGCAGACAAATTTACGGAGCTGCAAAAAGCCGTGGGACCTGAAATCACCAGGACCGATTTGGTCCCGGCTTTCCAGAGCTTACTTAAAGACACGGAAGCAGAAGTACGGGCGGCGGCCGCTAACAAGGTCAAAGACTTCTGTCAGAATCTCGACAAAACCCACCAAGAAAACATCATCATGACCAATATTCTGCCGTGCGTTAAAGAATTAGTGGCCGATCCCAATCAACATGTCAAATCAGCGCTTGCATCGGTAAGCATCTTAAATATTTTTTTTTTAGGTTTGAGGTATCGAGTCGTTGATAAAGGACACCTGATGTATACAGGGTGTCCCAGAAGTCGACGTCAAGCCGAAACCGGATGATAGGCAAAGCCATAACAGCTAACAGAAAAATATTTAAAAAAATTTTATGTATGTGTTTTGAAAATTATAGGTCTTTGAAAAAAATATAGAAATTTCACACCCTACGGCAGTCTGTCAACTCCTGTTACTACAAATATTAACTTTTTTTGGATTTTATTTTTACAATGTAATGATGAATAATGCATCTTCAAACTGGTGTCTCAACCTTACTGCCAACTTTTCTCGTTCAGGAAAAATTGCCACTTATTTCCCAACCAAGTATTCCATAGTAAAACTTTGCTCAACTTTAACTGGCTGTACTGGAAAAAAATGTACTACGAGAGTTTGGCAAGTAACCTTAAAAGTTGGCGCATTTAATAAGGATTCCAAAACGGTATAACACTTAAATTACTCGTTAACTTATGCACACTTTTTATTTGAAGAAAAACTGATGGAAATTTTTCAAAATTTCCTAATTAAACAGCGATTATGAAAACGCACAAGGACCCTTAAGGATAACTGTTTGCACAACAGTGGGCGTCAAAATGCTGCTGATGATGATTTACCTTTACAGCAAATGCTCAAACTGTTTTCCTTCAGCCGCAATACACGCTCGACATCTTAAAACAGATCTGGTTATTAAACGAGCGAATCCACGGTTATTAACAAACTCAGCTGCTTCCAATAGTCTTTGCCGTAGCTCAGCTACATTTTGAATCGGCTTAAAATACACTTTTTCTTTTACAGTTCCCCAGTAAAAAAAATCTAACGAATTCAAATCTGGTGACCGGGCTGGTCACGGCATTGTACCAGACTGCCCTATCCATCTGCCTGGAAAGTTTTGATCGAGATACTCTCTCACTGAGTGCATAGTGCGCTGGGCAGCCATCATGCTGAAACCACATGTCCCAATACTCAGTGGCACGTCCTCCAATAAATTTTCTAAATGATTTTGCAAAAAACCTAAATAAACTTCAGCAGTCAAAGTCTCTGGGAACTCAAATGGACCGATTATTTTACCATTTAAAATTCCTGTCCAATGGTTTATCTTGAAGCGATATTGAGATTTATCTTCTCTCATCAAATGTGGGTTTGCCACGTGCCACTCGTGTAAGTTATGCAGGTTCATGTACCCATCTTTCTTAAATGTGGTCTCATCTGACCATACAATTTTTTCAAAGATCCGTGGATCTTCCCTGTGTCTTTCTAACATTGTGCGACAAAAAGCAACTCGGGGCTCATAATCCCGGGGCAGAAGAGCTTGAACACGCTGTACGTGGTATGGATGGAGCACGTTTTTTTGCAAGATTCTATGGGCTGTACTTTTGGGCACACCTGTTTTTAGTTCGATTGCACGCACTGAAGTACTCGGGTCTTCTTCGACAGCTCCTAGCACCACGTCTTCGTAAGGAAGGAAAGATCTTCCCTCACCGTGTGATTGGTTTGGTAGTTGGCCCTCTGAGAACAGTAAGCGGTGCACATTTGTGAACACTCGATGATCTGGATAACGAGCTGCATTCGGGTACCTCTCACAGTAAAGTCTCACTGCAGCACTAGCGTTGCATCTGCATTCCCCATAAATGAGGTGCATGTTAGCATATTCTTGTACGGTGTACACGGACATAGCGGCACTGCACAATCACACTATCAAAGATAGTCTAAGGAAAGCAAATGTTGTTTTGAAGAGCAATTAAACAGTCCAAATCCAAATCACAAGCGATCAACAGTCCAGTTCACGAATCCAAAATTAGTAACAGTACGAAATCAACAAGCACGAACAGGTAAAGATGCGCAGTAAACGAAGGAGTAATGATCGGTATCAAAGTGTGCAATAGCAAGTAAGTGATGTGCTTCATCCATACCACATACAGCGTGTTCAACCTCTCCTGCCCCGGGATTATGAGCCCCGAGTTGCTTTTTGTCGCACAATGTTAGAAAGACACAGGAAAGATACACAGTTCTTTGAAAAAATTTTATGGTCGGATGAGACCACATTTAAGAAAGATGGGTACATGAACTTGCATAACTTACACGAGTGGCACGTAGCAAACCCACATTTGATGAGAGAAGATAAATCTCAATATAGCTTCAAGATAAACCATTGGACAGGAATTTTAAATGGTAAAATAATCGGTCCGTTTGAGTTCCCAGAGACTTTGACTGCTGAGGTTTATTTAGGTTTTTTGCAAAATCATTTAGAAAATTTATTGGAGGCCGTGCCACTGAGTATTTACAGGGACATGTGGTTTCAGCATGATGGCTGCCCAGCGCACTATGCACTCTCAGTGAGAGAATATCTCGATCAAAACTTTTCAGGCAGATGGATAGGGCGGTCTGGTACAATACCGTGGCCAGCCCGGTCACCAGATTTGAATCCATTAGATTTTTTTTACTGGGGAACTGTAAAAGAAAAAGTGTATTTCAAGCCGATTCAAAATGTAGCTCAGCTACGGCAAAGAATATTGGAAGCAGCTGAGTTTGTTAATAACCGTGGATTCGCTCGTTTAATAACCCGATCTTTTTTAAGATGTCGAGCGTGTATTGCGGCTAAAGGAAAACAGTTTGAGCATTTGCTGTAAAGGTCAGCAGCAGCATTTTGACGCCCACTGTTGTGCAAACAGTTATCCTTGAGGGGCCTTGTGCGTTTTCATAATCGCTGTTTAATTAGGAAATTTTGAAAAATTTTCATCAGTTTTTCTTCAAATAAAAATTGTGCATAAGTTAACGAGTAATCTTCTAAGTGTTACACCATTTTGGAATCCTTATTAAATGCGCCAACTTTTAAGGTTACTTGCCAAACTCTCGTAGTACATTTTTTTCCAGTACAGCCAGTTAAAGTTGAGCAAAGTTTTACTTTGGAATACTTGGTTGGGAAATAAGTGGCAATTTTTCCTGAACGAGAAAAGTTGGCAGTAAGGTTGAGACACCAGTTTGAAGATGCATTATTCATCATTACATTGTAAAAATAAAATCCAAAAAAAGTTAATATTTGTAGTAACAGGAGTTGACAGACTGCCGTAGGGTGTGAAATTTCTATATTTTTTTCAAAGACCTATAATTTTCAAAACACATACATAACATTTTTTTAAATATTTTTCTGATAGCTGTTATGACTTTGCCTATCACCCGGTTTCGGCTTGACGTCTACTTCTGGGACACCCTGTATAGTTCCTATTGTCCTTGCATCTCTTCCAGTCCTCGAAAATCATTTGTATTGCCGTTTTAGTGTTTCCTCCTTGAAAATCGATTAAATTTCTATTTCCCTTGATGAATGATGAACATTTATTGTTGGTGTACATCACATGATCCTAGCTTTTCAAAAAGGAGTTATGATAGAACACAGTACTTTGTGTACAAGATTCATATTTTGAGCAAGTTCAAAGTTACTTTTTCTCTTTCAGGTCATCATGGGCTTGAGTCCAATCTTAGGCAGACACAATACAATTGAGCATTTATTACCTCTATTTTTGACACAATTGAAAGACGAATGTCCAGAAGTCAGATTAAACATTATATCGAATTTAGACTGTGTGAATGAAGTTATTGGTATTCAACAGCTGTCACAGTCCCTTTTGCCTGCTATCGTTGAGTTGGCCGAAGATTCAAAATGGAGAGTAAGGTACGAAATATACAAATAGTTTATCTCTGTTATCAGAGGAACTTTATTTATCCATTCATTTTCTTTCGTTCATAACATTGTTGCCAGCAATTTCATGCAATATGGCAAAGTCTTTATGTAATAGAATTTGATATCTATTTTACTAAATAATACATATTTATTTCTAGGGCTGCAATTATTGAATATATGCCTTTGTTGGCCGGGCAGTTGGGTAGGGAGTTCTTTGACGAGAAATTGAACGCATTGTGTATGACTTGGTTGATGGATCATGTATTTGCTATTAGAGAAGCTGCGACTTTAAACCTCAGGTAAGTTGCTAAACACTTTTCTAGGCAGTGGCAGATGTTAAGTTTCAGCGTCCTTTGTTTGCTGCCCGATAAAGGAACGGAAAAAAGCAAACACTTTTGATTGATGCAGCTCGCAGCCCCGCCCCTGGTCAAGGCCCTTTTGGTCCTAGGGTAAATACGTATTTATACGCGTTTTACGACCTTCCTCAAAACTATAACGTCCCTTCTGCCAAAGACTATATACAAGGCCCAGATGAGATCTAGCCTCGAGTATTGCTGACTATTCTCTAACAGACAGTCCCGGGATCCTTTCGCATCCAGGGCCGTGGATGATCTAGTTATGGATCTTTGTAATAGCACATTATACAAAGTTCAAACCTCCTATTTGTACCCGAAAACAATATGTGTGAAGTTAAGGAGAAGGCACATTGGAATCTATTTTTGTTTATATTTCAGGAAACTTGTGGACCAGTTTGGAGCGGAATGGGCTGAAAGCACCATTATACCAAAGGTACTGGCAATGTCACGGGACCAAAACTATCTGTACCGTATGACGTGTCTTTTTTGCATCAACGTACTAGCCGAAGCGTGCGGCAGCGATATTACGACGCGGCTGTTGCTACCTACGGTTCTTAGCATGGCAAATGACAAGGTATATAGGCGATAGGATTATTTTTTTGTTCTTCTTTTGTAACTCTTTGTGAGTTTATAAATAAAAAACTACATGCTGCTGGGAAGTAATCATTAGGTGGACATACTCTCTATTTTTTTTTATTTTTAATAATAATAATAATGCCTTTAACTGCAGTGAAGCGAAGTTAAGCCAGACGGCTACTCTTACACTCAACCCCACTACAGGAAAAAGAATACTTACACACATAAACAAAATAATAACATACCAAAAAAAAATACAATTCATAAGAATGACAACATTGATTGCACGAGACAAATGCAGATAGCATTGCGAGAGTTTTAAATTTGAAACAAAAATAGTAGAAGATAGTCAACAAAAAAAAAAAAATCACCGCACAAGAAAAACTAAATGGACTCCAGCACCTGACTTTTCATTAATTTCTTAAAAGAAACAACCTGTTTGGATCGATAGCCACTGTTGACTGCATTGTAATGCTTGACAGCATTATAGGTGTAACTTCTTTCAAAGACCGAGGTATTGTGAGGAGGCATGTTAAAATTAGCATTAAATCTAAGAGCTCTGGTAACAAAACTACCTCGGTGAACTAATTTGCTAGCGAGGTAAGCTGGTCTGTTAGATAATAGAACTTTATGCGTGAAGACGGTCAAAAGATAAAAAAATAACTTATCAATTCGCAACCAGTTGAGTTCTTTGATTTTATCTGAGACGCGACTAAACTTGCGCAATCCAAAAATAAACCTACAACAGCTGTTCTGAATTTTCTGGAGTTTCCTTTTGTGGACGTAGTCTAAACATGGGTAATACAGAACAAGAGAGTAAGAAATGACAGACAACACAAGACTTTCAGCGAGCTTTTTTTCGGGTTTTAAAATTCAAGATGTATCGATTAGAATAGAGGAGTTTCAAACGCATATACGTTACTCTAGATAAGAAAGAGACATGCCGATCGAATCTCATAAGTCAAGGGTAACACCGAGATTCTTGGCGTAATCCACAAAAGGGATGAGTGTCTCATCCAAAATAACACAAATCCTCTGCTTCATTTCACAGTAGGAGTTCTTCGAACAGTACAACATTGCAGTAGTTTTATTAGGATTGATCTTCAAGCAGTGTTTGTTACAGTAATCACCGATGTTAGCCAAATCTAAATTAACTTTAAAAGAAACTTCATCAACCTTTGATGGATCGAAACCAAACACTAACTGAGTATCATCTGCATAAGTTTGCATACTACAGTGGACTAAACAGTCTTGCAGATCGATCGTATAAATCAGATATAGTAAGGGACCTAATACTGAGCCCTGAGGAACTCCTGAAGGAACTGGCTCAGAGGAGGAAATTCTCTGATCAGTTTTCACTGTTTGTTGACGATTTAGCAAGTATGACTCAAAGAACCTTAGAACTATATCTGACATTCCATAATGAGATAACTTACTCAGTGGTATCTGGTGATTGACCATATCAAAGGCTTTCGAGAAATCTAACAGTACCAAGACGGTGTTGATGTGATTATCTGAATTGTGAATGATGGAATCAGTAAGATGTAATAAAAACGAAGTAGTGCTGTAACCAGCTCTGAAACCTGACTGATGTAGAGGAAATAAGTGGTTTTGTTCGAAAAACGCCACTAGTTGTGAGTAGACGGCTCTTTCGAGTATTTTTGATAGAAAGCATAATAAGGTAATTGGCCTGAGATCCGAATATTGTTCTGGATGATTAGTTTTAGCTATTGGAATAATAATACCATTTTTACAACTGGCAGGAAAGTAACCTGTTTCGAGACAGACATTAATAATGTGAGTTATATGGTCTATGGTATCAGGCAAACATAAGCAAACCATATTTAAAGTTAGACCATCAAAGCCACATGCCGTAGACTTAATGTGAGAGATTATATTGACGATGTCTTGCTGAGTAAGGAGTTTAAAAGCAAACAGAGGTGCATCCGGTGTATGGCGTCTATTGCTATAAGAGTTAGAGACACTATCAATCAAATTTGTATCAGCTGCAGCTGTCTGGAAAATTGAAAGAAAATAATTATTTAAAATGTTAGGCTCAAGGAGACACTTTGTGTATTACATTTTGGAGCTTTTACTAAAAAAAAATCTACATAATTAATGCCGTTGGGCTAAAAACTGTTTGAGGGTCCTGGGGTGATAGAAAAAGGCCTCCCCTGTCCGCCATTTCAATTTGGCAAACGATGCACCAAACGCCCTGTATTTTTAAATGAATTCCTACGGACTTAACGGCCTCAAATAAATATAGTATTAATTTTATTGGTCCAAGAGAACAAATATAAACTATTTAAAACCTACTTAAGAAAAGTGTCAACTAGCCTATTGGTCGTTCGTTATTAGGGTTCTAACGTTGTTATATCGCTTGTTTTAGGTAGCAAACGTACGATTTAACGTTGCTAAAACTCTTCAGAAGATAGCGCCGCAATTGGATCAAGCAGTGATCCAACCGCAGGTGAAACCTGTACTTGACAGACTAAACGTCGACGGAGACGTGGACGTGAAATATTCGGCATCAGAAGCTATCACGGGGATCGCTGGTAAGAGATAAAGAAAAGAAAATTAAACAGTGTTATTATCATGAAAATAAATCATTTCACGCTATTTCGACATACACGTCTTTTATATATTTGTTTTTTTTTTTTCAGCATTAGGTTGAACAGCGATTGAGAATAATATGTGTTTTATTCAACTGGTGGTTGCAAATGTGGAATGATTGGAATCTGAAAAAAAAATGTAAAATTCGTCATACAAATTAATACACAATTAATCTCATAACTTGTAATATCACCTAATCGATGTTATTAATTCAGAAACTCATACTGTAAAATAGCGATTTTTAGAGGTTAGATTTGAAAGGTTACACACATTGTCGTTTCTCCTTAATTGTATCACTATTTATTTTTTTACAGTAAATTGCCATGTTTATTGTACTAGAGAACACATTATGGTTGGATTTCTGATTTTATGTATCTAAATAAGATTGTTTTGTATTATAAGTAGTTCTTTATATGAAATAAAATTAGTATATTATATAAATAACACTGGTTGTGATTCAGTATAACCTATCCCGTTTTGATAAAAATAAGTATTTTGAACTACCCCGACAATAATGTCAATTTATCAGAATAAAAATCCAATATGGCGTCTATAATAAAAAAATAAAATTGACGATTGAGGACAAGGGACGAAACTTCATATTGAAATTCTAATTATAGCATGTTGTTAAGGAGAAAAATTGGCAATGTTTGTGTACTTTGTATGTTGAAAATCCATCTCAAATAAAGCCAGAATAAAATAAAAAAGATTTTGGTAAAGTTCTGGTTCTTTTATCTTCGGAAATATTCGGAATTGCAAAACTTTATAAGTGTCGTTTCTTACTTGTCTAATGCTCAACTTTGCCTCTATTTAAACGCCATTACCGGGATCCGAATGGTGAGAGTCGAATTTGAAACTTACTAATAAAAAATGATATTTAAATTAGTTTGCAAAATATGTATATTTTTCACTCTATATTTCCTAAATTACATTGTATGTGCTACTATTGCTTCAGCCTCTTCAACTCGTCTTCCATGTTTTGGCGACTTGGCTCTACAGTTGAAGTATCATTAATCTGAGTTGGTGCACTCTCCACATTATCTAATGTAGTTTCTGTAACACATTTCACAGCCATATTTCTCTTCAATTACCAATATACAGGGTCCGTCAGAAAGAACGCATGTTTTTTAAATGAGTAAGTACGGTCAAAATAAGTGTGGGACAAAATATTTTATTATATCAAAATACTCAAAAATACATGCCATTTTTTTGCGTGAAACAAAATTTGCGTTCTAAAAACTATGTCGGCCATAAGGCGCCCTTAGCCGAAATGCAGGAATCAAGCGTCTCCCGAAATGAGCCCATTGCGTCGGCCAGCATCCGTGCAGGAATTTGGGTAACTTTTTTTATTTCCTCTTTCAAATCGAAGAGAGTCCGAGGCTTGCTTTAGTAAACTTGTGATTTCAGGTAGCCCCATCAAAAAAATAAGGGCCAACAATCATCGTTGGACCACCAAACGTGTAACTTTCGGGGTATGCAGGGGGTGCTCATGCAAATGTTGGGGGTTCACTGGATACCAATTTTGTTTATTGACGTCTCCATGTAAAGGAAAATGTGCTTCATCACACATAAACAACCTCATGTCATTGTTATCCAACTGTTCAATCATGAGCTGTGCAAAATTAACACGTTGTGCATAATCCCCTGGCAACAGCTGCTGACAAACTTGGATTTTGTAAGGATGGAACACTAAATCCTTCTTCAGGATGCGACGTACAGAGGACGCGTGGATCCCTAGGAAACTGGCACGCAAACGAACGGAACGATTCGGGCTTTGCAGCGTATCAACTCTCAATCTGTCTACGTTTTCGGGGGTTCTAACAGTACGGTTTCGCCCTTGGCGGTTTTAATTCATCACATTACCTGTTGTGATGAATGCTTCCACCCATCCCAAAACGGTGTTACGGTCTGATACTGTCCCACGACGTGGAACACGAAAGTGAACACACGATGCTCAACGTTACAAACCATCTTGCCAACTGAAACGGCACTTCTCCCACTATCCAACACGCCCTTCCCCACCGACACGGGACCAGCCCACTTGATGTAGTACCCTTTCGAAAAATATACGTTCTTTCTGACGGACCCTGTAGATGTAAATGACTAGAAGCCACAGCATTTCCAAGCGATTAATTTTCTAAATTATATCATTTATACAGGGTGTTCCAGAAGTCGACGTCAAGCCGAAACCGGGTGATAGGCAAAGTCATAACAGCTATCAGAAAAATATTAAAGAAAATTTTATGCATGTGTTTTGAAAATTATAGGTCTTTGAAAAAGATATAGAAATTTCACACCCTACGGCAGTCTGTCATCTCCTGTTACTACAAATATTAACTTTTTTTGGATTTTATTTTTACAATGTAATGATGAATAATGAATCTTCAAACTGGTGTCTCAACCTTACTGTCAACTTTTCTCGTTCAGCAAAAATTGCCACTTATTTCCCAACCAAGTATTCCAAAGTAAAACTTTGCTCAACTTTAACTGGCTGTACTGGAAAAAAATGTACTACGAGAATTTGGCAAGTAACCTTAAAAGTTGCCGCATTTAATAACGATTCCAAAATGGTATAACACTTAGAAGATTACTCGTTAACTTATGCACAATTTTTATTTGAAAAAAAACTGATGAACAGCGATTATGAAAACGCACAAGGACCCTTAAGGATAACTGTTTGCACAACAGTGGACGTCAAAATGCTGCTGATGATGATTTATACGTACCTTTACAGCAAATGCTCAAACTGTTTTCCTTCAGCCGCAATACACGCTCGACATATTCTTAAAAAAGATCGGGTTATTAAACGAGCGAATCCACGGTTATTAACAAACTCAGCTGCTTCCAATAGTCTTTGCCGTAGCTCAGCTACATTTTGAATCGGCTTGAAATACACTTTTTCTTTTAAAGTTCCCCAGTAAAAAAATCTAAAGGATTCAAATCAGGTGATCGGGCTGGCCACGGTATTATACCAGACCGCCTTATCCATCTGCCTGGAAAGTTTTGATCGAGATACTCTCTCACTGAGAGTGCATAGTGCGCTGGGCAGCCATCATGATGAAACCACATGTCCCTGTAAATACTCAGTGGCACGTCCTCCAATAAATTTTCTAAATGATTTTGCAAAAAACCTAAATAAACCTCAGCAGTCAAAGTCTCTGGGAACTCAAACGGACCGATTATTTTACCATTTAAAATTCCTGTCCAATGGTTTATCTTGAAGCGATATTGAGATTGATCTTCTCCCATCACAGGTGGGTTTGCTACGTGCCACTCGTGTAAGTTATGCAGGTTCATGTACCCATATTTCTTAAATGTGGTCTCATCCGACCATAAAATTTTATCAAAGAACTGTGGATCTTTCCTGTGTCTTTCTAACATTGTGCGACAAAAAGCAACTCGGGGCTCATAATCCCAGCGCAGGAGAGGTTGAACACGCTGTATGTTGTATGGATGAAGCACATCACTTACTTGCTATTGCACACTTTGATACCGATCAGTACTCCTTCGTTTACTGCGCATCTTTACATGTTCGTGCTTGTTGATTTCGTAATGTTACTAATTTTGGATTCGTGAACTGGACTGTTGATCGCTTGTGATTTGGATTTGGACTGTTTAATTGCTCTTCAAAACATTTGCTTTCCTTAGACTATCTTTGATAGTGTGATTGTGCAGTGCCGCTATGTCCGTGTACACCGTACAAGAATATGCTAACATGCACCTCATTTATGGGGAATGCAGATGCAACGCTAGTGCTGCAGCGAGACTTTACTGTGAGAGGTACCCGAATGCAGCTCTTCATCCAGATCATCGAGTGTTCACAAATGTGCACCGCTTACTATTCTCAGAGGGCCAACTACCAAACCAATCACACGGTGAGGGAAGATCTTTCCTTCCTTACGAAGACGTGCTGCTAGGAGCTGTCGAAGAAGACCCGAGTACTTCAGTGCGTGCAATAGAACTAAAAACAGGTGTGCCCAAAAGTACAGCCCATAGAATCTTGCAAAAAACGTGCTCCATCCATACCACGTACAGCGTGTTCAAGCTCTTCTGCCCCGGGATTATGAGCCCCGAGTTGCTTTTTGTCGCACAATGTTAGAAAGACACAGGGAAGATCCACGTTTCTTTGAAAAAATTTTATGGTCAGATGAGACCACATTTAAGAAAGATGGGTACATGAACCTGCATAACTTACACGAGTGGCACGTAGCAAACCCACATTTGATGAGAGAAGATAAATCTCAATATCGCTTCAAGATAAACCATTGGACAGGAATTTTAAATGGTAAAATAATCGGTCCGTTTGAGTTCCCAGAGACTTTGACTGCTGAGGTTTATCTAGGTTTTTTGCAAAATCATTTAGAAAATTTATTGGAGAACGTGCAACTGAGTATTTACAGGGACATGTGGTTTCAGCATGATGGCTGCCCAGCGCACTATGCACTCTCAGTGAGAGAGTATCTCGATCCAAACTTTCCAGGCAGATGGATAAGGCGGTCTGGTACAATACCGTGGCCAGCCCGGTCACCAGATTTGAATCCGTTAGATTTTTTTTACTGGGGAACTGTAAAAGTAAAAGTGTATTTCAAGCCGATTCAAAATGTAGCTGAGCTACGGCAAAGACTATTGGAAGCAGCTGAGTTTGTTAATAACCGTGGACTCGCTCGTTTAATAACCTGATCTTTTTTAAGAAGATGTCGAGCGTGTATTGCGGCTGAAGGAAAACAGTTTGAGCATTTGCTGTAAAGGTAATTCATCATCAGCAGCATTTTGACGCCCACTGTTGTGCAAACAGTTATCCTTAAGGGTCCTTGAGCGTTTTCATAATCGCTGTTTGATTAGGAAATTATTCTTCAAATAAAAATTGTGCATAAGTTAACGAGTAATCTTCTAAGTTTTATACCATTTTGGAATCCTTATTAAATGCGCCAACTTTTAAGGTTATTTGCCAAACTGTCGTAGTACATTTTTTTCCAGTACAGCCAGTTAAAGTTGAGCAAAGTTTTACTTTGGAATACTTGGTTGGGAAATAAGTGGCAATTTTTCCTGAACGAGAAAAGTTGGCAGTAACGTTGATACACCAGTTTGAAGATGCATTATTCATCATTACATTGTAAAAATAAAATCCAAAAAAAGTTAATATTTGTAGTAACAGGAGTTGACAGACTGCCGTAGGGTGTGAAATTTCTATATCTTTTTCAAAGACCTATAATTTTCAAAACACATACATAAAATTTTTTTAAATATTTTTCTGATAGCTGTTATGACTTTGCCTATCACCCGGTTTCGGCTTGACGTTGACTTCTGGGACACCCTGTATAGCGTTCTCAGGCTAAACCCAATTTCACGAGTATCCATCACGTTTTGACGTCTACTGAAGTGAACAGCTTAAATCTAGTAAAACTTGTTTGTACCGTTTTGTTTTTTGAATGCGAATGGACTGTTCTAAATAAAAGCTGTTAGCAAGTACAAAATTAATATGAAGCGTACAAAAAAACAAAACAAAATATGGCTCTGTGTACCTAGCGTTGACGGATCCGTCATAATTGTGTTCTTTGATCATATGGGGAATTCTGAAATATTACTAGATAATCAGCTGTCATTCTACCGAAAAGGATCATCGTGAAAAAGACAATAGACAACATTAACAGCATACGAGGGTGGTCCCAGACGTACCCGGCCTGACCTAGAGATGGCGATAGTTGTTTGAAAAATATTGTATTAGAAAGTATGCAACCTATAAAGCATATGTGTCAAGTTTGAAGACGCCACGTTGTTTAGTATTTGTTTGGCAGCCATCAATACTGAACGTTTTCAGTGAATTTGTGAAAATGGAGAAAATTGGTGATCGTTATGTGGTACAGTACTTTTATTTCAAAGGCCTCAGCCCAACCAATATAAAAGCTAAACTGGATTCTACTCCGGGTGAGTCTGCTCCTTCGTTTACCAAAGTAAAATATTGGGTAGCAGAGTTTAAACGAGGCCGTATGATCTGCCAAGACGAGCATCGCAGTTGTCGACCCAATGAGGTGACGACTCCAGAAATGGTGAAGAAAATTCACAAAGCGGTACTCAATGATCGTCGACTGAAAGTGCGCGAGCTAGCAGACATAGTAGGCATTTCAAAAGTGCGGTTCATCGCATATGATCTGAAAATTTTGTACACAAGAAAGCTGTGTGCAAGATGTTTGCCGCGATTGCTCACAATCGAGCAAAAACAGTGTCGTGAAGATGTTTCAATTGAGTGTTTAGCGAAGTTTCACAGCAACAAAGCAGAATTTTTGCGTCGTTTCACAACCATGGATGAAAACATGGGTCCATCAGTTCACACCCGAACAATCAAAACAATGGACTCAGAAGGCACAACCGGCTCAAAGAAGGCGAAGACCGTTTCATCTGCAGGCAAGGTTAAGGCGTCGGTTTTTTGGGATGCGCGTGGGATAATTTCCATTGAATATCTTGAAAAAGGTAAAACTATCAACGGCGAACTTATTGCAACGTTTGAGCGATGAAATCAAGCAAAAACGGCCGCGTTCGGTTAAGAAGAAAGTGCTGTTTCATCAAGACAATGCACCAGCTCACAAATCCGTTATTGCAATGGCCAAAATTAACGAATTAAAGTTTGAATTGCTACCTCATGCACCCTATTCACCAGATTTAACCCCCTCGGATTATTTTCTGTTTCCAAACGTGAAAAAATGGCTCAGTGGTCAAAGATTTTCCAACGATCTGGAAGTGATGTCGGCAGTTAATCGCTATTTTGAGGAGCAAGACAGTTCTTATTATAAAAAGGGTATCGAACTTATTGAACATCGCTGAAAAAAGTGTATAGAGCTCAAGGGAGATTATGTTGAAAAATAAATAAATTTTTTTACAAAATTTTTGCTTTCTTCGTTGGGTCGGGTAGTTCTGGGACCACCCTCATACTTTGACGTTAACGCTAAAGTCATTAGAAATTTACCGAACAAAATTATTTATTTACATGTCAAAAAACTAGCGTCAAGCAGGTTAACTCCGCACTTCCTACACAACGCCGTCATAAACTCATAAATGATTAAGTTCAGAACCCTTTAAGAGAAAATTTAGTTACTAATGAACAACAGAGAAATTGAATGGATCAGATGGGTCCATAGTCCGTAGTATAAACAGAATAGTCAATCACACCGGCAAGTCGGACGGTGAGCCCAGATAGCAGATGGAGACGCGCAGCGAAAAAAATATATCTAGTTTTAAAGACGGGAAAACCTAACGAAGTTTGAGCGATTTTTATTTTTTCCGTGTTTTTACCCCCAGTTCTGCCGCCACTGAACCGATTTTCCAAAACTGCAAAGCTCTTTATTCGTCCTTGGCATAGTAGTAAGCTTCAGACGAGCCAAAGATTAGCGAGTCAAAATACGTATCACTCAGTGGCGTAGGAATTAAAAGGTAAACGTTATTAATTGCGTTCGCGGGTCAAAAAATAAACCAGTTCGGAACTAAAACTGAACCATCCAGAATTACACAAATGCGCATGTCCAGTTATTTTCTAGTTCGAGATTTTCGTTTACCGCGAACGACTTTGGAACTGTTTGCGTATTGGAACTACGAAGTAACTGGAAACTTGGAAAAAAAGGCGCCGTTTTTCATTTCCTATTTCTAATTATCCGCCGTCATACCTCGTCTTTCAAAGATCGGCAGAAATTATAGCAATCGGTATTCGGAAACCTTAAAAAACGTTCAATCTATCTCAAATTTGAAAATTCTTATAATCACGACTAGTTGTGAGACCAAGAACTCCAAAAACACTACCTGTAGCGTCACCGGCTATTTTCTTTTCCTTTGCGAAACATTTGAACCTCGACTTCTTAATCGTCGGCTTAGTCACATTTTCTTCTGTTCGTGGTGGTAAAGGGCCCTTGAAATTTTCATGTTAGAAGAAATATTTTTTTATTTTCCTAGAAATATACCATGATTTCAGTGAGTGTCCATCCTCCAGTATATCCGCAGTCTCCTCTGCCGAAGATCCAACCTGGCGCAATGCCCTCGGAGTTATTCAATAAAATTGCGTTTCTTGCCGATGTGTACATTATTCTTAGGACCAGAAATACAAGTAACTAGAAATAGTCAATTTTAGTTGTAAGGTAAGGTGTTGTTCTCCTGAAGATGCTAACATAGCGAAACACGAGTCGGGTGTCGGTGTCACGATTCAGGTCTAGCAAGATACTTTTTACACCAAGATACAGCAATATACAGGGTGTTTCAGTTTATTGTTGCTCAACTTCAAGATTCGATAGAACTTTTAAAATTAATGCATAAAGTCTATATAAACATGGGTCGAAAAATGCGTGGCTTCCGAAATACAGGGTGTTTAAATTTACTTTCTAAAATAGTTTTTTTTAAATATTTCGAACAATATTTGATGTATAACAGTGAAAATTGGTATACAAGGGATCTTTGGTACGACAAAACGAACCATGGGCATAGTTTTACTGTAGCCGCTAGAGGGCGCTCTCTACTTTACCTGTAGTGTATTAAAATGACCGACAAAATTTTCTTAGTGCAATTTTTGGCTTTTTGAATAAAAATACTGATTCTTCGCACGTTTCAACATAAAAAAGCTCTCCTGTGAGTTTTCGTTATAGTTAGCCGTTTTTGAGATATTTCGATTTTTAAGGTTCGATGCATTTTTAATTATTTATGATAAAATAACCTTAAAAAGTCAGTATCTCGATAATTTTTAGAAGTAGGCTGTGCCTGCAAATATTTTTGAAATTGAAAGCAGAATAAGGTTAAACGTCAATTAGTTGACAGTTAGTTTTGTTGTCTGTTGAAACCTGAAACGTTTTTTTGCAATTGTGAATGCACGAAATTTAGTTTCTTTTACCTGTTTTTTTTTTGTAAGTTTTATAAAAATGCCATTTTTATTCTCCAATCCTGAGTTAGCGGATATTCATTTTGTGTATGGCTTTGTAAATGGAAACGCAGCAGAAGCAGCCAGAAAATACGCACGAAGATTTCCAAACAGACGACATCCAACTCGCTCAGTATTTGTAAGAGTGCATCGCCAAATAATTGAAAATGGTTTTGGAAATCTCCAAATGGATCAAAAACATAAATGTTCGTCAGCGCAGATTTACCCGTATGATTCTGCGTGAGTTTGATAGAGATCCGACCACAAGTGTTATGAGAGTTTCTGGTGTCTTGGGAATTTCAGCAAGCCACGTTCACCGTGTTCTTAGAAATGACCATAGACGTCCTTATCATTTGCAATCTGTGCAAGGACTACAGCCAGGGGACGCAGAACGAAGAACCACATTTTGTCAGTGGATTTTTGATAGAACTGATAATAATAGCGAGTTTTTAAGTAACGTTTTATGGACCGATGAGTCATGCTTCACTGGACGTGGAGTGCTAAATTTTCATAATCAACATATTTGGAAATCCGCATGCAGTTCGGGAAAGAAATTTTCAGCATGAATTTAGTGTGAACGCGTGGATTGGTATCTACCGTAATCGACTATTTGGACCCTACCTTTTGCCTGCAAGGTTAAATGCTGCGACCGTCTTGGAATTAGTAAAGGCTGAACATGCAAATATGTGGGATAATGTTATGTTAGATTTAAGAGGATTGGCCTGGTTCCAGCTTGATGGTTGTCCAGCTCATTATTCGAGAATAGTTAGAAACTGGCTGGACGAAAATTATCCAGAAAGATGGATCGGCCGTGGAGGACCAGTCGCCTGGCCTCCACGATCCCCAGACCTAAATCCATTAGATTTCTTTGTGTGGGGATTTCTAAAAGAAAAAGTGTACCAGACTCCCCTAACCACAAGAGATATGCTAATAGACAGAATCAGGAATGCATGTGATGAAATAAGGCCTTATTTGAATAAAGCTATACCACGTGCGATCATTCGTAGATGAGAATTGTGTATTGAACAATTGGGTTTACATTTCGAGCAACTACTTTAGATTTTGTATGTTTGTTATAACTATCCAATAGCATTTTAGTTGTAAATAATTAATTTAAGTTGTAATATTGGAAAATTAAACAAATTAATATTCTGTTTTTTTGTATTTATTTGGAGTTAGGAATTATTGCTGTGTTTAAAAACACAATCTAAACGATCATCTTAATTACTTGTAATGCCCAAATCGAAAATGTAAAAAAATATTATTTTCCCATAAATAATTAAAAATGCATCGAACCTAAAAAATCAAAATATCTCAAAAACGGCTAACTATAACGAAAACTCACAGGAGAGCTTTTTTATGTTGAAAAGTGCGAAGAATCAGTATTTTTATTCAAAAAGCAAAAAATTGCACTAAGAAAAATTTTTCGGTCATTTTAATACACTACAGGTACAGTAGAGAGCGCCCCCTAGCGGCTACAGTAAAACTATGCCCATGGTTCGTTTTGTCGTACCAAAAAACCCTTGTATACCAATTTTCACTGTTATACATCAAATATTGTTCGAAATATTTAAAAAAAACTATTTGAGAAAGTAAATTTAAACACCCTGAATTTCGGAAGCCACGCATTTTTCGACCCATGTTTATATAGACTTTATGCATTAATTTTAAAAGTTCTATCGAATCTTAAAGTTATGCAACAATAAACTGAAACTATACCATTTTCTTGAAAAAAAATCCGGCTTTGAGATGAAATAATGAATTAAACCAATGAGTTTCATTTTGCCACGAATGATCACCCTGTAGCGCCTTACCCGCGCCATATAGGTCGATACCCTGAACGGCACCCGCTGAGAAATCGTCGGCAAATAATGCATAATCTGCAAAGTTGTATTCCTGCCCTGCGATCACTCGAGGCGAATCTCTCTTCGTTGGAGTGGACCTTCCTGGGCCAAAAAGTAAGTACCGTTATTGTACTTTTATTGCGTAGCGTTTTGTTAATACGCTTTGATATTTTTTTTTGTGTTATCATTTGAACCTCCACACCAGCGAGTCTGCTCAACCCAGAGCAGACTTGCCCCCACGTTACAATCGTGACAATATTTTTCAATGATGAGACGCCGTAGAAAAACCTTAAAATCAACAGGGATGCAACAACTGATCTCTGATTTGTTGAATGGAAGAGCGGATTTTTCTATATGGTAGTAAGATCAGAATTTTGATGTTTGTCAGGAAAGCAGCTATTATTTATTAAAGTACTACGTATACATTTATGTGCTTATCTTGACAATAAAAACAATTTATTATTATTATATGATTACTTTACCTGTAATAGAAACACTAATGCTGTCATACAGATGTATGTGTTAATAAAGATGAATATGAGCTTGGTTAATGCATCTAGGCACCCTTTCGTATTGATAGATTCTTTTACAATGTTTGGTTCGTCGACCCATACGTGTGCAAACTGTGGCTGTTGCAAAGGGTCGTGGAGACATTGCATAGGAAAATCTGTTCTGCAGCAACTCCACGGAATTACAGGGAGCGACAAGATGTCTTCACTGATACGGTACCTAGACAGTCGAGGTGTTGAGCATTAACATCTGATATCCGATTTCTAACGGAACTAACAAATTCTTACTAAGGTGACATATCCTTGATTTTCATTTTTTCGTTGGTACCAGCACTCTATTTTGAGGTTATGTTACAAATATCCATTTGCATGAAATTATTCAAGCTTTTGATTTACATGATCTGTTATATCAACCTGAAATTTCGTACAATTCGAAAAGAAAACATAGCCTCACAATAGGAAAGGGCTGACGCTGACACGGAACAGTAATCTAGAAATATCCCAGCCTTTCTGAAGGAGAGAAAAGACTATAAAAATCAGGGAGGCCATAAAGGCGTCCTACAAAAAATGTAGGAAGGACTGACGATACGGCCCTAAGTGGAAGGAGCTGGCTTGTGCTTTGTTTTGAACGAAAATTAAATTACTATTTTTCTGCGAGTACATAAAAAAAGTGCGTTGGTTATCTATACAATCCCAAATTGCCGAAAATCGTGAAAGTGTTTATGTATTAGGCGTCTAAGGTGAATAAAAACGGATCTTTTGAAATAAAAGTGTTAATATATACAAGGTGTCCCAGAAGCAAATTAATTTTTACTGTAGCTTTAATGTGCGTGTAAAGTGTAAGTTGTTTTTTGCCAGTCGAGGTGTTGAGCATTAACATCTGATATGCGATTTCTAACGGAACTAACAAATTCTTACTAAGGTGACATATCCTTGATTTTCATTTTTTCGTTGGTACCAGCACTCTATTTTGAGGTTATGTTACAAATATCCATTTGCATGAAATTATTCAAGCTTTTGATTTACATGATCTGTTATATCAACCTGAAATTTCGTACAATTCGAAAAGAAAACATAGCCTCACAATAGGAAAGGGCTGACGCTGACACGGAACAGTAATCTAGAAATATCCCAGCCTTTCTGAAGGAGAGAAAAGACTATAAAAATCAGGGAGGCCATAAAGGCGTCCTACAAAAAATGTAGGAAGGACTGACGATACGGCCCTAAGTGGAAGGAGCTGGCTTGTGCTTTGTTTTGAACGAAAATTAAATTACTATTTTTCTGCGAGTACATAAAAAAAGTGCGTTGGTTATCTATACAATCCCAAATTGCCGAAAATCGTGAAAGTGTTTATGTATTAGGCGTCTAAGGTGAATAAAAACGGATCTTTTGAAATAAAAGTGTTAATATATACAAGGTGTCCCAGAAGCAAATTAATTTTTACTGTAGCTTTAATGTGCGTGTAAAGTGTAAGTTGTTTTTTGCCAGTCGAGGTGTTGAGCATTAACATCTGATATGCGATTTCTAACGGAACTAACAAATTCTTACTAAGGTGACATATCCTTGATTTTCATTTTTTCGTTGGTACCAGCACTCTATTTTGAGGTTATGTTACAAATATCCATTTGCATGAAATTATTCAAGCTTTTGATTTACATGATCTGTTATATCAACCTGAAATTTCGTACAATTCGAAAAGAAAACATAGCCTCACAATAGGAAAGGGCTGACGCTGACACGGAACAGTAATCTAGAAATATCCCAGCCTTTCTGAAGGAGAGAAAAGACTATAAAAATCAGGGAGGCCATAAAGGCGTCCTACAAAAAATGTAGGAAGGACTGACGATACGGCCCTAAGTGGAAGGAGCTGGCTTGTGCTTTGTTTTGAACGAAAATTAAATTACTATTTTTCTGCGAGTACATAAAAAAAGTGCGTTGGTTATCTATACAATCCCAAATTGCCGAAAATCGTGAAAGTGTTTATGTATTAGGCGTCTAAGGTGAATAAAAACGGATCTTTTGAAATAAAAGTGTTAATATATACAAGGTGTCCCAGAAGCAAATTAATTTTTACTGTAGCTTTAATGTGCGTGTAAAGTGTAAGTTGTTTTTTGCCAGTCGAGGTGTTGAGCATTAACATCTGATATGCGATTTCTAACGGAACTAACAAATTCTTACTAAGGTGACATATCCTTGATTTTCATTTTTTCGTTGGTACCAGCACTCTATTTTGAGGTTATGTTACAAATATCCATTTGCATGAAATTATTCAAGCTTTTGATTTACATGATCTGTTATATCAACCTGAAATTTCGTACAATTCGAAAAGAAAACATAGCCTCACAATAGGAAAGGGCTGACGCTGACACGGAACAGTAATCTAGAAATATCCCAGCCTTTCTGAAGGAGAGAAAAGACTATAAAAATCAGGGAGGCCATAAAGGCGTCCTACAAAAAATGTAGGAAGGACTGACGATACGGCCCTAAGTGGAAGGAGCTGGCTTGTGCTTTGTTTTGAACGAAAATTAAATTACTATTTTTCTGCGAGTACATAAAAAAAGTGCGTTGGTTATCTATACAATCCCAAATTGCCGAAAATCGTGAAAGTGTTTATGTATTAGGCGTCTAAGGTGAATAAAAACGGATCTTTTGAAATAAAAGTGTTAATATATACAAGGTGTCCCAGAAGCAAATTAATTTTTACTGTAGCTTTAATGTGCGTGTAAAGTGTAAGTTGTTTTTTGCCAGTCGAGGTGTTGAGCATTAACATCTGATATGCGATTTCTAACGGAACTAACAAATTCTTACTAAGGTGACATATCCTTGATTTTCATTTTTTCGTTGGTACCAGCACTCTATTTTGAGGTTATGTTACAAATATCCGTTTGCATGAAATTATTCAAGCTCTTGATTTACATGACCTGTTATATCAACCTGAAATTTCGTACAAATCAAAAAGAAAACATAGCCTCACAATGGGAGAGCGCTGACGCTGACACGGAACAGTAATCTAGAAATACCCCAGCCTTTCTGGAGGAGAGAAAAGACTATAAAAATCAGGGAGGCCATAAAGGCGTCCCACAATTGTAGGAACGACTGACGATACGGTCCTAAGTGGAAGGAGCTGGCTTGTGATTTGTTTTGAACGAAAATTACGTAATTAGGGTGCAAGCACATACTAAAAGTCAATCAGGATTAAGCCGTCAGTTTGATATTTCGCATTAAATTACTATTTTTCTGCGAGTACATAAAAAAGTGCGTTGGTTAATCTACATGGTGACTTTGAAGTTGAGTCATTAATTTTCAGATAGTGATTGTAGAAGGAAGATAAACCAAAATATGTGTGTGAAAATAAAAATAAAACGTTACCTTGTTGTTATAAAGTATCCTCCCGACAAGTATTTCAATGCGGACCAGTATTTGATCGTGCGGTCTTGGAGCACCGGCATGCTCTCCCCTGTGAGGTCTTAAGTCACCTGATTCACGAGCCCTTTGTACTACATTAACAAAGGCACGAGGGGTTGGTTGCACTCGATTGGGAAACCGATGCGATGAACCGATGCGGATTATATCCGTTGTTGCCAAACACGAGCACATAATATTATTATTGAGACAGGGCGGTACTCAAACTTCTAAAGGGCTATAACTTTGTTACTTTAATTTTACCAGAAAAATGTTAAAGGGAAAAAACATTTCTTTTGATCAGATCTACTCACTGTTAAAATAAATGACTCAACTTCGAAGTCACCCTGTATACAATCCCAAATTGCCGAAAATCGTGAAAGTGTCTGTGTATTAGGCGTCTAAGGTGAATAAAAACGGATCTTTTGAAATAAAAGTGTTAATATATACAAGGTGTCCCAGAAGCAAATTAATTTTTACTGTAGCTTTAATGTGCGTGTAAAGTGTAAGTTGTTTTTTGCCTTTTTCAATACACTGAGACTTGTTTTTAATTTTAAAGTAAAGTCTGGTTGCAATATATTATTTTTTTTACTATATAATTCCTCATTATGACAATTTCTAGAAATTTATTATACAGGGTGTCCGCAAAGTTGGGGTTTTCCTTTTCAGGAACAACTACCCTTGAAATAACAAAGGTAATGTGTAGTGAAACGAGGGCGACCAAGTAAAAAAAAATAAAGGAAAAAGTACTCACTCTCCAGTTGACGAGAAGGGCTAAGTACGTCTCTGCCCGAAATCATACCGCTCCAACAGAAAATGAAATCAGCTGAAGCGCTACCGAGCGGACGCAGAAACCACATTGATTGTCTTACACTTAATGGCACATCTTCTAACAAGGAAGGCAAAATGTTGCGTGAAAAGTCTAGATATTGCATCCCGTCCAATCGATTTGGGAGAATAAATGGTCCAATGAGCATACCGTTCACCATGCCAGCCCAAACATTCACCGAAAATGTTTGTTGAAAATGTGCCCGACGGACAGCGTGCGGATTTTCTACTGACCAAACATGAGTGTTGCGAAAGTTATTCACCCCATTACGCGTGAACGTAGATTCGTCTGTCACCAATATGCACTTCAAAAAGTCCGGATTATTGTCATGTTGATGCAACAACCACTCACAAAACCGCACTCTTGCTGGAAAATCGTCAGGTTGAAGGGCTTGTACACGTTGGACGTGAAACGGATACAGCCCCTCTTCACGCAGCGTTTGCCACACTTTAGTTTTTGATACTTGCACTTCTCTAGCCACGTCTCTAGTGCTTGTTGTTTTTTGAAACGCAATCGATCATACGAGTTCGTTTACCTCTACACGCGTGACTGTAACCGTCGGTTGAATGTTGCATACTAACCTGACACACTGACCCCGACCCAGTTCTGCCGTCGGGTTGAGACCTTGTACCAGTCGGGGATATCCCGGCGGGTCGCGGCTACAGGACGGTATTCAGATATTTTTGATGTTGCAGAGCCCTTTATCTCGGTTGCCTTAAGAAATTGGTGTATATGGTACTAAGAAAAATTGCTTATATTTTCAAGATCTACACGTCGTGTAAAGGAAAACCCCAACTTTGCGGACACCCTGTATATTCAAACAGCTTCACAGTACAAACCTTATACAAAAATTACTAAAAATTAGAAAAATAGGGGTTTCCATTTAAAAATCTAAGTTGTAACGCAATATCTTATTTTTGGATCACCCTGTATTGCACGGCTATAGATGAAAAGACGCTCCCCTAGAAATCAAAATTCACGTGTCCGAGCGTTTTTCCCAAATATATACCAGGAGATCCACAAATGAGTGTGAGACCTTGTCGTTGAGGCTAAATATTCTCTATGTCATATTTTTGACAAAATTTTCTAGAAGCAACTTACTCTTTAATAGTATCGCATTCCGCATTCACGTGATATTTAGTCAACCACGCCTTTTCCTCCCAATCTTCAAAAGAAAATATCCCACAACACTGATTATCATACTGCAGTTTATCTATAGTTCCTTTCCATGTGATATCTTTTAGGTAATGGCCCATTCCAATCATAAACGACTGTTTTACAGATTTGGCGATATGACCTTTCAATTTTCTCAAGTAGTGACATACAATGAGTAGGTTCAGCGTCATGTTAGCACCTATACATGACCAAAGGAACAATAAGCTCTTCGTGCTTTTCCTTAAAAGAAAACTGCAGTTAAACCCACAAATGTGGACAAGAGGAAACATAGATATACTTTGTACTATTATTATTCTCTTTTATGTTTACTGGATGATATTTTTTCTTACTTCAGCGTTGTCAATCAGGCTCAAAGTTTCTATACGCATACTTACTTGTACGCCTGCTTGAAACACTTAAAACAAACTTTATAACCAACGATGTGTTGTATAATTATGTGGGTTCCAAATATTCCTGTGATTGCAAATGCAAAATCCACCTCGGATTTTTCGCTGTGTATAATAGGTGAGACTACTATCATCGTGTAAAATGAAGAACCTGCCATGCAGAACCCAATCGCCATTTCCAATGTGCACATAAAATATATGATAGATGCTAGGGTGTTTCTGTTTTTCTGGGACAGTTTGTATAGTCCAACAGCCATTTTCTTAAATTATACGATTCAATATTATTGGAAAAAGATATAAAATACTGACAAGAATGTCACATATGAGGTTAACATTCACTGCCAACTGGAAATATCTGGACGTGGATTTCTTAATTTAGGAGACAAGTGCTCCAAAAAGAAAAAATAGTATTGATATAAGTCAACGAATTCAGACTAGGTAGAAGGGGCAATCCTACGATGTGTTTGTCTCCAAAATATACTAAGTGACATATAAATCCGAACACCCAGTTTAAATGGTTTTATTTTAATAAAAGTTGGTGAATGTATTTATCTTACTGTAAATAACAAGTGAAAAAATTTTCAGCCTTATCAGTTGGACATTCCGGTTTTTATACTGCTTTTTTTTAATTCACTAACGCTCTAAAAATGAATATTTCAGCCGCAGTAAAGAATCAATGTTGGCGGATTTTGGTTCTTGACATCCTTTACGATCGGTGACGATGCCTAGAGTACGGAGACCTGTACGATTTCGTCAACTTAGTGAGTTTGATAGGGGCCGTATAGTGGGACTTCGGGAAGCTTGACTTTCTTTTCGGGCAATTGCAGTTAGAGTGCAAAGAAGTGTAGACACTGTGGTTAGGTGTTGTCAGGCATGGCTTCGAGAAGGCCGTACGCAAAGAGCAAGGGGCACTGGACGCCGCCGTAGAACAACAGACCGTGAAGATCGCCGCCTAAGATTATTGGCCTTAAGGGACCGTTTCTCCACTACCAGGTCCATTGCAAATGAATGGTTTGCAGAACACGAAAGATCTATTGGCATGTGAAGTGTTTACCGACGAATGAGAAGTTTTGGCTTGTTTTCATACCGGCCACACTGGGTCCTCCCTTTCACTCGAGAACACCGACGTAATCGCCTTGAGTGGTGCAGACAACAGTCACTCTGGGATCAGGAATGGAACAGTATTGTCTTTAGTGACGAGTCTCGATTTTGTTTAGGCATGCACGATGGTCGTGCCAGGGTTAGAAGGCGACGTGGTGAAAGGAGAAATCCACAGTTTTTTGTTGAAAGACATGTTCATCACACTGTTGGAGTTATGGTTTGGGGTGCTATAGCTTATGGTTCCAGGTCACCTTTAATCTTCATCAGAGGTAACATGAACGCGCAGCGTTATATCCATGAAGTTCTAGAACCCCATCTTTTACCCTATCTTGATACTCTGGCAGATCCAACTTTCCAACAAGATAATGCCCGACCACATGTTGCAAGAGTCACAATAGACTTCTTTCAACATAATGATGTCACATTATTACCATGGCCACCAAGATCTCCCGACTTATCCCCAATTGAGCACGTGTGGGATATGATGGGTAGGAGATTGCTCAATTTGCAACGTCCTCCTCAGACTCTAGAAGCACTTCGAGAGGAGTTGGTGGTTGCCTGGAATGAGATACCACAGGAGGACAGTGACCACCTGATCAGAAGCATGCCTAGGCGCGTTGGAGAATGCGTAGCACATCAGGGTGCATCCACACATTATTAAAGATCAAAGGGCTTTAAAGCAGTGCAATCATTTTGAAATTTTTATCATTTACTTATTATGCTTCATTAAGTACTTATACAAAATTTTATTAAAATAAAACCATTTAAACTGGATGTTCGGATTTATATGTCACTTAGTATATCAACCTCCTGTCAGGAGAAAAGTGCATACTTGCCATAAGTTAAATTTTTGACAGTCTCGTCATTAAATTCGTATTGTTAGTGTTATTTTTTAGAAGTGCGAGTGTTTGTAGATAGTTGTGATGTTATACAATTTCAGGACCTGGTACTGCAAAATTGCAAAGAGAGGCACAAGCCGAGTGAAGGTAGATCTTTCCACCGGTAAGCATTTTTATATTGATACAACGTTGCCACTTTGGTAGTCAAGTAAGTCAAAGGTAGCGGATCACTCCTCATTGTTTAACCACTTTACTGCCGTATCTAGAGAGCCGTCCACACATGTTTTTTCAGCAAGCAACACACATCGCCATATTGCTCATCGTACTACGGATCGGCTTCAAGAAGGCGTTAATGTTTCGCCGTGGCCACCCAGTTCACCGGATTTAAATCCTATCGAACATGTGTGGGATTTGATGGGGAGGAGACTATCCACTTTGCACTATCGGCCACAGCTAAACCACGATGTTCGAGATGCCACAACCAGACCGATCATCTCATTTTGTCGATGCCTAGACGTACACAGGAGTGTATTCAGATGCGAGGTCGCCCAACACAATATTATTGTCAGTAAAATTTCGTGAAAATGTTATCATTTCATTCTTGATGTAAGACTTCCTCATTGCCAAAAAATCATGTTGAAGAAATTATTTTTCTGGGCCTAATGTCGCAACAACTTCGGCGTATATTTATTGTTGGATGATACTCAACCAATTTATCAGTAGGTATCCAGGTAACATAAAAAGATTTGAATGAGTAAAAATAATTTAATTTGTTACAATCTTTTCCTTTTTTCTCTTACCTACAAACTGTTCTACATGATGATTCGCTATTGTATACAGCACGGTGTTTTTCTTAACTAAATTATTGACAATTGCTCTTCGGTAACATTTTAATAACGACATATCTTCCTCTGGCGGTTCTAAGTGCCACTTCAACTCACAAAAGCACTGAAACATAAAGCAGTTCTTTAGAACAATCAGCAGCATGTAAGCCGAGATCCCATAACATTTTATCTGCCCATGTTTCAAATGCGGTTTATACAGGGTGCTATTCAAGTACGAGGTCAAACTTCAGGAGGTGATTCTTTGAGTAATTTTAAGATGAAAAGTTCATATAAAAATAGGTCCAGAAATGCTTCATTTTTAAGATACATTTTTTTTAATTGTTTTTTCCTAAGTATCTTAATAAACTTTTAGTCGATTTTGTTCAAATTTAGCAGTCATATTAAGGGCAGTAAATTATTAAGGCCAGTGGCGTCCCGGAAAACACCCTAACCAATATCTTCGACAAAAATTGGTGCGCCTCGGGGAACTACAATGATTCTAATATTTATTTTGTTTGTTTCGGATTTTTTTAGCATTCATGTTACAATATCCATATTACACAGTATATCACAAAATATATTATGTCTTCAAGACTACATATGTTTATACAAAATTTCACTACTATGAATTCTGGTTTTCCATGAGATATTTTTTCAATTTCGCTTTGAACATTTTCAAACTGACACACATTTTGATATCATTACTTAATTTATTAAATTCGTACAATCCCTTTTGAAATACTGACTTGCTCGTTATATTGCTACTGCAGTTTTGTAAATGAAAGTCTATACTTCCTCTAGTAGAATAATTTTAGAAGATGATTTTTTAATTGAATATGAAAATGAAAACCAAGTAGGCTATGAAATTTTTGATATTTAACCATTGTAGTTCTTTCAGCATAAAATTTGTTCTAGTATATTTATTTTTATTTAAGATGATTCTCATAGCTTTATCTTTTAATATTTATAATTTTGGAAATACAGTTTCATTTGTAGTGAACAAAATAGTCGAACAATATAACAAATCAGAAAGAATAATAGTGTTGTACACAATTTTTTTAGCATAAACGGCTATGCGAAATTCTGTAAAAGTAATTTATTTTCTTGGATATTTTTGAAATAATATATTCATAGTGCCCTTCACATTTTAATTTACTGTCTACCTATATGCCCAAATATTTAAATGATTCGATTGACACAATTTTTTCATCATTAATTGTAAGATTCATCGTATTTTGACCTAAAGGTTTTCCTATTAGCATATATTTTGTTTGTTTGTGTTTATTTACATTTAACCAATTAATTACGTTTTTCATATCATTATTTAACAGCTTTATTGCAGTTTCAATGTCTTTATTTGATATATATATATATATATATATATACAGGGTGTCCCAGAAGTCGACATCAAGCCGAAACCGGGTGATAGGGAAAGTCATAACAGCTATCAGAAAAATATTTAAAAAAATGTTATGTATGTGTTTTGAAAATTATAGGTCTTTGAAAAAGATATAGAAATTTCACACCCTACGGCAGTCTCTCAACTCCTGTTACTACAAATATTAACTTTTTTTGGATTTTATTTTTACAGTGTAATGATGAATAATGTATCTTCAAACTGGTGTCTCAACCTTACTGCCAACTTTTCTCGTTCAGGAAAAATTGCCACTTATTTCCCAACCAAGTATTCCAAAGTAAAACTTTGCTCAACTTTAACTGGCTGTACTGGAAAAAATGTACTACGAGAGTTTGGCAAGTAACCTTAAAAGTTGGCGCATTTAATAACGATTCTAAAATGGTATAACACTTAGAAGATTACTCGTTAACTTATGCACAATTTTTATTTGAAAAAAATCTGATGAAAATTTTTCAAAATTTTCTAATTAAACAGCGATTATGAAAACGCACAAGGACCCTTAAGGGTATCCATACCACGTACAGCGTGTTCAAGCTCTTCTGCCCCGGGATTATGAGCCCCGAGTTGCTTTTTGTCGCACAGTGTTAGAAAGACACAGGGAAGATCCACGGTTCTTTGAAAAAAATTTATGGTCGGATGAGATCACATTTAAGAAAGATGGGTACATGAACCTGCATAACTTACACGAGTGGCACGTAGCAAACCCACATTTGATGAGAGAAGATAAATCTCAATATCGCTTCAAGATAAACCATTGGACAGCAATCTTAAATGGTAAAATAATCGGTCCGTTTGAGTTCCCAGAGACTTTGACTGCTAAGGTTTATTTAGGTTTTTTGCAAAATCATTTAGAAAATTTATTGGAGGACGTGCCACTGAGTATTTACAGGGACATGTGGTTTCAGCATGATGGCTGCCCAGCGCACTATGCACTCTCAGTGAGAGAGTATCTCGATCAAAACTTTCCAGGCAGATGGATAGGGCGGTCTGGTACAATACCGTGGCCAGCCCGGTCACCAGATTTGAATCCGTTAGATTTTTTTTACTGGGGAACTGTAAAAGTAAAAGTGTATTTCAAGCCGATTCAAAATGTAACTGAGCTACGGCAAAGACTATTGGAAGCAGCTGAGTTTGTTAATAACCGTGGATTCGCTCGTTTAATAACCTGATCTTTTTTAAGAAGATGTCGAGCGTGTATTGCGGCTGAAGGAAAACAGTTTGAGCATTTGCTGTAAAGGTAAATCATCATCAGCAGCATTTTGACGCCCACTGTTGTGCAAACAGTTATCCTTAAGAGTCCTTGTGCGTTTTCATAATCGCTGTTTAATTAGGAAATTTTGAAAAATTTTCATCAGTTTTTCTTCAAATAAAAATTGTGCATAAGTTAACGAGTAATCTTCTAAGTGTTATACCATTTTGGAATCCTTATTAAATGCGCCAACTTTTAAGGTTACTTGCCAAACTCTCGTAGTACATTTTTTTCCAGTACAGCCAGTTAAAGTTGAGCAAAGTTTTACTTTGGAATACTTGGTTGGGAAATAAGTGGCAATTTTTCCTGAACGAGAAAAGTTGGCAGTAAGGTTGAGACACCAGTTTGAAGATGCATTATTCATCATTACATTGTAAAAATAAAATCCAAAAAAAGTTAATATTTGTAGTAACAGGAGTTGACAGACTGCCGTAGGGTGTGAAATTTCTATATTTTTTTCAAAGACCTATAATTTTCAAAACACATACATAATTTTTTTTTAAATATTTTTCTGATAGCTGTTATGACTTTGCCTATGACCCGGTTTCGGCTTGACGTCGACTTCTGGGACACCCTGTATATATATATATATATATATATATATATATATATATATATATATATATTAATGTATCATCAGCAAATAGTTGAATTTTGCAGTGTTGTAAAATATCAGGAATATCGTTAATATATAAAATAAATAGTAATGGACCTAATTTGCTACCCTGTGAAACACTTACCGAAATGTTTTTAATGTTTGATAATGTATTGCCAATTTTAATTCTGTAACTTATTTAACTCATTTAAGTAGAAACTCGTTAAAAACTGGGTTTTTCTTCAAATAAAAATTGTGCATAATTTAACGAATAATCTTCTAAGTGTTATACCATTTTGGAATACTTATTAAATGCGCCAACTTTTAAGGTTACCTGCCAAACTCTCGTAGTAGATTTTTTTCCAGTACAGTCAGTTAAGGCTGAGCAAAGTTTTAATTTGGAATACTTGGTTGTAAAAAAGTGACAATTTCCTCTTAACTAGAAAAGTTGAGACACCAGTTTAAAGTTGCACTATTCATCATTAAACTGCAAAAATAAAATCCAAATAAGTTAATATTTGTGTTAACAGGAGTTAACAGATCGCCGTAGGGTGTGAAATTTATATTTTTTTAATACCTATAATTTTTAAAACACACTCCTAAGATTTTTTTGATAACTATTACGGCTTTGCTTGCCACCCGGCTTTGGCTTGACGTCGGCTTCTGGGACACCCTGTATATGTATAAACTGCGTTTGACCCATGATAAATCGTTATGGGATCTGTACCTACAGGGTGTTGAAGTAATATTCTAAAGACAATATTCCATTAGACTTTATCAATATATCTATTAAGTATAGATTATTTGAAGTTTACTAAATTGAAGACCATTGTGGAAAGTGTTTCCATAACAATATACGGGAGATGAATCGTTACCTGTTCCGGAGTGACATTAAAAACCTGCACTGCTCCCATATATTCAGACCAAAGTGTCTTTCTGTATTGCGCATTATGCTTCTGGGCTAACGGCACTAATATGACGTTGCCAAAAAGTGTATCTCCGTAACTGACACTCTGATATTGTTCTAGCAACTGAGTATAGAAGTCTTGAAAATTCGTCAATCCTGAAACAAAACTTACTTATGATTTGTTAGGATAAAGATTTGCCAAAAATTTCTCGTTCAAGAGTCAAGTAGAAATAAAAACCATATAAAATGTGGCAGCAAATACAACGCTCAAAAATTCAATGTGAGAAGTCCAGTTTAGTCCTGTATCGATTACTCTTCCCGGAAGTTTTACTGGTTCAGATTTCATAACCCAAAAAGTGAACTTTCCCACTGGAAATTGCCGTCAAAGTAAATGTTTGTGATAGACATAAAAACATATTTTTAACGCTAAATAATATGCTCACCTTGTATTTCCTTATTGAAATTCAATGTTTGTCCGCAGGTGGCGATCACATTCTTGAAACACAATTCCAACAGTTCATGTATCTCGGTCGCCAAGAACAAGCTGTCGCTTCCCAAAAACAAACAGGCTAGTCGACAAAACTTGTCCGTCGGATTGATGGTACTCGCCAAGAATGGAAAATATGTTTCGTAAAGAAGTATCCATCTCAAACAATTTTTCACCGTGAATAGCTGTTGGGCCTCATCAACGTTCACTTTGTTTTGTAAATGGTTTACGTAGAGCACCAGTATTGGCGTGTATATCCAATCTATGGGTATCACATTGCCTACGCTTATGTCAATGCTGCAACATTGTGTCAAGTCTGGTACATCCTGAAACAAATCATGGTATAGAAATAATAAGGGTGTGGTTTAATTGATGGCTAAAAATACAGGATCTTTTCTTAGCTGATTTTAGGAAGAAAAGTTTATATGGACACATAACAGATCATCAAGTCATTGCCCGCCCCCCAACGGTTCGAGATGAACGAGAGTAAAAAATTTCTGGTGCCTGAAAAAATGTGGAAACCTGATTTTTGAAACAACCCTCGTATATAATAATAATAATAATAATAATAATGTCTTTGCTCCCACAAAAGAAAATACAGGACAAGTTGCAACACCAGTTTTATATGAACATATAGTGGGAGGCGCGAAGTTCGGCATATCCGCTCTTCCACTTAACCCCTGGTTTTAGGTTTAGATCATAATAAGATAAGCATATACAGCAGACGCTCGATAACGTAAACACGGGATAATGAAAACTTGCGCTAATGTAAACACAAACTTCGTTCTATAGGATCAAACGGAACGCGCGATAACGTAAACAATGTGTACGCTCGATAACGTAAACAACTCTCGGCGCACGGAAACAGCGTGACGGTAAAATGCTGAAGCCTGGATGATTTATGTCGGGCGTCGGGGAGTCCCCGATTTATGATGTAGAGTGTAGGGGATCCACCTCTGCGATAAAATACGACAAACTCGGTAAGTCGTACGATCGTTTAGGATACGTTTATACGTACGTATGTATTTCATTTTTGAACTTAAGTGAATACATTGCACGCGTTAATATATTTTACGACTATGGCATCCACATCCTATAAAAGAAAGTGTTTAAAGTTGAGTGAGAAAGTGAAAATCATAGACGAAGTTGCACTAGGTGCGGGAGTGACACAGTTAGCAAAAAAATATGGAGTATCGAAAGCAACAATCTGTAAAATTAAGCGTATGAAAACTCAAATTTTACAAAGAACGTGCTATACATTTGGAGGTCCGGGAAAAAGAAAAACTTAAAAAAATGCGAAGGCACCTAAAATGGAAAATTCCCTGTATAAGTGGTTTTTAAAACAACGGGAAAATCATGTCCCAGTTAGTGGCGAAGTACTTAAACAGAGAGCGAGACTGTTAAATGAAAAACTGAAAGAAACTGAAAATTTCGTAGCTAGTGATGGCTGGCTACAACGATTCAAAACAAGATATGGAATTCGACAGCTGTCTATATCTGGTGAAAAATTATCAGCACAACCACAATTAGTGCAACCATTCAAAGAAAAATTGATGAAAACAATTACCGAGCTAGATTTAAGAATGGGACAAATTTACAACGCAGATGAAAGTGGCCTTTATTGGAAAATGTTACCAGAGAAAACCTATGCTGCATCATTTGAAAAATCTGCCCCGGGAAGAAAGCCGGAGAAACAACGAATAACGTTTCTACCCTGCACTAATGCTAATGGTTCACACAAAATAAAGCCACTGGTAATTGGGAAAGCAAAAAATCCGCGCTCATTTAAAGATGTTAATATCCCTGTTGATTATGACTGTTCAAAAACCGCTTGGATGACTAGCAGTATATTCCTGAAATGGTTCCACAGGTGCTTTGTCCCTCAGGTATGACAATCAATTATCACAAATGCTCTATTCATAATTTGAAGATGTGTTTTCAATTTGTAGGTAAAAGGTTTCCTAATACAACAGAAGCTTCCAATAAAAGCGTTGTTACTATTGGATAATGCACCAAGTCATCCTCCCCAGCAACAACTGAGGAGCAGGGATGGGTCAATTTTCGTCATGTACATGCCGCCCAACGTAACACCGTTAATTCAACCGATGGACCAGAATATAATAAGTCTCACCAAACTATACTATAGGAAGTTTCTACTTTCGTCTGTCTTATCAAAGAATCCTGAAAACTTATCCGATGCTTTAAAAAAAGTAACATTACGAGAAGCTGTTTTAGATTTACATATGGCCTGGAATGAACTTAACCAGCAAACTATTCAAAAATGTTGGAACAATCTCTTTTGTACCAATAATGAAGAAAACGATGTCCCCTTAGGCGTAATTAGAGAACGTTTGCGATCCAATAATGATAATGTTATTAGTGTGTCATTGGATGTTGTTGATTTATTGAAAACAGTGAATCCCAACATTGTTTGTACTCCTGCTGATATTAATTTATGGAACGAAGATAAGCAGACGAATGATGCTGATAAGGAGGAGGATATGGACAGTGAGGATGATGAGAACGATCCCATTGAAGTCAGAAGTGTAGTGACTGACGCGCAAGCTATACAAGTTTTTAACCAAGCTTTAGATTGGGCTGAAAGAAAAGGAGTTTCATACACGGATATTTTAGTTCTTCGTAAATTACGGGCGCAGGCATTGGAAGACAATGCTAAGCGCAAATTTACGCAAACAAAAATTGTTAATTATTTTTCTTCTAATTAAAAAAATACTTATCGCTGTTAGAATATTTGTTTATTTTGTTATAAATAGTATGTATTGAACGTTTCTTTTAATAAATCAAATATTATATAAATAACGTTCGCTAATGTAAACATTTCGATAATGTGAACCACACTTGGATTAAATTAGTTTACATTATCGAGCGTCTGCTGTATATATAAATTAGGAAAAAATATATGTATGTATAAGCAGTATCAGAGAATGGACCCTAGCGGCTAATTTGATAAATGGTACTATACAAATACATAATGACTCCAAAGTCATACCATGCAATTACCTGCAATGTAAAGCGTATACGTTTTTTAAACAAATCAATAGAAAGAAAAGTATACTCTCGCGAGATATTATTATAAAGTTTACTGATATTATACGAAAAAGATCTTTCGAATAAGGTGGTAGAATGAAAAGGCGGTGTCAGTTTTGTTTTGTTGCGGGTATTGCGATTGTGAGCGGAAATGATTTTTTTCGTGTAAGTAGGATGGTAGTTTATGTATAATAATCTTATAGTATTGAACGAGGCTATGAAGCAGCCTGCGTTGCTTCATGTTCAGCCAGCCAGCATCAATAAGCTTTGATGACACTGAATCGTATTTTCGTAAACCCAAAATAAATCTCAGACAAGAATTTTGCACGCGTTGTATTTTATCAGAGGTGAATTTAGTTGGACATTTGTCATAGACGACATCACAGTGTCCCTATTGGACAACCCTTTACTGATATTACGCAAATCCTTGAGCTCACATGTCTGAGCAACTTTCGGCAAAGGCACAATCAAAGCGTGCTTCCAGCAAAAATTAAAATAGCGACGCAATATGCATTCATTAATGATATGTGTAATGAAGGAATAACTTTGGGGCAGCAATACAACAGCATTTCGATATTTATCAAATCAGCACCAAATGCTTTGGTTTTGAAGCCAAACAAAGTATCTTTCACCTGATCTGTAGACGCCAAAGCGAATTCAAAAAGGGATACATTAGGTTTGACATTATTCTTATAAAAAGAAAGTGTATCAGCATCAGGTTCTATACCTGCACTAGATAAAGACGTTTATTTGTTTATTTATTTTGGTTTGGGGTGTTAACAGGTAAACCCAACAGACACCCTCAGTTATAAAATATCGTATACATATACATATATTACATTATTGAATACTTTAATATTAATATTTTTTTTTATCTTCCGATATTGTTGTAACAACATAAACTGAGTGAGTAGTTCTAATTATAAGCAATAAACTATTAATTTAACGTTTTTAATAAAAGGAGTATACATAATTTAACATTTGCTTACGTTTAATTAAAACTGAAATCAAAATGAAATTGAAATTACACCAGAAATGATATTGGAGGTGATAACTTGAGTTATGTAAACGAAATAAAACATTTCTATTGTAGTCTGTCATAGAGCTGTAATACTCATACTTTAAAGCCTTTTTCAGGCAGGTCAAGCTAATGTTAAATAAATCTTTATTACAGAAATTATTATGATTTTTTTGAGCCCTGGCCAAAGGGGAATTAAGCCCAAGATTAGTTCTACGGGACGGTATTCTTAGCAGATGATAGGTTCTAAACGTTCTATCAGGAGTGTTAAAGTTCAAGTTTGCCAAAAGATCCGGACAGTCAGTGAGGTCATTCAACAATTTATGAACACAGCAAATGTCAGAAACCGTTCTTCTACCTTTTAAGGAAATCATATTGAACTGTTTCATAATTTGCGTATAATGATGATCTGTAACAGGTTGGTGAATTTTATGTGATAACATCTTCAAAAATTTGTGTTGAATTCTTTCTATCCTGATTCCTATCAATTTGTTGTGTATATAAGCGTAGTACAATGAAAGAAGCGTTTTTGGGTTCGTAAATTATCTGCATGTCCTGTTTATGAAGCCTAGTGTTCTATTTGCATCATTTACGATGTGCTCTACGCGAGTGATGAATGAGAGTTTCTCATCAATGTATACCCCTAGGTCTTTTACTACGTGAAGCTTTTCCAGTTCTGCCATCCCTATCTTATATCTGAAATCTATAGTGTTCGCTATTTCTAGTCAGTGGCGGCTCGTGAGGTAGTGCCACGGTGCCATGGCACTACCTTGTCTTCTTCAAAAAGAATATTTTTTTCAATCTTCAATGTTTTACTTTATTTTTTGCTTTTTCATTTTTTTTTTGGTATAAATTATATGAAGTGACAACACTGACAACGTGACAACACCGCAAGCACCCGAACCACGCGACGAGATATAAAGCATGCCTTGACCTTGACGTCATCAACTTGTGCCAATGTCGGGCCGGCCCAAATAAAAAGAGAGAAATTTTACCAGCATCGCATACGAGCGACAGAGATAACGCTACAATACACATTTTTATATGAGGTGAATAGCGAAAGACAAGTATAATTTGTGCCAGGCACATCATCAGTCGTAATTCGTTATCAAATGATATCGGCGGTGTTTTTGTTCGGTCGGTCGTTTCGTTATGATTACGTCTAGTGCTGATTTCGGTCTTTTTTTACCTGAAAAGTGAGAAATAACGTTTTTGTTTTAGTACGTCTAGTGTTAATGAACTGCTCTGTTTTGTGATCATATTTTTTACTGTTTTATTAAAACTAGTGAAAATGAATAAAATCGGGATATTAAAAAACTCATTTAGTGGTTTTTCGCTGGATCAAAAACTGCAAATTAAAGAATTAGGACGGCCAATACCCGATTTAAAAATTGAGAAACAAAGTGGTAGCGGACAAAAATCGCGCTGTCGCAAATTTAATAAAAATGTGTACGATAAAAACAGCTGGATATGTGGTTGTAAAGAAACGAATAAACTATTTTGTTTTGTATGTGTTCTATTTGGAGGTGACGAGACTTGGTCAAAAAAAGGTACAGATGATCTTATACATATATGGGATAAAATGAAGACCCACGAAAAATCTAAAGTCCATATGAATAATGTTTTTAGCTTTTCTATTCTTGGTAAATTAAATATAAGGACTCAACTCAATTCGGCTTATCGCAATGATCTAATTAAACATAATAATCAAGTGGATAAGAATCGATATGTATTGAATAAAATTATTAATTGTATAAGGTTTTGTGGAGCATTTGAGTTAGCCTTAAGGGGTCACGATGAAAAGGAAAATTCGGAAAACAGAGGCATATTTAAGGAGCTGGTGAATTTTAGCGCCGAATTAGACAACGAATTGAAAGTCCATATTCAAAGTGCCAAACTTTTCAAGGGTACCTCAAAAACAACTCAAAACGAGCTTCTTGAGTGCATGCTAGATGTTTATCATGAAGAAGTTAAGAAGGAGATTGCAAATTCTCCTTTTGTTGCAGTAATTGCCGATGAAACGACTGACGTAGCCTGTGAATTTCAGTTAGTTATTATTTTCAGATATTTGTGTAAAGGACAACCAGTTGAGAGATTTTGGAGATTTTACGTCCCCGACGGACACGATGCCAAATCAATCGCTGCATGCGTTTTAAATGTTGTAAATCCATTAATAGATCAAAATCCAAACAAATTAATAGCTCAAAGCTATGATGGTGCGTCTGTTATGAGTGGTGAATTGAATGGCGTTCAAAAGATTATTAAGGAAACTTATCCACTTGCAAATTATGTTCATTGCTATGCACACCAGTTAAATCTAATTATGACAAGCGCATGCTCTGTCAATAAGCAGGCTAGAATATTTTTCCATAATTTATCTGGATTGTGCTCTTTTTTTTCGACGTCTCCTCAAAGAACAAAAATTTTGGATGAAATAGTTAATCGCAGATTGCCAAGATCTTCCCAAACACGTTGGAATTTTCAGTCACGAGGTGTTCATACAGTTTATGAAAATAGGAAAGACCTGATTGAAGTTATGGACAATATAGAAAGTACTTCACGCGATTCTTCGTCGATTAATCAAGCCGGTGGGTACAAATTAAAGCTGCAAGATACAAATTTTGTATTTTGGCTAAGTATATTCCATAAAATAATGCCACATGTTGAAATTGTCTTTAACCAATTACAAAAAGTATGCACCGATTCTGTTAAGGTCAAAAATGATTTAGAGAATTTTGAAGCAGCAATTCAAACTATACGAGAACAAATGGATAGCATTATTGACGAGATTGAACGAGTGCAGAGAGAAACTGATGAACCGGCAAGAAAAAAAAGGCAAGTTGAAGAAGGCAGCAAAAAACGGGAAGCGTTAGAAATATGCGATGCAGTATTATCGCAAATAAGAACAAGATTTAACTTTTCTGGGCATTAGTTGCTTCTAATTTATTTGTGTCTGAAAAGTTTTCTGTTTATAAACATCAGTTTCCTGAAGCACATTTAAATGACACATGCACACAATTTTCATTTTTAGACAAAAACAGGCTTAAAACTGAGTTACAAGTATTATATCAGAGAGAAGAATTGAGTACTACTTCTGGAGCTGTTCCACTATCCATTTTATTGAACGAGGAAGGATTAAATTGTACGTTTCAAGAAACTCTTAAGCTCTTAAGTATTTTAATCACTATACCGATGTCAACATCTGAAGCAGAACGCTCTTTTTCAATGCTGAAACGGATTAAAACTTTCCTCAGAAACACAATGAAGGAAGAAAGGCTTAGTGCTTTAGGAATGCTGTCTGCAGAAAAACATTTTGTTAGTGGCATTGAAAATTTTAATAATAAGGTAATCGAAAACTTTGCTACCAAAAAAGAAAGAAGAATGGACTTCATGTATAGAAAACTTTGAAGTTATAGGTACTTCTCCACACTTGTTTTATAATTTGGTGCGCGTGTGTAAATAGTTTTATTTTTGATTTTTTTTTGGACATATAGATTTATTGAACCTCAAGAACTTTGACCACTAACTATCAGGGGTAAGTTATAAGTTATTCTTTACAATTTTGAATCGATTCAAAATTATGGCTTCCATTCTGGCACTACCTCACTGAATTGGCACGAGCCGCCACTGTTTCTAGTAAGCCTCATGTAATGACATTTTGTTAAATTCCGGAAGATACTGTTTTCAGTGCAATACTTTTTTTGCAGAGAAGTTTTACACCGTCATTCACATTTCTAATAATAGTAAATATCTTTAGATCATCAGTTTATAACAAATATTTACTGAAATGAAAAACAGAAGTAAGGTTGTTCATGCATATGTTAAATAACAATGGTCCTAAGTGACTACCTTGTGGTATGCCTAAAGTTACTAAGAATGTCTCCGAACGATACCCATTGATAGTCACCACTTGCTTATGATTACTTATATAAGATGCTAGCCACTGCCATAATGGACCATCTACACCCACCTCAGCAAGTCTCTCCATCAAGATAGAATGATCAATCTTGTCGAAAGCCTTACTGAAGTCGGTATAAATAACATCCTGCAGTTTCTCATCTTTCGTCAACATCAGCTAAATCTACTGGCATAGATGACCTGGGTGTCTTATTGTCAAAGTTCATAGCTTCCAAATCTTTCCATAGAATCTTACAGTTCGTACTGCTAATTTTATGTTCCAAATGAATCTTTTTAGCATTATCAGTTGCTAATTTTACTATATTACGTAACTTTTTGTATTCCTCCCATTTCTGATCACACTTTGATCTTCTATAGGCAGTGAATTTGTCATATCTAAGGTTCATTAGAAATTTAATGTTATCAGTCAGCCACGGAGCTGGTTTTTTCGTAAACCTTGCCATTCGTCAAATAGCTCTAAAACTAATTGATTAAATATATTTAATTTCGTATCTATATCCTGACAATCTGTTGTCACGTCTCAAAATTACGTAACCTTTTTTTAATATTTAAATCACTTACCAGTAATTAGAATTTATCATTATTAATGGTAGAGTGCCGATTCCTAGGACAAACCCTTTTCAATGATTTTCTTTTGGTAAATTTCATAGTTAATTGATTGCATAATTTCACACGTATTATATATTTCTTTCTCAGCGACTCAGTATGTTATAGTATTATTAAAGACTATCTCAGAAATATACGAATTTCTACTTACACTTTTCAGTCCCAACACCTGTATGTACACCTCTCTAATTTCGTCCAGATTGTTCAATGATATTTTTAGATTTTCATTCCTTTTGCTGATATCCAAATTTTCCATCAGTACTTCGCTTGGATAAAACCTAGTCGAAAATACGATATTTGAGAATATGAATTCAATATCAGGCTTCTGTTCACAATTGAAGACGCACAAACATTTTACAGCTAGCTCGTAAAATACTGCTGTATCGATATCTGCCTGCACGTCCACAGATGCCTTTAGCATACTCATCAACATAGATGTTTCAGGTCTTGAAAACCAATGACTAGTCAGGTAGTATCTGTCGAGCTTTTGCAAGGACGTTAGATATTTAACAATATTTGGATGGCGCAAAAATGCCAATTTCACCTGAAAAAAATATAATACCAAAATTAGTAAATGGCGTTGTGTTTTCAAAACATGGAGCAACATTTATGTAACTCATCAAACTTGAAGGTTTTATTACATTATTATATTCGCTAATGTGCCCCCCAGGACGCCACTGGAGCTAATAATTTTAATCAATTTAGGGCTAAATTAGTCTCTTAATACAACAAATAATATAAGATTTCCACAGAATCGACTAAATATATTTTAAGATATTCATAATTTTTTTTTAATTTATCAGCCCATATCTTGAAAACTGCATTTTCGGACCCATGTTTATAGAAACTTTTTTTCACATTTTTTAATAAGGGCTCACCCTCTAAAATATCTGCGTCTATTTTTCGAACACCGTGTATGTAAATACAAGGAACTGTCAAAAGCTTATTTTGAATAAATGTGTATTTGCAATTTTCGCCAAAAATAATGTTGAACAACAATCTAATTGTCCGTTTTTTGCGATATAAAAATTCTGTCGATGCTTGTACGAACAAAACTTTATACGAAATTGATACAGTTTTTTATGCTTACCTTCCTGTCACAAGTAACTTTTACATAGCGAGATATTGGATACAAAAAAGGGATGCAACTGTTTGTCTGTAGAATCGGTACGACGTGGTCCATGGTATGCCAAGCAGCAGCTTCCAATGTTTTCAAATTAGGACCGGACTTGTGCGTTTCGTAATTATTCAAAAGCATTGAACCACTCCTGAAAAAAGAAAAGGAATAATGTTATATAATAATGGTATGCACATATACAGTTCAAATTATTTGGGAAACGTTATGATCTTTGTACTTTTTACCGTTCACCAAACAGTGATGCAGATACATTTTTAACGTTTTTTGAAGAAAAATGCGAAGAAATGTGGAATTTTAGAAACAATATAATACTTTTAGGTGATTTTAATTTAAATTATTATGGTAAAAGCATGAAAACAAGAAAATTGAAAGAAACCATAAACAACTATGGGTTCAAGCAAAAAATTGAAGAGAGTACCAGAATAACATCATTATCAGAGACTTTGTTAGATCTTGTTATTGTAAATTTCGAATGTGCAGGGATTAAAGCTGTACATACACCTAAAGTTAGTGATCACAGTTGGACAATGCTGCCCTTGGTAGGGCATTTTTCTGATACAAAAATTAAGAAAATCGTAAATACTATTAAGTACGAAAAACTTGAACGAGAACTTGCTGGCTGCTATTGGAATTTTGGTGACAATATGGAAAAAATATATGACAACATAATAGGAAATATAAAAACTGGTTTAGATCTTGCAACTGATAAAAAAGTGATTTGCTCGACAAAAAATACACCCTGGTATAACAAGAATATTAAGGCAGCTCAAAATTTGAGAGACAAACAATACAATAAATGTATATTCACAAAATCAAATGATGATTGGGAAGTATATAAAACTCTTAGGAATAAATGTGTATATGTAATTAGAGAAGAAAAAAGAAAATTCTACGATAAACAAATCGATAATAACAAGTGCGACAGTGTAAAGATGTGGAAGACTTTAAAAAGACTGATCAATTCGAAGCCGCATGATTGTGTAAATCAAGTTCAATTCGAAAACGGTACCGAAACAAATTCTTTGGTGATTGCAAACAAACTAAATGAATATTTTGTGGAAAGTATTGTTGATATTGTGGGTACTGCCAATGCTGCACCTGATTATATGAAAATCAGTTTCCAGGGGGAAATGTTGCATACACTTTCAAAATTTCACAGCGTATCATTGAATTATCTAAGAAAAAAAGTAAACAGTTTAAAATCAAATAACAACTGTGCCGAAATGACTACTAAAAACGTGCTGAAAAACTGTTTCGAAATTTTGGGATATCCTGTATTAAATTGGATCAATTGTTCACTGACAAGCAGTTCTTTCCCTGAAAATTTGAAATGCTCTACAATAACACCAGTTCCCAAAATAAAAAATTCTAAAAGATGCACCGATATGAGACCAGTAAATGTGTTACCAGACATTGAAAAATTATTAGAGTCCACAGTGCATGACCAATTAATGCAGTTTATAGAAGAAAACAAAATTTTAGTGGAGGCGCAAGCAGGCTTTCGAAAAAAATATTCCACAGAAACAGCTTTCCAGTTGGTAACTGAGAATTGGAGAAGAGCCATAGACTCAGAAGAAGTTGTCATAGCAGTATTTTTGGATTTGAAGAGGGCATTTGAAACGATTGATAGAGATATTTTGTTAGGTAAATTGAAGGCATATGGTATAACAGGAAGTGTTTTAGATTGGTTTAGAAATTATTTGTCTAAAAGGATGCAAGTTACAAAAGTTAATGACACTATTTCATCAAAAATTGAAAATACGTAGGGTGTTCCACATGGCAGTATCCTGGGACCACTTCTTTTTATTTTATACATAAATGATTTACCTGCCATAGTCAAAAAATGCAAAATTTTCGCCGATGACACTAAAAATATTCAGTCTGGTATCTCTTATATAAATGAAGACTTGAAGCTTGTCTCAAAATGGTTAGCATCTAACAGACTAAAATTAAATGCAAGTAAAACGAAAGCCTTGTTAATCGGAAAAAACAATGTACAAATGTTCAACTGAATATTGATGGTGAAGATATTGAATTCGTAGAAAATTTTAAATACCTGGGAGTTTTTGTTGACTCTCGATTAATTTTTGATATTCATTATGAAAAAGTTATAAATAAGATTAGTAGTAAAGTGGGATATTTATCGAGAGTTTCTGGATGTCTGAGTTCATATAGCAGAAAAATTATCTATAATACCATCATTCTTCCAAATTTCTTGTACTGTTCGACTATTCTATATTTAGCAAATGGTTCCATTTTTGAAAGACTGCAAATTTTACAAAATAAGTGCATGAGAATAATACTAAATAAAGATAAATATACTCCAATTAGGCAAATGCTTAGCAAATTAAAATGGCTCAATGTAAAAAATTTAATCAAATATCTTGTAATGATATTCATTTATAAAGTAAAAAATAATATATTTCCATCAAGTCTAACTAATTTAACATCATCAAATGTCGACCATCATTTACATAATACCAGAAATAAAGATGACTTCCATTTAATGACCAAAAAGTATAACAAATACTACAAATCTGTATTCCATCAAGGATTGATTGAATATAATAAATTATACTCGGAGATAAAAGACCAGAAAACTTTGACAAAATTTAAAGTAAAATTGAGAAATCACTTGTTAAATCTACAATTATAGGTTGCCCAGCATTTACATCATACACCATATGGCTTGTATTTACTAGTTCTAAGTTGTTTACAATTGTTCTGTTTATGTAGCCAAATGTGCTAAATAAATCTTTCTACTACTACTACTAGTAAAGTGTGACATGTTTGTGACTACTTACGTTATTTTGTCTGTTGCTATTTTGAATCCTTCAGAATGTATTACCGCCAATACAGCCTCATCAACCAGCTGACCTCTTATACTGCTTAAGCAGTAAATGAGCGAAGCGATTATCTGCAGTTTACCACACTGAAAAGATACGAATATATGTAGTTGCATAAATGGAACAATGAAGCTCATTTCAGTCAGTATGTCCTACTAATATTTTCAGATATACAGTAATGGACAAAAGTATATAGACAAATTAATATTGTGCTGTATTTCTTTTTTAACTTGTTTTATTAATACACCAACCTGTATATACAGGGTGTCCCAAAAGTCGACGTCAAGCCGAAACCGGGTGATAGGCAAAGTCATAACAGCTATCATAAAAATATTTAAAAAAATTTTATGTATGTGTTTTGAAAATTATAGGACTTTGAAAAAAATATAGAAATTTCACACCCTACGGCAATCTGTCAACTCCTGTTACTACAAATATTAACTTTTTTTGGATTTTATTTTTACAATGTAATGATGAATAATGCATCTTCAAACTGGTGTCTCAACCTTACTGCCAACTTTTCTCGTTCAGGAAAAATTGCCACTTATTTCCCAACCAAGTATTCCAAAGTAAAACTTTGCTCAACTTTAACTAGCTTTACTGGAAAAAAATGTACTACGAGAGTTTGGCAAGTAACCTTAAAAGTTGGCGCATTTAATAAGGATTCCAAAATGGTATAACACTTAGAAGATTACTCGTTAACTTATGCACAATTTTTATTTGAAGAAAAACTGATGAAAATTTTTCAAAATTTCCTAATTAAACAGCGATTATGAAAACGCACAAGTACCCTTCAGGATAACTGTTTGCACAACAGTGGGCTTCAAAATGCTGCTGATGATGATTTACCTTTACAGCAAATGCTCAAACTGTTTTCCTTCAGCCGCAATACACGCTCGACATCTTCTTAAAAAAGATCGGGTTATTAAACGAGCGAATCCACGGTTATTAACAAACTCAGCTGCTTCCAATAGTCTTTGCCGTAGCTCAGCTACATTTTGAATCGGCTTGAAATACACTTTTTCTTTTACAGTTCCCCAGTAAAAAAATCTAAAGGATTCAAATCAGGTGATCGGGCTGGCCACGGTATTGTACCAGACCGCCTTATCCATCTGCCTGGAAAGTTTTGATCGAGATACTCTCTCACTGAGAGTGCATAGTGCGCTGGGCAGCCATCATGCTGAAACCACATGTCCCTGTAAATACTCAGTGGCACGTCCTCCAATAAATTTTCTAAATGATTTTGCAAAAAACCTAAATAAACCTTAGCAGTCAAAGTCTCTGGGAACTCAAACGGACCGATTATTTTACCATTTAAAATTCCTGTCCAATGGTTTATCTTGAAGCGATATTGAGATTTATCTTCTCTCATCAAATGTGGGTTTGCTACGTGCCACTCGTGTAAGTTATGCAGGTTCATGTACCCATCTTTCTTAAATGTGGTCTCATCCGACCATAACATTTTTTCAAAGAACTGTGGATCTTTCCTGTGTCTTTCTAACATTGTGCGACAAAAAGCAACTCGGGCTCATAATCCCGGGGCAGGAGAGGTTGAACACGCTGTATGTGGTATGGATGAAGCACATCACTTACTTGCTATTGCACACTTTGACACCAATCAGTACTCCTTCGTTTACTGCGCATCTTTACATGTTCGTGCTTGTTGATTTCGTACTGTTACTAATTTTGGATTCGTGAACTGGACTGTTGATCGCTTGTGATTTGGATTTGGACTGTTTAATTGCTCTTCAAAACAACATTTGCTTTCCTTAGACTATCTTTGATAGTGTGATTGTGCAGTGCCGCTATGTCCGTGTACACCGTACAAGAATATGCTAACATGCACCTCATTTATGGGGAATGCAGATGCAACGCTAGTGCTGCAGCGAGTCTTTACTGTGAGAGGTACCCGAATGCAGCTCGTCATCCAGATCATCGAGTGTTCACAAATGTGCACCGCTTACTGTTCTCAGAGGGCCAACTACCAAACCAATCACACGGTGAGGGAAGATCTTTCCTTCCTTACGAAGACGTGGTGCTAGGAGCTGTCGAAGAAGACCCGAGTACTTCAGTGCGTGCAATAGAACTAAAAACAGGTGTGCCCAAAAGTACAGCCCATAGAATCTTGCAAAAAAACGTGCTCCATCCATACCACGTACAGCGTGTTCAAGCTCTCCTGCCCCGGGATTATGAGCCCCGAGTTGCTTTTTGTCGCACAATGTTAGAAAGACACAGGGAACATCCACGGTTCTTTGAAAAAATTTTATGGTCAGATGAGACCACATTTAAGAAAGATGGGTACATGAACCTGCATAACTTACACGAGTGGCACGTAGCAAACCCACATTTGATGAGAGAAGATAAATCTCAATATCGCTTCAAGATAAACCATTGGACAGGAATTTTAAATGGTAAAATAATCGGTCCGTTTGAGTTCCCAGAGACTTTGACTGCTGAAGTTTATTTGGATTTTTTGAAAAATCATGTACAAAATTTATTGGTGGACGTGCCACTGAGTATTTACAGGAACATGTGGTTTCAGCATGATGGCTGCCCAGCGCACTATGCACTCTCAGTGAAAGAGTATCTCGATCAAAACTTTCCAGGCAGATGGATAAGGCGGTCTGGTACAATACCGTGGCCAGCCCGATCACCTGATTTGAATCCTTTAGATTTTTTACTGGGGAACTGTAAAAGAAAAAGTGTATTTCAAGCCGATTCAAAATGTAGCTGAGCTACGTCAAAGACTATTGGAAGCAGCTGAGTTTGTTAATAACCGTGGATTCGCTCGTTTAATAACCCGATCTTTTTTAAGAAGATGTCGAGCGTGTATTGCGGCTGAAGGAAAACAGTTTGAGCATTTGCTGTAAAGGTAAATCATCATCAGCAGCATTTTGACGCCCACTGTTGTGCAAACAGTTATCCTTAAGGGTCCTTGTGCGTTTTCATAATCGCTGTTTAATTAGGAAATTTTGAAAAATTTTCATCAGTTTTTCTTCAAATAAAAATTGTGCATAAGTTAACGAGTAATCTTCTAAGAGTTATACCATTTTGGAATCCTTATTAAATGCGCCAACTTTTAAGGTTACTTGCCAAACTCTCGTAGTACATTTTTTTCCAGTACAGCCAGTTAAAGTTGAGCAAAGTTTTACTTTGGAATACTTGGTTGGGAAATAAGTGGCAATTTTTCCTGAACGAGAAAAGTTGGCAGTAAGGTTGAGACACCAGTTTGAAGATGCATTATTCATCATTACATTGTAAAAATAAAATCCAAAATAAGTTAATATTTGTAGTAACAGGAGTTGACAGACTGCCGTAGGGTGCGAAGTCCTATACTTTTCAAAACATATACATAAAATTTTTTTAAATATTTTTCTGATAGCTGTTATGACTTTGCCTATCACCCGGTTTCGGCTTGACGCCGACTTCTGGGACACCCTGTATAATTCGTTATAGCATAATACTCACTTATGCATAAATAAATTTATTAGACTCCCTTCAATGAAAATTGATAAAAAGTGGAACTATGAAGGACAAAAATATATAGACAAAGCAAAACAATTATAGAAAAAAGAAGCAAAGTTCATTGAATTCTAGAAAACCAACCATGTTTGTGTTAATATTTTGTAGCATAACCATTATTATCAATCACCGCCTGGCATCGTCTCGGCTTAGATAGTAGAAGTTTCTTGATATAAGATTCATCAATCTGTCTCCAGTTTTGCTATAAAGCGGCAAAAAGTTCATCCTTGTTTGAATAATGTTTATCTCGTATTTGCTTATCTAAGCATTCCCATAGATTTTCAATGGTGTTTATATCGGGAGACTGTGAAGGCCATTTGAGAACTGGTAATTTTTCATCCAGAAAGAATTTCTTTGCGAGATTTGAAGTGTGCTTCCGGTCATTATCTTGCTGGAAGATTGATCTTAAGGGCATATTGTCTTCTATATAGGATAACATGACATGCTTTAGTATGTCTGTGTATACAAACTTATCCTTAACGCCATCTATTCTATGTAAAGGTCCCATCCCAAACCCCGAAAAGCACCCCCAAACCATAACAGACCCGCCTCCATGTTTGACAGTGGGCAAAGTGTACTTGGGGTTCAATCTTTGTCCACTAGGACGTCTAACGTAATGAACACCTTCTGATCCAAACATATTGAACATGGATTCGTCACTGAAACATACGCTCTTCCAGTTACAGATGCTCCAATCAAGATGCGACCGTGCAAATTGTAATCGGTCCTTACGGTTTTTCCTCGAGATTCGCGGCTTCTTACTCAGGCGATGTGCAAATAACTTCAAATCATTAATCTTCTACTTATAGTTTTCGTAGAAACACTGACAATTCCTTTTGTCTCGATTTCGTCTTTTATTTGTCTTGGGGTTTTGAACGGATCTTGGATTAATCTAAATGATCTAGCATTTAGTTTTCTAGGCCGACCACTTCTCTTAGAGGCTTCCAAAAAGTGCTTATATTCAGACTTGTATTGTGTTCATTGCAAACAATGTAAAAACAAGGAATTTAGTTTTTCTACTAATAACGCATTTGTTTATGGAGCAATGAACTGTGAATTCGTTTTCTAAAGGTATTTAGGTAAATATTCATATTTGTCTATATACTTTTATCGATTACTGTAGATGCCATGACATCCTAGTGAACATGACGTTAAAATGACGTCATATTCGGTCACTTTTGGTCGGAAACGTCATTGACGCTATTTTTATGACGACGGCAAGACGTCATTCAAAAAGTTAAAATTATCTTTCACTTTATAAATCGACACTAAGTTTTTAATGAAATTTTTGATGTTATACTTATGAGTAAGAAAATTAGTTTCTCGTTGGAAACCCCACCTGTTAACTGTTTCAATTCCGGAAACTCAAAAAATGTGTACAGCATTGTTAGTGGTGATGAATCGTGGATTTACTGTTATGAACAAGAAAATAAACGACAGTCGGATGTTTGGGTGTTCCAAGGTGAAGAAAAGCCAACAAAAGTCATCCGTTCTCGAAGTGTTTCGAAAAAGATGGTCGCGACATTTGTGTCAAAAGCGGGTCATATTGCAACAATTCCTCTTAATGAGCAAAGAACTGTTACTGCGGATTGGCATACCACCATTTGTTTGCCAAAAGTCATCACCGAGCTTCGAAAAATCAACCCCGAAAGAAGAATCATCCTCCACCAAGACAATGCAAGCTCGCACACAGCCCAAAAAACAAGGCAGTATTTAACGGGAGAAAACGTTGAATTATTTTACCATCCTCCATATAGTCCCGATTTAAGGCCTAACGATTTCTTTACTTTCCCAAAAATTAAAAACAGACTGCGTGGTCGAAGGTTCCAGTCACCAGAAGAAGCAGTTGACACATTCAAAAATGCCGTTTTGGATCTGCCAGCAAACGAGTGGAATACGTGCTTCGAAAATTGGTTCGAGCGCAAGCAGATGTATATTAATCTTCGTGGAGAATACTTCGAAAAACAATAAAGTCCTTTAAAACTACCTACCGTGTTGTTTTATTTCCATATGCAAAACTTAAAAGACATCCCTCGTACTACCTCTGACCCGACAGCATCGTCGGCAACGATTGGTATGGAGTAGAGAGAGACATGGAATATGGAATGGAACTTAGTCGTGTTCAGCGCTTAATTTTTAAATATTATCAATTCTGATACAAGTCTTGAATCACTATTAATAAGAGAGATTCCTGATTGAACATTTTGAGTATTTACACACGTTAAAGTATCATCAGCAAAAATTTTGCAAATATTTATGTACAAGATGACAAGTGGTCCCAGAATACTACCCTGGGTGCTCCCAAATCATTTTCCATCTTTGATGAAATAACGTTATTTATATCAGTTACTTGCATCCTGTGATAGCACTAACATAAAAAAATGTTTATTTGCTGAAATACTACGTTGCTTTTTCTTACTCACCACGTAACTGTCCATCTTAGAAAATTGTGAAATCCATTTAGGCAAACATTGTTCTAGCAACAACGGAAGAAATGGAACTGCCCTGGAAGTATTTATCCGAAATTCATTTCCCAGCAGGATTAACAAGGCAGCCACATGACCTTCCCTCACAAATGTCGTTTCCAAATTGATGTTTGTATTTTTCGCGTGATAATTTAGCATACAGATCAAAACTGGTTCCAATGTGCTTAAACAGATAGGTAATTAGGCTATTTTAACTACTATGCTTTATCTGTAAAATCATTATCTATTTTTTCAACACGAAAAATTATTTTTCTTTCGATAAACAGCCAAGGAAAGTGTGATTACAACGTATATAGAAAAGTTACCTGTATTTATTCTCAGTTAGCCGATAATGTGAAAGCAAGCTCCAAAAGTGCATGCATTCAGATTGTAACCTCATGCCATTTACGTTGGCAGAAAACGTATCATCAGAAAGATATGAAACTATAGAGTCTAAAACGGCGTACCTAAAAAATAAACAGACAATAAAACGAAAAACGACACACTTCAGCACGTACTTCTTCAATAATTTGATTGCCCATGCTTTGCCCCTAGCAGAGATGATCCTTAATAATTTAATTGCTTGTAGTAGTGGTAAACCATATGCAGAATTACAGCCACCTGAAAATTTTCTTCACATACAATCTGTTATAAATATACTAAGTGACATATAAATCCGAACACCCAGTTTAAATGGTTTTATTTTAATAAAAGTTGGTGAATGTATTTATCTTACTGTAAATAACAAGTGAAAAAATGTTCAGCCTTATCAGTTGGACATTCCAGTTTTTATACTGCTTTTTTTTTAAATCACTAACGCTCTAAAAATGAATATTTCAGCCGCAGTAAAGAATCAACGTTGGCGGATTTTGGTTCTTGACATCCTTTACGATCGGTTACGATGCCTAGAGTACGGAGACCTGTACGATTTCGTCAACTTAGTGAGTTTGATAGGGGCCGTATAGTGGGACTTCGTGAAGCTGGACTTTCTTTTCGGGCAATTGCAGTTAGAGTGCAAAGAAGTGTAGACACTGTGGTTAGGTGTTGTCAGGCATGGCTTTGAGAAGGCCCTACGCAAAGAGCAAGGGGCACTGGACGCCGCCGTAGAACAACAGACCATGAAGATCGCCGCCTAAGATTATTGGCCTTAAGGGCCGTTTCTCCACTACCAGGTCCATTGCAAATGAATGGTTTGCAGAACACGGAAGACCTATTGTGTTTACCGACGAATGAGAAGTTTTGGCTTGTTTTCATACCGGCCACACTGGGTCCTCCCTTTAACTCGAGAACACCGACGTAATCGCCTTGAGTGGTGCAGACAACGGTCACTCTGGGATCAGGAATGGAACAGTATTGTCTTTAGTGACGAGTCTCGATTTTGTTTAGGCATGCACGATGGTCGTGCCAGGGTTAGAAGGCGACGTGGTAAAAGGAGGAATCCACAGTTTTTTGTTGAAAGACATGTTCATCACACTGTTGGAGTTATGGTTTGGGGTGCTATAGCTTATGGTTCCAGGTCACCTTTAATCTTCATCAGAGGTAACATGAACGCGCAGCGTTATATCCACGAAGTTCTAGAACCCCATCTTTTACCCTATCTTGACACCCTGGCAGATCCAACTTTCCAACAAGATAATGCCCGACCACATGTTGCAAGAGTCACAATAGACTTCTTTCAACATAATGATGTCACATTGTTACCATGGCCACCAAGATCTCCCGACTTATCCCCAATTGAGCACGTGTGGGATATGATGGGTAGGAGATTGCTCAATTTGCAACGTCCTCCTCAGACTCTAGAAGCACTTCGAGAGGAGTTGGTGGTTGCCACAGGAGGACATTGACCACCTGATCAGAAGCATGCCTAGGCGCGTTGGAGAATGCGTAGCGCCTCAGGGTGCATCCACACATTATTAAAGGTCAAAGGGCTTTAAAGCAGTGCAATCATTTTGAAATGTTTATCATTTACTTATTATGCTTCATTAAGTACTTATACAAAATTTTATTAAAATAAAACCATTTAAACTGGGTGTTCGGATTTATATGTCACTTAGTATAGTATGATTTTTTTTATACCTGCTAAAAACTGTTTAGGCACAAAATGGGCTATGATACTTTTCAACAAGCCATCGCAATCAAAAATTTGAGAAAGAAGAAATTCTGAATCTCTAGCCATCCTTATCAATATATCCATGCAGTAGACTATTGTTTCCAGAGGGGGTTTTACGGTATTTATGATGTACCTAAGATAAAAATAAAATAATTACTGAATAAACAATAAACATCAACAATCTAAGAACAGGTATCTCAGAATTGAAGTCTAAGAAAAATCCAAGTGAGAATCTCTCAAAAAAGATTCTAAATGATTGTTTCGATATAATTGGAGAGAAATTATTATTATTGGTGAATCACCATCAAAATTAAAGTGTTCCCCCATTACTCCTGTGCCAAAAGTTCAACATTCTGGGTGCGCCATCTATTACTTTTTTTGCCTATAAGTTTATGTGTTACCATGTGAGTCAAAAGTCATGTGGTACGCATAAATGAACTGTCAAAGGTATGCCATTTATGGTCATGGATTCGTTTACAACACAACAACGCATTTTGGTTATCCAAACTTATCACGAAAATGGTCGAAATATAAAAAATACTTTTCGCTAACTGCGCACTAGTTTTGGCCGACATGGACGCCCTCCAGAGCCTGGAATTCATTGGATTGTTAATCGTTTTGAGGAAACTGGTTCAGCTGAAGGTCGTAGACCATACCAACATGCTCGTCCAGCTCGTACACGTGAAAACATAGCCGCAGTGAGTGAAAGTGTCCGAGAAGATCCAACCACCTCGACTAGGCACCGTTCGCAACAATTGGCAATTAGTGAGACCACTTTACGCCGGATTTTATACATTGATTTTCACCTCCATCCATACAAAATCCAACTAACACAAGAATTGAAGCCGGCAGGCCATCAACAGCGACTGATTTTCGGCCAAAATGATCTTTTCTGATGAGGCTCAGTTTCACCTCAATGGGTACGTAAATAAGAAAAATTGCAGATTCTGGGGGGGCTGAAAATCCACACCAATATCATGAACAACCTCTCCATCCTGAAAAAGTGACTGTTTGATGCGGATTATGGGCTGGTGGCATCGTTGGACCATTCTTCTTTGAAGATGCCGAAGAAAAGGTCATTACTGTCAACGGAGAACGTTATCGCGGCATGTTAACAGATTTTTTGTTGCCACAATTGGATCGTATTGGTGCCGACGAACTTTGGTTTCATCAAGACGGAGCAACGGCTCACACATCTCGCCAAACAATCGCCTTATTGCACACGAAATTTCAAGACCGCCTAATTTCACGAAATTCAGATGTCAGTTGGCCGCCGAGATCGTACGATTTCACACCTCTTGACTATTTTCTTTGGGGATTTTTGAAAGGAAAAGTGTATGCGAATGGTCCCTGGACAATTCAAGACCTAAAGCGCAACATTCGGACTGAAATTGCGGCCATAGACCCGATTATTCTAGGAAAAGTCATTGGAAATTTTGATGTTCTGAAGTTGGCCTGTAAACGAAGCCGCAGCGGTCACATGACTGATGTTATTTTTCATATATAAATGGCATAAACCAACCTTCATTTGTCAATAAAAAAATTCTATTTCACCTCGTAAAAAGCGTGTTGATTTTTTAAATAGAAAAAAAGTAATAGATGTCGCACCCTGTACAAAAGTGCGACCGATTAATCTCTTGCCAGATGTCGAGAAGCTGTTCGAAGGGATAAAATACAAACAAATCATTGAAAAAAAACAAATTTTGACAAAAAAGCAAGCTGGATTTAGAAAAAAATATTTTACAGAAACAGCAAATCAAATGGTGGTGGAAGACTTCAGAAGAAGTATAGATGAGAAAGAATGTATTATAACAGTACTTTTAGACTTTAAAACAGCATATGAGACTATAGATACAAAATGATTCAGTAAATAGAAGTCAAAAAACTAAAGTTATAAATACTATGTCAACTTACACAAGATAGATTAAAGTAAATATGTGGACAGAAACTATATCAACTACCGACGTGTTAGATAGAGAATCAAAACAATTAATACCTTATTCTAGTCAGAATATCTGTTCTCAGCAAACATCTAACCAAATTCTTCTCGGCAAGTTGTTGATCGTTGACAGTGTTGTCATCCTCCTTCTGATGATCGACGGCTAAAATAGGCTGAATCATTCCCACCCCAAAACCTAAAATGCTATCAAGGCAAGTTTCGTCTACTTGAGAGAAAAATAAATTCCGTAACGCCTTGATGCTGGCGTTCAGAACTGCTGGAGTATTGTCATCCAAACAAAAACGGATCACGAAGAATATCTGTTCGATTGGTAGGTCGAGTATCTCGTCATAAACTCCTGTGGAATGCAGTGAGAGGATGTTTGCTATTGCGTTTAGTGCCATTATTTTCTGCTGGTTAACAGAAGACCTGAAAAGAGAAATGAGCATTTTATACACTGTCTGTCGAGAAGTAAACAGGACAACAGAAAATGAACAAACATTTTCTTTTAGGAAAATCGAATTTATTTTAAACAAAATAATCTCCTTTGTCCGGGATGTCCTTCCCTTTATGGAAAAAAGTAGTAACGAACAAAAAATAGACGGTGCCAAATCAGGAGAATATGGGGAGTGGCTTCATTGTTCCATGTTCATGTTTCGACCGATGCTAGAAAGGTACTGTCACTTTGAGCGCGATAACTCCGCGTGAAGTGGCTCGATTGTCATGAAATTTTGACAGGGCATCAATGAAAGATGTACCTATCCAACGCTAGTACGAGTCTTACATACCTTGATAGCTGGAATAGTTCTTGCAAGGTATAACCTGGTCTGCCTGGTTCTTCTCCATGATGGTACAAAATTCTATTCTTCTCGTTGATTTCAGGCTCCGCATACGGCAATAGCCAGCCTTCAAAGTCGAACCTACGAAAATCCGACAATAAAAAACGGCATCAAGGAGATTGACTCTCTACTTCCTGCGCCTTCACTGGAGGTTTGAAAGAAAAGTATGAGTCAAATCGTGTCAAAAGGTGAAATCGAATCGTGATTATGTTTCTGATGCTTAAAGATATCTGCATCACACGGGTCCAAATTTCTCATTTATGTCGGTTGTATCAATGCGTCATTAATACTGAGTCAATCTACATGACGAAATACTCGGACACGGAGTAATACAAATGGGTGGTGAATGTGAAAATCATATTTTTTTTTGTTTTTGAAAATGGATCAAAAATATACAGGGTGCCCAAATAGTGTGTCAAAGCGCAATATCTTCGTTGCTAAAGTTGAATACAAAATTTGTAGACACAGCTAAAGGCTACAGCCTGAAATTATTTTAGCTATACAGGGTGTCCCATGAATTAGTGGCAATATAAACTTGTATTTTTTTAAGCGCTTTTCTTGAGCATCTTGCTGATGTATCATTTCGGGGATTTGTACTGGCTATTTCGGAATATATAGCCACTTTTTCGTTAAAATCATTATACATTTGACTTGCCGTTATCATAAGCAACACTTTAGATAAAATCTATTTTACTATACTGAGTGATGGAAACAGAGGTAGACATTCAAATCCAACGTTTTTTCTGTACATCTCTCATTCGAGACATACAGGGTGAGTCAAAACAAAATTTTCTCGAAAAATCTAAATCAAACACCTTGTATGTTATAACTCTATTCAACGCGTCTCGTAGTGCTTTTCTAGTTTTATTAAGCATTGCCTATACCCAAATCTAGTATTCTCTGAGATATTCGATGTTTTAGAAGTGAAAACCATAATTTATGAGGATGTTGCACTCATGTTTTTCGAGAAAACAATACTTCCGTTTTGACTTACCTAGTAGGCTTAAGGGTGTTTTAAAATACAGCAAGTCAAATAATGTAAAATGATTTTAACGAAAAAGGGGCCATTTATTCTGAAATACCCAGAACAAACCCCGAAACCGTACATTGGAAGAATGGCCAAGAAAAGGCTCTTCTAAAAAACAACATTTCAAAAAAACAAGTTTATATTGCTTCTAGCATATGGGACATCTACATCTTTTGTATTTAATAATAATAATAATAATAATAGCGTTTATTTACAGATAAAAAAAATACAAAGAGGAAAAATTAAAAATGAAGAAACAACACGAATTCCCTGCAAAAGGGACTAGTAAACAGACGCGATGATCAAAGTATTAGCCCAACAAACAACATTACAACAGAGGAGTTCTTAACCAAATTATATAAGCTAATACGAGGGATGTCTTTTAAGTTTTGCATATACAAACATAGTAGGCCATGCGGATCAAACGTCAGTACTGAATCTTAACCTCACTCTTTAGTAAACTTAAATTCAAAGTTTCACAGCAATACGTGCAGTGTTCTCACTACAGTGACTTTTTAAATGTCACCAAGTCATTAGAAAAATGGAACTCAACCGAGAACATTTTCGCGCCATAATGTATTACAACTTTCTAAGTCCTAACGATTTCTTTACTTTCCCGAAAATTAAAAACAGACTGCGTGGATCAAAGGTTCCAGTCACCAGAAGAAGCAGTTGACGCATTCAAAAATGCCTTTTTGATGATGTGTATTATCTTCGTGGAGAATACTTCGAAAAACAATAAAGTCATTTAAAACTACCTACCGTGTTGTTTTATTTCCATATGTAAAACTTAAAAGACATCCCTCGTAAAAAATATATATGTATATAAAGAAATTATATAAAAAATATAATTTAACGAAAAATGTCAAATCATTTTAGGCAGATTAACAAAAAAAAATATTTAGAATATAAAAAGGAAAGGAACAATATAAAGTAAACACAACAATTCATCTAATAGAAATTTTCTGTAACTACTTTTAAAAGCTGACGCAGACAAAGACTTAAGGTTTGTGGGGACGTGATTATACAAGTGGTAGATAAAATGAGAAAAACATCAGTTAAACATAGATGTACGATGTGGTTGGGAAATCAGCTTCAGATAACGAACATTGATAATGTGAACATCACTTCGAAATGTGATCTTATTATATAAATAAGGCGGAGTTTTAACTTTTTTCTGCAACTCTAATAGTAACGAAGATATTGAGCTGACACACTATTTGGATATCATGTAGAGTATATTTTCTGTACCTAGCTTCAAATGTTCCGTTTTTCAATTGAGGTATATCAATTTCTTTCATCCACGCGAGCTTATTATTCTCTACAACTTCGAAATTTAACCATTTTTCAGCTTTGGGATGGGCCAGTATTTCTTTAGTGGTCTCAATATCTTCAATTTTTACATCTTCGGCAGCCTCATTTTGCTCCTTTATGGTTGGATTTCTATTTTCAAGCATCTCTTTTTTTCTTCTTGACTTCAAATAGGCAATTATGGCCGGATCCATTGTCTGTATAAGTCTCTCCCTTTCTTCAGTTATTTCCTCTTCCGACATATTTTGCATAACACCCAGATTTTCTTCATGAATTTGCTTACTGTCTGAACCCGTTAGTATGTAACTTTGTGATGGTAAATTTTTCTTTTTGAATTGGGAAGGTTCATTTCTGATACAACTGCATGAAGGACCTTCTAGACTTTTCTCTTTAATGACAAGCGTCTGGTCAGATATTGGTGCAGGGTCTACTTCCATTGGCGTCTCATCTTTCTTCATTTTTTTGATATGTTGCGCAAATATACTGCCATGGCCGGAAGAGATATTGGGCTGTGGGAGAAAGATTAGTATTTAATAAACTGAATTTTGGTTGCACCAAATCTTTGGTTGATTTTACGCCGCATTCTTCCCACGCCATTGGGCTGAAGCAGTAAAAAATTTCAAAGTAATCACATAACACTGATCAACAGCCAAAAAATATCCTAAATAAAATCAACAAAATATTACTATTTTTTCCTCAGTTGGCTGACAGCGTTCATGCAAGATGTCTCGAAAGTGTGTAAACAATCCAGATCAGTTTTGTTACGTGTGTGGTGATGTGACTTTCGCGTCTCAGAGACGGTCTATTACTCCACTAATAACAAAGGCGTATCAGCTTTATTTCGGTTGTAAACTAGGTGATCAAGACAAACAGTGGGCAGCCCACATCTGCTGTAATACATGTGCTTCAAGTCTGAGGAGCTGGTTAAATGGCAAAAAACGGTCTATGCGCTTTGCTGTCCCAATGGTTTGGAGAGAGCCTACAAATCATATTAATGATTGTTACTTTTGCATGGTACCTTGTGTTGGAGAAGCCACAGGTATGTCCAAGAAAAAAAATCGGTTATTAACTACCCAAACATACCATCTGCGATGAGACCTGTGCCTCACAGTGACGAAAATCCTATTCCAAAACCCAAAGAATCCTACACTTGCGAATCAGAAAACGAATCAGATCATGGCGATCGAGTGATTCGTCAGGAAGAAGATGCCATCAACGTCAAGAGATCCTGATTTTATACCGAGCACGTCATGCCACCAACCGCACAAAATAACACAGTCAGAATTAAATGATTTTGTAAGAGATTTAGAACTTCCAAAATGTAAGGCTGAGTTACTTGGATCAAGACTGCAGCAGTGGAACTTGTTAGAAGACGATGTTTCGGTATGTGTTTTTCGTAAACGCCACAAAGACTTAGAACCATTTTTCAATATGGAGAATAACTTGGTTTTCTGCAGTAACATTAACGGCTTACTGGCGGCTTTAAATATAAACTATAACCCAGAAGAATGGAGATTGTTTATAGACAGTTCAACATTGAGTTTAAAGGCAGTGTTATTGCATATTGGAAATATTTTACCATCTCTTCCTGTAGGGTATGCAGTTCACATGAAAGAATCATATGACAATATGAAGTACCTATTGACATGCATAAAATACGATGAGCACCAGTCTCATATTTGTGGCGATTTGAAAGTTGTTGCACTTTTACTTGGGCTGCAGCTAGGCTACACAAAGTTTTGCTGTTTTTTGTGTGGATAGGACAGTCGGGCAAAGGCACTTCATTACACCAGACAAAACTGGCCTGTTCGTCAATTCCTAGAGCCAGGTCAAAAAAATGTACAGCATATGCCATTAGTAGATTCGAAAAAAATTTTATTACCACCACTGCATATCAAGTTGGGCCTAATGAAAAACTTTGTCAAGGCATTAGATAGAGACGGGTCAGCTTTTCAATACCTGCGTCAGAAATTTCCAAGACTAAGTGAGGCAAAGGTTAAAGAAGGTATTTTTGTTGGGCCACAGATTCGAAATATTTTGAAAGATACACAGTTTGAAAACACTTTAACAGGTATTGAAAAAACTGCTTGGAATGATTTCCGTCTGGTGGTCACTAATTTCTTGGGAAATAGAAAAGCTGACAACTATAAAACCCTTGTCAAAAATATGCTGTCATCGTATCAAAAGATGGGCTGTAATATGTCTCTTAAGATACATTTCCTACACTCACACCTGGACTTTTTTCCTGACAATTGCGGAGCCGTAAGTGATGAGCACGGCGAACGTTTTCAACAGGATATTTCAACAATGGAAAAAAGGTACCAGGGAAAGTGGAATCCTTCCATGCTTGCAGACTACTGTTGGACTCTTTGTAGAGATGCTCCAGAAACGATCCATAAAAGAACAGCAAAAAGACAGCGCATATAGTGATTCTTATAAGTATATGAATCTTGTTACTTTTTTTAATATATCCTTAAAAATTAAAAGTTTTTTTCTAAACCGCAACTAATTTTTCTATTTCATTGTCATTTTTGGAATCAGCGTCCCAAAATTAACAAAGAAGTGCACTTTTCCCACAAGATACAATTAGAAAACTAAAATTTGTTGTCCAGTGTAATTTGTGGGTGTTCCTTGGTCAATTTTACTTCGGATTAATCATACAGGGTGGCCTGAAGAAAAGGTCGTACCCCTATTTGTATATTTTGGGACAAACGCTCGAACACGTCAATTTTGATTTCTAGGGGAGCGTCTTTTCATCTATACAGGGTGATCCACAAATAAGATATTGCGTTACACTTTAGATCTTCAAATGGAACCACCCCATCTTTTAATTTTTAGATTTTTCATGAAGTTCGATCTACAACCAGACAAGATATGAAAAACCGGGTTCGTAATGCAATACATAACATACCGAGAGCCGAAATTGAAGCTGCAGTTTTGTCTACCCATGAGACGCTTCTGGGGTGCATAGAGGGTGATGGTCAGCATTTCGAACATTTACGGGGACATTAAAAATCTTTCTGTTTCAAATCGGTCCTTTTTAGGGCTACAACTTGATAATAAAAAGAAATTCCAGAAAAAAAGTTTCAAAAACCTAAAATTTAAGGGATTTCCGTATAAAATCTTCTTTGGTCTCAATTTTAGGTTAGGAATAAGATATCGAGATGCGGTTTTCGCGAGCTCGTTTAGTCATCATTAATTAAGCTACTTTTCCATAAAAAAAAATCAAACCAATGCATTTAATTTTTTTGAGAAAATTAACAATTTCTGTCAGAATGTCGGAAAAAGCCCTCTAGCAGCCACATGTGATATTATCAAAACTTTTAATATTATAACATTTGTAGCCCAAAAATAGGTCTTTTGAACTAGCCGAAGTTTGTTGAAATCCGCTCAGCCGTTTCGAAGATACAGGGTGTTTTGTACGCAAACCTTTGAATACCCCCACCACTTTATTTTCAGAGATACAGTAAAAATTGTCAAATTAAAAAGGTTCACATTTTCCTCGACTTCAAAGATCAGGTAGATTTGTTAGGTTAATATAGCGGAATTCACAGAAACAACAATTTTTTAGATTCAATATTGCAGTTACCCCCCCTAGTGACCATTTGGAAAACTTGAAAATATTTTTTTTCTCATTTCACAGATACCACCACAAACAAATTTCTGCAATCTTAAGAATATAAATTGCTACTGTTTGGCCGATAGACTAACAATACTGATATATCAGCCTTTGCAATATCAGTATCAGCTAATTAGCAGTATTGGAGTGATCTCAATGAGGAATAAAGGTTCTATAATTGCCTAAACGCCATCCATCATTTCTTAACCAACCAAACACAATACAATAACTTAGATATCTACTCACATCTCTACGTTTTGCTTGGGGGAAGCCTCGACTGTTATTAAATTTGACCTGAGGCATCCGAGTTTGATTCTGTTTTTCAATTATACTTCTCAGTTGCATATTTGTTGGTACTGCTTCAAATGTATTTGCCAGCTGTTCCTCAATATTTGCAACATTTTTTGTACCACTATCTGCTTCACTACTAGTACCTGAAACTGCAAATAAATGTCTAACCCTGCAACAATAAAAAGGCAATGAGTATACCACTTGTTTCAGTTTTTGCACTGATAACTTTTGCTGCTGCTTTAATTTTATCCTTAGATTTTAGAAATTCGTCTTGTAATTTCAGAATGTCTTCTTCAGTTTCACCTGGCTTGGGTCTTGAATACATTTTATGGCTTTGAAATATCTTTATAATTCAGAAAATAGATGTTATGTTTTGCCTTCAGCTGGACGTTTCTTTTCTAAATAACAACAAACATTGAGGTTATAATCATTTAACATTGACAGAAATATATTGAAAAGTCAAATTGTCAAATGTCATTTTACTTAAAGTGATGAAATTTCAAATATGAAAATTCGATGAATTAGGTAAAGTGTCTACTGTGAGGTAATAGTGAGTTATTGAACATTTGATAAAGTCGGCACTAATTATACAAACACAAAAGATCTAGTTAGCACTTCTTTAACAATCGGATCATCTAAAACTATTATCAAATCCAAGCGAATAACCAAAATTTCTGTGTTATGTGCCGCGGTTATAATATGGTTCAAGATGACACAAGGGTTGATGACGTCAGTTACACGAATCGCTTGAACGCGTTGGTTTTAACCGCGGTTTTGTTGCAAGTTGTTTATTTTAGAAAAGCGCGTATATAATCTCTGATTATTTTTAATATCACTTAATAATCGGTGCTTTTTCGTCTACAACTGTATATGGAAAGTTTAAATAAGAAACCTTTCATAATATTCATGGGAGAAATGTTTTTTCAGATTTTTTTTTCAGTGATGGAACCATGGCTTTGTAGCTATGATAACCTTCAATTCTCTAAATTTTTCCGCATGTCAAAGAAAACATTTATTGATTCAGCAGAAATGATAAAAAAAGAAATTAGCAAAACCGTATACAGGTGGATATCATCTAGTGAGTTTATATGGCCATATTTTAATATTCTTGTGGTATATGGCTACACAGGATACTTTGTTAAGCATAGGAACTACATTTAAAGTGTCCCCAACAACCGTAATGAGTATAACTAATAAGGTGCTCCACTTTATGGTAAAACTGAAGTCAGCCTGTATCATTTTTCTCAAAAATGAAGCTGAAGTACAATAACAATATCCAATACCCAGCAAAATTCTAACTTGTCACATTTCAAATAATAACCAGAAATATAAAACTACTCTTGAGTTGGGTAAATACCACAATTTTGCGGTGATAACTATGACATATAACAGCTGATTCATGACATCACGGATCTTATAACCAAACTGATAACTACACTCGCTTGAACGGATTGGAAAATACCAACCCAAAATGGTAAATACCATTTCCATTTGGTTATCCGCTTGAATTTGATTATTGAAAAGTCAAATTGTCAAATGTCATTTTAGTTGAAGTGTTGAAATTTCAAATATGAAAATTCGATGAATTAGGTGAAGTGTCTACTGTGAGGTAATAGTGAGTTATTGAACATTTGATAAAGTCGGCACTAATTATACAAACACAAAAGATCTAGTTAGCACTTCTTTAACAATCGGATCATCTAAAACTATGATTTATTCCAGGGGGTGAAACGTCTTATGGGCGAACTGGCAACACCAAGGTCATCCTCTTCAGGCAAAATCGAGGAAACTGCAATACCGACATCACGTGACGAGCTGCATGCCAGGTTTTTCTATCGTTATCTAAACGTGTGATTTATACTTTACATTGACAGCTTGTTTCATATAATTTTCATAATCGCATAACCTGAAATTGGCTTTTTTTTGTTTGTTAAAGAGATTCGCTTTTCTGCCAGTTAGAAGCTCGGCAATTTTTCGACAAAAGGTCCCTGGCCCACCCCAAAAATAAGACTTGAAATTGATGAAGTTAGTGCTTGCCACTATTACAAGATGCTAATCGTGGCACAGCCAAGACTGTTTTCTTCCTAGTGAGAATAACCTTCCTTTTTACATTGGTTTTCGCAGATAAAAGCAAAAATTATATACGGAATTTAGTTTCCTTTGTCATTTTCTCGCTATTATTTTGTACTGTTCGCGGGTTGTAAGTTTAATTGGTGAAAATTATGGACCTTTTGGCTGTAATAATTCTAAAACAATTTTAAAATAAATCTCTACTTGCCATTAGGGAGTTGTTGAAATACTGCCATCCACTATTACTGCCAACCTTACACATTTGAGAGATTTAACAAACATTGATCATCAGTAAAACTAAACTATTTTGCACGAATGTTTTTTATTTATTCGCTCATTCTAAATAAATTCGCCTAAAAAATGTATATGTTGTCATGTAATTATGAAGCACCTTGAAGAAAGCGGCGTATTTTCCAAATAAGAAGCACATAGTTGCCTACAATTTTATAACTAACTTAAAATATCTGAACTACCGACACTGGGCACATTATTTAGGTAAAAAGTGTTAACAATACGGACGCATTGTGGGATCGCGTAGCGCTCCACGATGAATTGGATACATGTGCTTTAAACAACTACTACGGCGCCACCTGCTGAAATACGTGTATCAACAATGGCGCGTAATTTAAATCAGTCAGTTATATATTGGCCACCCTGTAGAAGCATCCTTGCAACAGAGTCGTCAGGGTCAAGTCTGATTGCAGTTTTTTACAATGAAAATGGAATTGATTGATTCTTGAATACGAAGTTCCATAAATGGTCATCAATACTTCGTCACTTTTCCTCTTTCATCATTGTATTAGGGAATTTACATTCGACTTTCTCTGCCGAAATGGTGGTCGTTTTTGACAGTGACAGGAGAGTTTTAGGGAATTGTTATATAAGCTGTGGTGTAATGGTATTGGTTAGATTGGTATGGAGAACAACATACTAAAATTCCAGCCAATCTGACCATGAGCCATTTGCCATAAGAAATCTGCTGTATACGTTTTTATTTATATGCCATAAAGACAAACTATATGTAGTGAGGATCATTAATTTTACAAGAAATTAAAACTAATAATATAATAGTGAGGTAGAACACATTAATTAGTAGTGAAGTAGAAACCAGTTTTAAACTCAGTTAGATTAAAGGTGAAGATGAAGGTAAATTGTCACCACAAAATTCCAGTTCAGATGAATTGATAGAGCTTGTTGTCATTTCCCTTGGAGCTGGATCTTAAAAAAAAGAGTATTTCAAAACTAAAATGTACAATAATAACAAAACTATACCTGGAACGATCATAGGCTGATTTTTTGTTTTCCTCAAGTCAGCACAAAATTTCTGGAACCGACTCTGGCACTCCATCAACTCGTCTGTCACTTGCCTTGACTGCTCCAGTTCCTGGTCGTGTTTTTCCAAGTGACAATTCTAAAATGATTGAAAACATGTAATAAAAAACCTCGATTGTTGATCATTTTATGTATCATTTACCTCAAATTGTAAATTTGGACTGTTTTTTAAAAGTGGAGACATCTCTGTACCACTATTGATCACTTCTACAAATTCTTCCACAGCCTCTTTATTGCCTAATGGCAGTTTGTTATTCAACGGCTGATAATGTAAAAATCTCACGTGTCTGGATACATAAACAACATTTTCTACAGTGTCTTGAATATCTCCTGGAATAAATCAAAATACATTAGTAAATAAAAAAATGCAACAAAAAAGTACTCATTTCATATACTATAGCGATTCCTCATATGAAGTAACGACATTGGCAACGTCGCGTTCGATCTGGCAACACTGTAGAGGAGACAATGGAACACGTGATCCGCTTTCAGTACAAGTTTGAAATCGCTTGAGTCATTTGGTTGTCCTTAGGTTTTTTTTTGAAACAGGCTTTTCTATTGTTCTAATTTTTTTTAATAATGCTCCTTGTCACACAGCCATGTCAATATACGAGATTTTGGCCAATAAAAACACTCCTGTGATAAGACAATTCTACTTATTAACAAGACAGTTCATATCGAAGTGGGATTCGTCGTTCGTCATCAGTTGTCGGTAAAAATGGTTACTTTGGGTTTTAAGCTACAATATTCATGGTCATTAGTTTTTGGGTTAATTGAATTTTGTATGGCCGCAAATGCAATTTTTTTTTAATAGTACATAATGACGTGCGGCGAATACCCAGTTCTTGAGAACGATCTCTGGTAGACGTCTCAGGGCGCTCCAATACACTTTCACGAATTCTCTCTATATTTTCCGAACACCTTGGCAAATCTTTAACTTCACCTGTTTGTTCAAACTTCCTCACCAACTAATGAATGGTGTCGACACTGGGCACATTATTTAGGTAAAAAGTTTTAACAATACGGACGCGTTGTGGGATCGTGTAGCGATCCACGATGAATTGGATACATGTGCTTTAAACAACTACTACGGCGCCACCTGCTGAAATACGTGTATCAACAATGGCGCGTAATTTAAATCAGTCAGTTATATATTTGCCACCCTATAGAAGCATCCTTGCAACAGAGTCAAGTCTGATTGCAGGTTTTTACAATGAAAATGGAATTGATTGATTCTTCAATACGAAGTTCCATAAATGGTCATCAATACTTCGTCGCTTTTCCTCTTTCACCATTGTATTAGGGAATTTACATTAGACTTTCTCTGCCGAAATGGTGGTCGTTTTTGACAGTGACAGGAGAGAGTTTTAGGGAATTGTTATATAAGCTGTGGTGTAATGGTATTGGTCAGATTGGTATGGAGAACAACATACTAAAATTCCAGCCAATCTGACCATGAGCCATTTGCCATAAGAAATCTGCTGTATACGTTTTTATTTATATGCCATAAAGACAAACTATATGTAGTGAGGATCATTAATTTTACAAGAAATTAAAACTAATAATATAATAGTGAGGTAGAACACATTAATTAGTAGTGAAGTAGAAACCAGTTTTAAACTCAGTTAGATTAAAGGTGAAGATGAAGGTAAATTGTCACCACAAAATTCCAGTTCAGATGAATTGATAGAGCTTGTTGTCATTTCCCTTGGAGCTGGATCTTAAAAAAAAGAGTATTTCAAAACTAAAATGTACAATAATAACAAAACTATACCTGGAACGATCATAGGCTGATTTTTTGTTTTCCTCAAGTCAGCACAAAATTTCTGGAACCGACTCTGGCACTCCACCAACTCGTCTGTCACTTGCCTTGACTGCTCCAGTTCCTGGTCGTGTTTTTCCAAATGACAATTCTAAAATGATTGAAAACATGTAATAAAAAACCTCGATAGTTGATCATTTTATGTATCATTTACCTCAAATTGTAAATTTGGACTGTTTTTTAAAAGTGGAGACATCTCTGTACCACTATTGATCACTTCTACAACTTCTTCCACAGCCTCTTTATTGCCTAATGGCAGTTTGTTATTCAACGGCTGATAATGTAAAAATCTCACGTGTCTGGATACATAAACAACATTTTCTACAGTGTCTTGAATATCTCCTGGAATAAATCAAAATACACTAGTAAATAAAAAAATGCAACAAAAAAGTACTCATTTCATGTACTATAGCGATTCCTCATATGAAGTAACGACATTGGCAACGTCGCGTTCGATATGGCAACACTGTAGAGGAGACAATGGAACACGTGATCCGCTTTCAGTACAAGTTTGAAATCGCTCGAGTCATTTGGTTGTCCTTCGGTTTTTTTTTTGAAACAGGCTTTTCTATTGTTCTAATTTTTTTTAATAATGCTCCTTGTCACACAGCCATGTCAATATACGAGATTTTGGCCAATAAAAACACTCCTGCGATAAGACAATTCTACTTATTAACAAGACAGTTCATATCGAAGTGGGATTCGTCGTTCGTCATCAGTTGTCGGTAAAAATGGTTACTTTGGGTTTTAAGCTGCAATATTCATGGTCATTAGTTTTTGGGTTAATTGAATTTTGTATGGCCGCAAATGTAATTTTTTTTTAATAGTACATAATGACGTGCGGCGAATACCCAGTTCTTGAGAACGATCTCTGGTAGCCGTCTCAGGGCGCTCCAATACACTTTCACGAATTCTCTCTATATTTTCCGAACACCTTGGCAAGTCTTTAACTTCACCTGTTTGTTCAAACTTCCTCACCAACTGATGAATGGTGTCGACACTGAGCACATTATTTGACTCATTATTTAGGTAAAAAGTTTTAACAATACGGACGCGTTGTGGGATCGTGTAGCGATCCACGATGAATTGGATACATGTGCTTTAAACAACTACTACAGAGCCACCTGCTGAAATACGTGTATCAACAATGGCGCGTAATTTAAATCAGTCAGTTACATATAGGCCACCCTGTAGAAGCATCCTTGCAACAGAGTCAAGTCTGATTGCAGTTTTTTACAATGAAAATGGAATTGATTGATTCTTCAGTACGAAGTTCCATAAATGGTCATCAATACTTCGTCACTTTTCCTCTTTCATCATTGTATTAGGGAATTTACATTCGACTTTCTCTGCCGAAATGGTGGTCGTTTTTGACAGTGACAGGAGAGTTTTAGGGAATTGTTATATAAGCTGTGGTGTAATGGTATTGGTCAGATTGGTATGGAGAACAACATACTAAAATTCTAGCCAATCTGACGATGAGCCATTTGCCATAAGAAATCTGCTGTATACGTTTTTATTTATATGCCATAAAGACAAACTATATGTAGTGAGGATCATTAATTTTACAAGAAATTAAAACTAATAATATAATAGTGAGGTAGAACACATTAATTAGTAGTGAAGTAGAAACCAGTTTTAAACTCAGTTAGATTAAAGGTGAAGATGAAGGTAAATTGTCACCACAAAATTCCAGTTCAGATGAATTGATAGAGCTTGTTGTCATTTCCCTTGGAGCTGGATCTTAAAAAAGAAAAATGTGTTTCAAAACTAAAATGTACAATAATAACAAAACTATACCTGGAACGATCATAGGCTGATTTTTTTTCGTCTTTTTTAAGTCAGCACATAAGTTCTTGAACAGACTCTGGCACTCCATCAACTTGTCTGTCACTTGCCTTGACTGCTCCAGTTCCTGGTCGTGTTTTTCCAAGTGACAATTCTAAAATGATTGAAAACATGTAATAAAAAACCTCGATAGTTGATCATTTTATGTATCATTTACCTCAAATTGTAAATTTGGAGTGTTTTTTAAAAGTGGAGACATCTCTGTACCACTATTGATCACTTCTACAAATTCTTCCGCAGCCTCTTTATTGCCTAATGGCAGTTTGTTATTCAACGGCTCATAATGTAAAAATCTCACGTGTCTGGATACATAAACAACATTTTCTACAGTGTCTTGAATATCTCCTGGAATAAATCAAAATACACTAGTAAATAAAAAAATGCAACAAAAAAGTACTCATTTCATGTACTATAGCGATTCCTCATATGAAGTAACGACATTGGCAACGTCGCGTTCGATATGGCAACACTGTAGAGGAGACAATGGAACACGTGATCCGCTTTCAGTACAAGTTTGAAATCGCTCGAGTCATTTGGTTGTCCTTCGGTTTTTTTTTTGAAACAGGCTTTTCTATTGTTCTAATTTTTTTTAATAATGCTCCTTGTCACACAGCCATGTAAATATACAAGTTTTTGGCCAATAAAAACATTCCTGTGGCTCATCAGACTCCTTATTCGCATGTGCTGAGTCCTCGTGACTTTTCTCTTACTAACTGCAAGTATGCTAGTGGTTATTCTTGCAGATTAAGTGTTTTATGACACAATTGTAGGGCATGCATCACCAATTAATTGGTGGTTATTTTGAATAAGGCCAATGAAAAGGTTGCGCCCCATTTTTGACTCTCCTGGTATATTTTGGGGAAAACGCTCGAAAACGTCAATTTTGATTTCTAGGGGGACGTCTTTTCATCTATACACGTAAGATACAGGATGATCCAACAATAAGATAGTGCGTTGCACTTTAGATTTTCAAATGGAAAGCCCCATTATTTTTTAGTTTTTAGATTTTCCGTTGAAGTTTTTAGCAACTTTCGTATAACAAAGTTTATACCAATGCCAGCAAGAACACTTAGCATTAGTCAGTGTCATCGTAGGTATGTCATAGAAAAAATTTATCTTCCATTTCAAATTGTTAAGTTACCTACCCAGTTGAGATAAATAATGAACAATGACTTACTCAATTCAAGAAAGGGTTTAAATAACAAAACTGTATTACAAAAATGGGACGAGTACAAGCTACTGCCTGGTTGTTTAATGCGTTACATCCAGACAACAATATGGGGGCATTTGAATAGTGAAGTTTTTAGTACGAAGCCAGATTCCATTCAAGATCTTCATCAGCAGAGTACGTCTGAATGAATGAATAGATTCGAACAAAATCCTTATTATTGCATGGAGGTAAATGGATACCACTCTCAGCACTTGTTACCACATTAACCTACCTCTTTATAGCAAATTAATTTTTACTTTAACTGTAAGGTGCTATAAACTGTACGTTGTTTTTTGTTTTTTTAATACTCAGGGACTTGTTTTTAATTTAGTCTTGTTACTATGGGAACTGTATTCATTATTTTCACAATATAATCACTTACTATCATAATTTCTAGAATTTTATTATGAACTTGAATAACTTCACAATGATTGAAGATAGATATAAGCTTTATTATACAAAAGTTACTAAAAACTTCATGGAGAAACTAAATAAAAAAGAAAATTCGAGATTCCATTTAAAAATCTAAAGTGTAATGCAATATCTTATTCTTGGATCACACATGGATTCTATGGCTATAGATGAAAAGATGTCCTCCTAGAAATCAAAATTGACGTATCCAAGCATTTTTCCGAAAGCCACAAATGGAGGTGCAACCTTTTTGATGGGCCACCCTGTATATTAATAAATTTAATATTAAATGCCCCTCAATATCAATTCTGTTCCTATTGTTTTCTCCAGGTCATAAAATTGTGTTTTTGACATTTTGGAAATCAAAGAGATTCACTGAATGCATGTCAGTTTTTCTTAATAAAATTAAATGTGATAATTTCAAAAGCTACGAGACATCAAACAAATTTTATTTTTAATTATTTTCTGGATATCCTGCGTATAACACAAAAACTAAGAAACTACAAGTGGTAAGCCTGAAGCAATGAGATTAAAATGAGTTCCAGTTTGAAAATGTTCAAAGGGAAATTGAAAAAATTCATCATGGAAATCTAGAATTCATCATAGGGAAATTTTGTCTAAAAACATATATATTTTAAGACATCAAACATCATATGATGATACTATATATGTAATATCATTAATGTAGCAAATAATAAAACAAACTTGCCTTGTAATTCTTTGGCGTCTTTTTGCACCATGATTACACCCTCAGCATTTTGGTCTGTAGATGGAAGGCTCTGCATGTTCGTAAGTTTTAAAGCACAGAAGTTTTGAAAGTATTGTTCAAGACTCGAGTATGATACGAAATGTTCCTTCTAATATTTGGAAGTTCTAAACGTTTTAGATGAACTTTTTCAGATAAAAGAGCTGTTAAGTACAAAATGAAGCTGTAGCGTACAAAACACCAAGACAAAATGGTATCATTGATTTTGCATTTGTCTGACTACGTGACGTTGACGGATTCGTGAGAATTATGTGTCCTGTGCCGATATGGGGAATTTTGAGACATTACTAGATAAATTGCTGTCATTCTACCATGATGGACACTCGTGAAATAGGGTACAATTTACAGAGGTCTTTTTTCTATTTTTTAACCGTATTCACAAATGTCCACAAAAACAAGATCCATTTGAATTGTTTGAAGTCCCTGTCAAAGGCATGTCAACTCTTCGTAGCAGCGTTGCCAGTACACATTAGCTGTTTGCGCGATGACAGCGCCGCATAATTATTATTGAGGGCCCAAGACCCCAGACTTTGTCGCTTTCTTTGTTGGCAGTTAGATGTCTTTATACTCTTGATAACAATATCCGGTATGCTTTTCATCAAACTCAAATATAGCTAAATGAAGAGTTGTGTATATTAAACTAGTTAATTTGCTTATCTAAACCAAAAATGAATATGATTAGAATCCGTAAAACATTATTCAAACTTCCAAGCTCAAACTATACAAACAAGGAAGGAATTGGTGATAGCACAGAATGTTGAAGAGCTTAGTATAAAGCGCTGTTGAGAAGAACTGTGATCACAAGACGTATGTGATACAAACTCCCTACAAATCATTAAATGTGAATTGGACACCAAGCGACGCAAAATGTAAATATCAGCTTTTGTTTAGTTTTTTTGGCAAACATTGCTACGCCTCAAATTTTATATATCTTCATTGGTATTCCTCAATATTTTATTCAAAACTTCCTTTTTGTATAACATTCCGTCAAAATAGCAGAGATAGCACAGTTGCCCGATGAGCTGGCAACACCGCAATCCAAGTGACAAGAATGACAAGGTCATTTGTCAAGACGAATGTCTATCCCGGGGTACCGATAGCATCACTTAGAACGTCAAAGCTGCAATTTTCCAATTTTCATTTTTTTAAGTGTCATACAACGATTTTGATAAAAATTTCGCTGCGAATAGTCTTCTAGAGTCTAGTCGAATACATCTCAACAGTTGTCTTGCGTGGCCATGTTATCTTTACTCGGACAAAAAATTGGTTTTCGGTATAATGATCGATTCAATTCGATGTTATCCAAGAACAAGTATTTCGCTTTTCGTCTATAGAATTCTTGTTCTACAAAACGAACGCAACAGAAGACCACGTGGGTTAGTGTTCTGTGATTAACGGTGAGGTTAGGTTTATTTTCTGTTGTGTTATGTATTGTCACTTATGGGTTGTTTTTTGTTTGATGTATCTGTGACAAATTTGTGAAGAGCTTTTTGACGTTTGAGGCTGAGGAAGATTTTCCGTTATGTATGTTCAAAAAGCAAAAACCGAAAAATCTCTTGAACAGTAAAAATTTCCTCGTCCAAATGACCCAAAGCAACACGGAGTCAGAGATGCTAAAGGAAAAAATAAAAGTGGAAAATGACTTCGATAGTAAGAAATTCAAAGTTATTCAAACTACCAGTGGATTTTTAAAAGATGAGTATGGCCAATATTTTGAACCAGATGCTGCAGGCTGTGCTTCGGATAGGTGATTTATCAAAATGAGATATTTGGAAAAATTGTTATTTGTAATATTTCAGATTCTATGACTTGTATGGCACAATGCCAAATTTTGATTCTACTGAAGGGACAAGAGAGGGAGCTCTCAAAATGCAAGATGAAAAAGTAGAGTTGCAAAAAGACATAGATAACAGATACAATGATACAGAATGTCCTAATGAACTGATTATTAAAAGTGAGAATGCTGAATCCGGAGTCATAAATGAAGAAAACATCGAGATTTTTTCAAACAGGTGATTATTTTTTGGTTTACATGTTAGGTAACAGCTGCTGTGACTATAGGCTTTCTTTGCAGAGATACACGTTACTTTGCATTTTGTCTGTCCACAAATGCTATAACCACCTATAACTTGAGAACTACTGCTTGGAACTTGATGAAATTTTTACACAATGTTAGTGCTATGTCAAGAATGCATAAGCTTTGTAACTTTCCAAAATCGGTCCAGAGACTTTCAGAAAAAATTGTATGGGATAAAAATTGGGGGTTAGATGATATATTTTCATTTTTTCGTCTGAAATACTCACTTCATTTCTCATTTTTTCGAGAGCCTAGGCGTGCAGCAATTCTGGTTTACACACTCCAAAATTGTCAAATATGATTGAGTGAAAAAGGTTGCAGCTTAGATTATCCTGTTTTAGCATAGCAGTTGATCATAATTTTGATAACTCTTGGATAAAATGTGAAGCCGTTGAAGAACTGAAGTTAGAAAACGAGTCCTGTGGAATTACAGAAACCACTGAGGACTACAACATTAAAGATGAAGATGCTGATTTTACTGCTTCAGTTTCTAGTGAAACGTACGAGTGCACACAAAGTACTGCACAAGATGAAACTGTGATAAATGGAAGTTGTAAACTCTTTGTGTGCATCCACTGTAATGAAACATTCAGACTCAAGAGAGCTTTAGATAACCATATAGCCATGAAACATCCTGAGCATATTTCATTGGTTTCAAGTAAAATACACGAATGTATGTATTGTTCATTTAAAACCACCATTAAGTGTTACTTAGCGAGACATATGGGAAAGCATCCAGGGGTAGAATATGGCTGTGAACGTAAAACGTGCATTCACTGTAACGCAACATTCAAATATAAGAAAAGTTTAGATCATCATATAATTAAGAATCACCCTCAATATATTGCTTCAGTGTCGAGTAAAATACATGAATGTACACATTGTACTTACAAAACTGTCTGCATAAGGGAGTTTAACAGGCATATGCTGAAACATCCTGATGCAGACAGTAACTTGAAGTACAAATTATGCGTTCACTGTAATCGGACATTCAGAGATAGGACAGCTTTAGATAATCACATAATTATGAAACATCCTGAAAATATTGCATCAGTTTCAAGTAAAATACACAAATGTAAATATTGCGTATTCAAAACCACAATTAAGGGTTATTTGGATAGGCATATGTGGAAGCATCCGGAATTAGAAGATGCCTGTAAGCGTAAAACGTGTATTCACTGTAAAGAAACGTTCAAATGTAATCAAAGTTTAGATAATCATATAATCAAGAAGCATCCCGAGTATATTGCATCAGTTTCAAGTAAAGTACACGAATGCTTATATTGCACTTACAAAACTACTTTCAAAAAGCTCTTTGACAGGCATATGTTAGAACATCCTGATGCAAACAGTAGCTTCAAGCGCAGTGTGTGCATTCACTGTAATGCGACACTAAGAACCAAGACTTCCTTAGATAATCATATAATTAAAAAGCATCCAGAGCATACTGCATCGGTTTCAAGTCAAATACATAAATGTAAATGTTGCTCATATAAAACCACCTCGAAGAGTGACTTAACTAGACATATGGTGAAGCATCCGGAGACGGAAGGTAAAACGTGTATTCACTGTAACGCAATATCAAAAAATAAGATACATTTGGATGATCATATAATTACGGAACATCCTGAGCATATTGCATCAGTATCAAGCAAAATTCACGAATGTATACATTGCATTTATAAAACGACCATCAAGGATAAGTTTACCAGCCATATGGTGGAACACCCTGATGCAGATAGTAAGTATAAACCGACTGCGTGTATTCACTGTAACGAAACATTTACACGTAAGACAGCCTTGGATAATCATATTATCAAGAAACATCCCGAACATATTGCATCAATTTCAAGTAAAATGCATACATGTAGATATTGCGCGTATAAAACCACACAGAAGAACGATTTAATTAGACATATGGGGAAGCATCCAGAGGCAGAAGATGGCTGTGAGCGTAAAACGTGTATTCACTGTAATGAAACGTTTACACGAAAAGCAGCTCTAGGTAATCATATTATCAAGAAACATCCGGAATATATTGCATCAGTTTCAAGTAAAATACATGAATGTACATATTGCACTTACAAAAATACCTCGAAAAGCGAGATTAATAGACATATGTTCAAACAGCACGGTGCAGATAGCTTTAAGTGCAGTGTGTGTATTCACTGTAATGGGAGACTAAAAAGTAGAACAGCTTTAGATAACCATATAATTAAGAAGCATCCCGAGCATATTTCATCGGTTTTAAGCAAAATACATAATTGTAAATTTTGCTTATATAAAAGCACCTCAAAAAGCGATCTAGCTAGACATATCATGAGGAAACATCCAGAGGCGGAAGGTGGCTGTACGCAGAAATCGTGACTGGACACAAAATTCAAATATAAGGTTAAATTAAAATATTATGGAAAATCCTGAGCATCAGTTTCAATAAAAATTCTTGAACGCACACATCACATTTATAAAAGTACTATCAGAGGTAAGGTTTACCAGAAGCAGACGGTGGTGGTATTGTATTCACTGTAATGGGATAATAAAAAGTAGAACAGCTTTAGATAATCATATAATTAAGAAGCATCCCGAGCATATTTCATCGGTTTTAAGTAAAATACATAATTGTAAATTTTACTTATACAGGGTGGGGGACTTTGAAGTCGAGTTATTAATTTTCAGATAATGATTGTAGAAGGAAGATAAACCAAAATATGTGTGTAAAAATAAAAAAAAAATGTTGCCTTGTTTTATAAAGTATCCTCCCGACAAGTATTTCAGTGCGGACCTGTATTTGATCGTGCGGTCTTGGAGCACCGGCATGCCCTCCCCTGTGAGGTCTCAAGTCACCTGATTCACGAGCCCTTTGTACTACATTAACAAAGGCACGAGGGGTTGGTTGCACTCGATTGGGAAACCGATCCGCATAAATCCGTGATGCCGCGTAAATAAGAATCATGTCCACAAGTTCAGCATTTTCGTAAACATCTGCCATTTTTGATTTCGTTTGAGCCACGCAACAGACACCACTATTCACTCACGCGTTACCGACTGACACTGACTGTATACAACTGAATAAAATAATTGTAAAAACATCGTTCCAAATTCTTTCGCTTTTTTGTTTCCGATGCGATGAACCGATAAGGCGGATTATATCCGTTGTTGCCAAACACGAGCATATAATATTATTATTGAGACAGGGCGGTACTCAAACTTCCAAAGGGCTATAACTTTGTTACTTTAATTTTACCAGAAAAATGGTAAAGGAAAAAACATTTCTTTTGATCAGATCTACTCACTGTTAAAATAAATGACTCAACTTTGAAGTCACCCTGTATAAAACCACCTCAAAAAGCGATTTATCTAGACATACTATGAGGAAACATCCAGAGACAGACGGTGGATGTGATCGTAAATCGTGACTGTAACACAAAATTCAAATGTATGGTAAATTTAAAATTAATTAAGGAAAACCTTGAGCATATTTCATCGGTTTCATTTAAAATACTTGAATGTACTTAATGAAATGGTCGATCTATCTAGATCGAATCTTTACAGTTTTGGTCGCACTAGGGTCCAAATAAACCTTTATTCATAAAACATTAAATTGGCAATATACCGCATAGGAAATTTTGATATGAAACTTGTCAATACTAATTGTATCTAGAGAGAATTTCTTTCTCATCGTTAAAGGAATGAACACATGGATGCGAATAATCCGGTGCGATGGCGAAATATTCGTATAAACCTATAATGCTGTGTAATATCATTGATTATTTGTAAAGTAATTAACAAATTCTTCTCGAGTAGCGAATGCAATATTTGTTGCACGTCTTGGGTCCCTTTGTATATTAGTAAATGCTCTTCCCATTTTTTCCTCAAACTTTGTTGGTTGCAAATCAAAATCTTCTTGGTTATTTCCTCAAGTTAAAAATTACGTAAAATGCAGCTGTGTTCACAGTCAAAATTGTCGTTTTATCTGTAATTAGCCTTAATGTTGCGAAATATACTAAGTGACATATAAATCCGAACACCCAGTTTAAATGGTTTTATTTTAATAAAATTTTGTATAAGTACTTAATGAAGCATAATAAGTAAATGATAAAAATTTCAAAATGATTGCACTGCTTTAAAGCCCTTTGACCTTTAATAATGTGTGGATGCACCCTGATGTGCTACGCATTCTCCAACGCGCCTAGGCATGCTTCTGATCAGGTGGTCAATGTCCTCCTGTGGTATCTCATTCCAGGCAACTACCAACTCCTCTCGAAGTGCTTCTAGAGTCTGAGGAGGACGTTGCAAATTGAGCAATCTCCTACCCATCCTATCCCACATGTGCTCAATTGGGGATAAGTCGGGAGATCTTGGTGGCCATGGTAACAATGTAACATCATTATGTTGAAAGAAGTCTATTGTGACTCTTGCAACATGTGGTCGGGCATTATCTTGTTGGAAAGTCGGATCTGCTAGGGTGTCAAGATAGGGTAAAAGATGGGGTTCTTGAACTTGGTGGATATAACGCTGCGCGTTCATGTTGATGAAGATTAAAGGTGACCTGGAACCATAAGCTATAGCACCCCAAACCATAACTCCAACAGTGTGATGAACATGTCTTTCAACAAAAAACTGTGGATTCCTCCTTTTACCACGTCGCCTTCTAACACTGGCACGACCATCGTGCATGCCTAAATAAAATCGAGACTCGTCACTAAAGACAATACTGTTCCATTCCTGATCCCAGAGTGACCGTTGTCTGCACCACTCAAGGCGATTACATCGGTGTTCTCGAGTTAAAGGGAGGACCCAGTGTGGCCGGTATGAAAACAAGCCAAAGCTTCTCATTCGTCGGTAAACACTTCGCATGCCAATAGGTCTTCCGTGTTCTGCAAACCATTCATTTGCAATGGACCTGGTAGTGGAGAAACGGTCCCTTAAGGCCAATAATCTTAGGCGGCGATCTTCACGGTCTTTTGTTCTACGGCGGCGTCCAGTGCCCCTTGCTCTTTGCGTACGGCCTTCCCGAAGCCATGCCTGACAACACCTAACCACAGTGTCTACACTTTGCACTCTAACTGCAATTGCCCGAAAAGAAAGTCCAGCTTCCCGAAGTCCCACTATACGGCCCCTATCAAACTCACTAAGTTGACGAAATCGTACAGGTCTCCGTACTCTAGGCATCGTAACCGATCGTAATGGATGTCAAGAACCAAACTCCGCCAACGTTGATTCTTTACTGCGGCTGAAATATTCATTTTTAGAGCGTTAGTGAATTAAAAAAAAGTAGTATAAAAACCGGAATGTCCAACTGATAAGGCTGAAAATTTTTTCACTTGTTATTTACAGTAAGATAAATACATTCACCAACTTTTATTAAAATAAAACCATTTAAACTGGGTGTTCGGATTTATATCTTACTTAGTACATTCGCGCAAATGTGATAGGAGCGACAATTTTGTGTGTGTGCATTCCTTTAAACGGCAAGTATATAGATTTTAAAAATATGCTAAAAATTGAAGTGTCATATAAATTTAAACTGGCTTGGGGAGCGCGTCATCCAAGGTTAGTTCGCTCAAAGCAAATCTTTGGCGCCACATTTGACAAGACGTCAACGGTTTTGTTGTCATTTCTCATTCTATCTGAGAATTTGAGGTTAAGGTATAGATAACAAGAATGGAGACAGAAATGGAAACAGAATTATTAGACAACGAAACTACAGAAGAATTATCAAAAGTTATTGTTCAAAAGGGAGAAAATACAAATCAAAAATTCAGAACTAGATTACCCATTGCTAGGGTAAAAACTATAATGAAAAAAGATCCTGATTGTACAATAGCGTCCCAGGATGCAGTGTTTCTGGTTGCAAAGGCTACTGTAAGATTATCGTTAAATTGACAATCTCACAGAAGCTATATCTTCTCTTATTACAGGAACTATTCATTACTTTCCTTGCAAAAGAGACTGCAAAGCAGATAGCAACAAGTAAACGGAAAACAATAACAAAAAAAGATGTTGATAACACCATTGAAAGCTGTTCGGTATTATGTTTTTTGGATGGAGCATTAGAATGATATGATGCACAGAAACCTAGAATAGTATGTATTTTGTTATACTTGAAAATATAATTTTAGGTTTGAGAGACATTTTTGTTAGAAATAAGGTCCAGGTAAAGATATCACAGCCACACGAGAACTGTTGGATATTTCAACAGTTGTCTTGTGTGGCCAGAGTTGTTACATTTTTAAAGCAGGAATCAGACTGTAAGATGTAAAATAAAAATTATAATTATTTTTCAAGTCTAATCATTATATTGCCTAGCCCAAAACTTTGAAAACAAGTACTATATCAAGTACAGCTTTTACAGTTTTTCTTTTTTAAATTATTTTTCCATTATATCATACTCAGGATAGGGTATCATCATTCTCCATGACCATGAATTTTCTTGATGCCATGTTGGATTTACTTTACTTAAAAAATGGTATGCTTCTTTCTACAATTTGTTTCTTACATGGGGTTTCAAAAAAAGCCTAAATTGAATGATAGTGATCAGAATAATGTGTGGTTTCACAAAATGTTCTCTCATGCCATACAGTCCATCAAACAATTCTGTTGATACCAGAGACACTTTCTAGACGTGTATTGTGTATTCCCTTGCTGACTACACCGCTAGATCTTGTGACTTAACGAGATTGGATATCTCGACGTTATCAGAATGAGTGTCAGTACAAAAGTAATTTATTTGTCAACGGCTACAATATGTCAATCACAGAACACACAATGCCAGTAGGAATCTACCAACAATACACAGAGAGATTATACGCATTATCAATAGATGGCGCAACGGAGATAAAATCCAATTTTATATTTTTTAAAATTTGATGCTATATTCAACAACACTGAAGAATTTTACGCCGAAATAATCACTTCCATGTCTAGTTTTTGATAGTCTCGTATATTCTGCTATAAATTTTGGTAAAATGATCGCCATAGCAAATCACAAAATATTCGATGCGGTGCGAACAGCGAATCGTCCAGCGACTGAAATAAACGCATAGAAATGTAATGTATCCCCTCCGAGAGAAAAACTGTATATGAGCTTGAAAAAAAAATGTAGATAACCGTAGAGTATTATTTAAAAAACTGTAAATCTACAGACTTCCATTTACAGTATTTTTCACGAGTATCTATCGCGGAACAAGGTCAAAAAGTGACAGTTATGCATTTGATCCAGCTTCTTTTTAATCAATTTCAAGCGAATAACCAAATGAAAGCGGTATTTACCATTTTGGATTGGTATTTACCGATCCGTTTAAGCGAGTGTGGTTATCAGTTTGGTTATACGATCCATGACGTCATGAATCAGCTGTTATATGTCATAGTTATCGCCGCAAAATTGTGGTATTTACCCAACTCTGGAGTAGTTTTATATTTCTGGTTATTATTTGAAATGTGACAAGTTAGAATTTTGCCGGGTATTGGATATTGTTATTGTATTTCAGCTTCATTTTTGGGAAACTTGTTACAGGCTGACTTCAGTTTTACCATAAAGTGGAGCACCTTATTAGTTATACTCATTACGGTTGTTGGGGACACTTTAAATGTAGTTCCTATGCTTAACAAAGTATCCTGTGTAGCCGTATACCACAAGAATATTAAAATATGGCCATAAAAACTCACTAGATGATATCCACCTGTATACGGTTTTGCTAATTTCTTTTTTCATCATTTCTGCTGAATCAATAAATGTTTTCTTTGACATGCGGAAAAATTTAAAAAACTCTGAAAAAAACATTTCTCCCATGAATATTATGAAAGGTTTCTTATTTAAACTTTCCATATATAGTTGTAGACGAAAAAGCACCGATTATTAAGTGATAATAAAAATAATCAGAGATTATATACGCGCTTTTCTAAAATAAACAACTTGCAACAAAACCGCGGTTAAAACCAACGCGTTCAAGCGATTCGTGTAACTGACGTCATCAACCCGTGTGCCATCTTGAACCATATTATAACCGCGGCACATAACACAGAAATTTTGGTTATTCGCTTGGATTTGATTTATGAGTTGTTGTGGTTGGCCTTGAGTGACAGAAAAATGACAGAATTTCCATTCAAATTTCTCCAAATTCACTCAAGGCCAACCAGAACCACAACCGCCTCAAAAAGAATTTGCTTTTTGCGTGCATGGTCAGCTCTCATTTTTTGACATTGTTCCGCGATAGATACTCGTATAGTATATTGCTTACGAATAGCACACGCAAGTTCTTTTCGCAGCAGTTCCTATTCTGGTTTACCTTGACTGACAAAAATTAAAAAAATTGAATTGAATTCTGTCATTTTCATATCACTTAATGTCAGACAGAACCCCTGCAAAAAGAATCTGATTCAAAGCACATTTTCTTAAGGGTAGGTCAGAAATAAAACCAGTGCTGTCGCCAGGTATTGTTGATCTGTTTTCGGTGAACTTGTGCGAAATTTTTCGGTAATTTTGGTAGACATTGAACCAAAAACTTGCCCGTGGTTGAAAAAGAGGAAGGCACCTATTAAGACCGAGTCATTGTATGGACTACTGAGTTCGTAGTAAAGAAAACGGATGGCACGAGCATCTTAAACGAAAAACTGTAGATTTGAAGGCCCGAACGCGAGTTTTTTGATAAACTGTGAATCTACAGTTAAAGCTGTAGGGCTGGCAACACTGAATGCACTTATCAAGATCAAGCCACGCGGAGCGGCGAGCGAATGGCGAAATGTACCGATAAAACCGCGCTGGCGACTAGTGGAGCGGCGGGTGAATGAAACAAAGCGAAGGCATGAATCAGTACGACGCAAGCGCAAGCCACGAAGTCGAGCGGCAGTCGCGGCGAATAGTGCAGTGAGCAGCGACCAAACGAGTCAGGTTTTTTTCGCCACGAAAAATGGACGCCGAGGCTTTTATTACTGAAATACTTGCCAGCCCAGCTATTTGGAAGTCTGGCCACCCACAGCATAAACATAAACATGTAGTGAAGAGATTGTGGGAAGAAATTAAATTAAAATTTCCAGATTCTGAAGGTAAGCAGCAGTTTTTTATTCATAGGTTAGGTACAAATATTTGGTCGATAGGTTACAAAGTAGTCTTTAAAATGATTTCTTATGTTTATAGCTTGTAACGTAGCTCTATTGTTCCGCCGAGACGTTATAACTTTATCAGATGAAGATCTAGAACTCGTGTACTGACTAAAATCGGGATCACTGTTTCCATCTTTTTCTCTTACAATATTATGTAGTAGAGATTCAACCTTAATAATAAGGGCCGTATCGTCAGTCCGTCCTACAAAATTGTAGGACGCCTTTCTGGCCTTGATTTTCGTAGCCTTTTCTCTCCTTCAGAAAGGCTGGCGTATTTCGAGATTTCTATCAGCGTTCTCCTATCGCGAAGTTATGTTTCTTTTTGAATCGTAGGGAAATTTAGACTGATAAGACAGATGATATAAATCAAAAGCATGAACAATTGGATGCAAATAGACATTGGTGACATAACCTCAAAATAGAGCGCTGACACATAACAGTAAAAAACTATGAAAATCAAGGACGCCATAAAGACGTCCTACAGTTGTAGGAAGGACTGACGATACGGCTCTCAATTTGCATACTTAATGTCTTTATCCATTAACGGTGGAATAACAGCTGATTATCTGGTAATATTTCAAAATTTCTTTTTTCGGCAAATGACATAATTCTGACGGATCGGTCAACATCAGGTAGGCAGAGCCGTATTTTGTTTTAGATTTTCTATGCTACAGATTCATTTTGGCTACAAGCAAGTTTTACTAGATTTACACCCGATTCATTATTGCCAAGTTATAGACTAATATAAATATGTTACTAGGTGATCAACTGTTCATTTCAGTAGACGTCAAAACGTGATGGATACTCGTGAAATAGGATTTAGTGTCCGTTTTAATTGCTTTGAGGAAAATTCGCCACTTGTTAGTCATAATACCATATGCACACTCAAGTGTCACTAGAGCTCTTGACAATCTCTTATTAAAAATTCTTAGGATGTATGGCAGTAAATAATATTTGACCCAGGTAATGTTCTTGGCGGTGGCATATTAAACCCATCGTTAGTAAGCAATTCATTAATTTTGAAAAATGAAACATGCCTCCGTCACTTTGTCTTCCTTTTCCACCAATCTCAATTACAAAAAATTTATAATCTACATCCCAAACTGCTTGTAGGACTAATGAAAACAAAATCTTATAATTATAATATTTTCTGTCGCTCCGTGGTGGCCGCCAAATGCGAAAATGTTAGCGTCTATAGCTCCTACGCGATTGCTATCTAGAGAAAAACGTACGAAATTTCACTTAAATCTCCACTTGTTAGTTTAGGTGACATACCTATGCTGAATAACCAACTTTTTCCAAATTATATAACAGGGTATGACTAAGCCAACTTATACAGGGTGACTTTGAAGTTGAGTCATTAATTTTCAGATAATGATTGTAGAAGGAAGATAAACCAAAATATGTGTGTAAAAATAAAAAAAAACATTAAAAAAAATGTTACCTTGTTTTATAAAGTATCCTCCCGACAAGTATTTCAGTGCGTCTTAAGTCTCCTGATTCACGAGCCCTTTGTACTATATTAACAAAGGCACGAGGGGTTGGTTGCACTCGATTGGGAAACCGATTCGCACAAATCCGTGATGCCGCGGCAGCATTTTGTAAATAAGAATCATGTCCACAAGTTCAGCATTTTCGTAAACATGTGCCATTTTTTATTTCGTTTGAGACACCCAACAAACACCACTATTCACTCACGCGTTACCGACTGACGAAAAACATCGTGATAAACGTTTCAAATTCTTTCGCTTTTTTGTTTCCGATGCGATGAACCGATAACGCGGATTATATCCGTTGTTGCCAAACACGAGCACATAATATTATTATTGAGACAGGGCGGTACTCAAACTTCTAAAGGGCTATAACTTTGTTACTTTAATTTTACCAGAAAAATGTTAAAGGAAAAAACATTTCCTTTGATCAGATCTACTCACTGTTAAAATAAATGACTCAACTTCGAAGTATATTATAGTTAAACATGTTTTTTTTCAGTCGATGACCTCAAAAAGAAATGGAAGAACCTGAGAGACACATACAGTAAAGAGTTAAGGAAAATGCCCAAATCATCTTTGAATTACGAACCATCCTGGAAATACTTCACGCTGTTAGGATTTTTGAAAGATGAATACACGCATTTAACTGCCGAATCAAACTTAGATGAAGGAGACAGTGAAATAATCGATAACAAAGACAACGATGAAATATCTGCAATTTTAAATGAAGTAAAGTCACCACCATCTCCTACGCGTACATCTTCGCCGATTGAACCTTCTACATCTAGTACTACATATTCAAAAAAAAAGCGACAAAATGTACGAGATGTCCGTGCACAGTATTTAGAGGTTGAGAGAAAAAAACTAAAAATTTTAGAAAGCTATATCTCTAGAAACACACCAGTTGAAAATGAAAAAAAATCAGATGACTACCATTTTTTAATGAGTATTTTGCCTGAAATGGAAAAACTACCCACTATACAAAAAATCAGGTTAAGAAATAAAATTAACCGCGCTCTTTTAGACGAAATAAGTGTCACGATGTACGGTGAACCTTATGAGCGATACTCAACTCAACCAAACCAACTAAATACTTTTAATAACGAATGAGTACCTACATAATTAACATACCATTTCAAGTGTACCTAAAAGGCTGATTAAAAAGTTAAGAAATAATCTATTTTAGTTGTACGAAGAATTAATGTCATATGAATAACAAATAAATAACATACTCATTGTAAAGTATTTTAATTTCATGAAATATTAGTATACAGGGTGACGTTTGATTAGCTATGATGATAGTTCTGAAAAAAAATAGTTTGCGACCATATGTTTTTGGGAAAAGTTGTTCATATTGATTTGTACTATACTAAGTGACATATAAATCTGAACACCCAGTTTAAATGGTTTTATTTTAATAAAATTTTGTATAAGTACTTAATGAAGCATAATAAGTAAATGATAAAAATTTCAAAATGATTGCACTGCTTTAAAGCCCTTTGACCTTTAATAATGTGTGGATGCACCCTGATGTGCTACGCATTCTCGAACGCGCCTAGGCATGCTTCTGATCAGGTGGTCAATGTCCTTCTGTGGTATCTCATTCAAGGCAACCACCAACTCCTCTCGAAGTGCTTCTAGAGTCTGAGGAGGACGTTGCAAATTGAGCAATCTCCTACCCATCATATCCCACACGTGCTCATTTGGGGATAAGTCGGAAGATCTTGGTGGCCATGGTAACAATGTGACATCATTATGTTGAAAGAAGTCTATTGTGACTCTTGCAACATGTGGTCGGGCATTATCTTGTTGGAAAGTTGGATCTGCCAGGGTGTCAAGATAGGGTAAAAGATGGGGTACGCTGCGCGTTCATGTTACCTCTGATGAAGATTAAAGGTGACCTGGAACCATAAGCTATAGCACCCCAAACCATAACTCCAACAGTGTGATGAACATGTCTTTCAACAAAAAAATGTGGATTCCTCCTTTCACCACGTCGCCTTCTAACCCTGGCACGACCATCGTGCATGCCTAAACAAAATCGAGACTCGTCACTAAAGACAATACTGTTCCATTCCTGATCCCAGAGTGACCGTTGTCTGTACCACTCAAGGCGATTACGTCGGTGTTCTCGAGTTAAAGGGAGGACCCAGTGTGGCCGGTATGAAAACAAGCCAAAACTTCTCATTCGTCGGAAAACACTTCGCATGCCAATAGGTCTTCCGTGTTCTGCAAACCATCCATTTGCAATGGACCTGGTAGTGGAGAAACGGTACCTTAGGCGGCGATCTTCACGGTCTGTTGTTCTACGGCGGCGTCCAGTGCCCCTTGCTCTTTGCGTACGGCCTTCTCGAAGCCATGCCTGACAACACCTAACTTCTTTGCATTCTAACTGCAATTGCAGTAAGATAAATACATTCACCAACTTTTTTTAAAATAAAACATTTAAACTGGGTGTTCGGATTTATATGTCACTTAGTATACTATCATTCCCCAAAATATGCTCAGTTAATTAAATGTAATCCTTTGTATAGATAGGTACATACCCTAATGTCAAAAACAATTTTTCAGTGGCACTTAAAAAGCTATTTGCATTGACTTTTTTCCGGTTCGGGTTGAATATCAATTAGAATTTAATCGAAGGTTTCAACACTCATTCTAAATGCTCGAAAAAAAATTCTGGATGCATTCTTGTTCTTCTTGTGAAATTCTCCATCTCTACCCCAATTCTTAATCAAATCATGTACTTTTTTTAATACCACCTATCAGAGTTGGTCAAAAACCTCCCGAATACCGCAGCTCGATATCTTGTTCTGTTCCGAAAATATCGAGATTGAATTTGGGTAAAATTTTCCATGTTGCAAAGCAACTGTTCACCAATTTATTTCTAGCTAATAAAGCAGGGAGATTTTGTTTTTAGAGGAGTAGGGAGGTTTTTAAAATTCTTGAGTTGTAAAACTGTTGTTCTTTATTTTTAGAAAAACGTACAACACTGTAGGACTTTTTTGGCAGGTTTTTTATAATTTTTGAAATGTAGAATCAACTACTTGATTTAAATGAGATTATAATAGTTAAGCTTCAAGTTTTGCTTAATAATAACGAAAAAAAAAAAAAACATTTATCTCTCATTTACGAAGTTGACCAAAATAAGCTCCAACTCGAATACGCCCAGAAAATTAGAAAATAAATCATAAATAAATAAATTCGGATCACATCATGGGGACGATTTGGACTTCCCATAGGGTGCTGTCCCTCTGGGCATCCGATTACCAGTGCTTTTTGGGACACCGTGTATACGAAACTAACACTTGGAGATATAATGAAACAAAGAAATATTTAAAATTATTATATTTATAGGTACCTAGCAAAGTATATGAAATATGTATATAACTGATGGAAAATGGAAAAAAATTAGATGAAAACAAATCAAACTTGACACTAACATTGTGACCTAATACAAAACATTTATTCTAAGCCATACAGTTTCAATGTTCTATCCATCGAGGTTGAAGCTAGGAATCTCGCATGTTTGCCGAACCTTACGCCAGTAGCTGCGGCAGTGTGATCGTTGAACACTTTCAGTTCTTGCCATTGTTTGCACAAGTATACTCTATAAAATTAAAAAAAAAATCATATGCATTATGGTTGTAACTATACTTCAGGGTGGCCGATATGTAACTGACTGGTTTGTATCTTGAATATTTGTGAAATGAAATAAAAACGTCCATTTTTTCATCTTAATCTGTTATTGAAACTTAGAAATTATGTATGAAAAATAATATCAGACTAATGTCGACGCAAATTTTTGGTAGGTTTCGGGAGGAATATTTTCAATCGCTTCCGTAATATTGTCCTTCAGCTGCTCCACATTATCTGGTTTGTTAAACCCTGTTTTCCAAAAATCCCCATAAAAAAAAGTCAGGAGCCGTTAAATCCGGTGACCTTGGTGGCCAGTTGTCATCACCAAATCGAGAAATTAAACGTCCCGGAAATATTGCTCGCAAAAGAGTCATTGTTTCCTAGCTGTGTGACAAGTTGCTCCGTCCTGCTGGAACCACATGTTTTGCAGGTTAAATTGTAGGATTTAACGAGCCACAAAGTTTTGCACCATATCACGGTAGCGCTAACCTGTGACGATAAGAGAGCGTCTTCAAAGAAGTAAGGTCCAATGACACTTCCGTACCAAACACCGCAAAAATCTGTGACTCGACGAGGACGTAGTGGTTGTTGATAGATGACATGAGGGTTCTCTAATGCCCAGATATGACAATTCTGCTTATTAATAAATCCGTTCGTATAGAAGTGAGCTTCATCGCTCATTATCAGTTGTCGGTAAAAAATTGTTATTTTGGGTATTAAGCTGCAATATTGCATGTCGGTATTGTCGCCGACTTTCATGGTCATTCGTTTTTGGGTTAACTGAATTTTGTATGGCCGCAAATGCAAGTCTCTTTTTCAAATAATGCACAATGACGTGCGGCGAATACCCAGTTCTTGAGAACGATGTCTTGTAGATGTCTCAGGGCGCTCCACTACACTTTCACGAACTCCCTCGATATTTTCCGGAGTACGAACAGTTCGAACACGGCCCGACCTTATAAAATCTTTAACTTCACCTGTTTGTTCAAATTTCTGCACCGACTGACGAATGGTGTTGACACCGGGCACATTAATTCGACCAAAATCTTGTCGTAGCAACAATCAACTCATTATTTAAGTAAAACGTTTCAACAATACGGACGCGTTGTGGGATCGTGTAGCGCTGCATGATGAATTGGACACGTGCTTTAAACAACTACTATGGCGCTCAATTTAAATCAATCAGTTATATATTGGCCACCCTGTACAAAGGAAGACTACTTCATAGAAGAGAAAACAACATTGTGCGTCAAAGTACACTCGCACAATCAGGGTGTTAATAAAGAATCTACCGAAACTTCAACGGCTGGTTTCTAAGATGAAAAGTTCCTGAGATGTAAAGTAAAAATTTCTGATGATTCGAAAATTCCTCTGCAGGAGTCGAATTCTTTCATTACCAATGAGGAATCTGACGATTCTTTTTTGGGCAACAAATGCATTTCGGAAGATTTCCCCTATACCACGTTATAAGCCAGCGTATAAATACAGGGTGTTCGAAAACTAGACGGACATAATTTAGCAGGTGATTAATTGTTAAAAAATATGAAAAAATGTTTCTATAAACATGGGCCCGGAAAAATTTTCAAGATGCAGGGTGATTATTTTTTTATTATCTTAAAAAATGTTTACTCGATTTTCTTGAAATTTGGCAATATTATTTGTTGTAAGAGGCTAATTTAGCACTAAATATATTAAAATGATTAGGACCAGCAGCGTTCCAGAGGGCACCTTAGCGAATATTATTGGCAAAAAATGTACGCCACTGCCTTTTTTGTAACTTTGATATGCGATGTTTGATTAAGCATTTAAAAATATAACTTCTTTGCTTCTTGTATTTTTTTCGTATCTCACTTCGTCTTTGAGAAAAAAAATAGAAACTGCTTTCTTCACAAAAACTAAGAGATAACATTTTAACAAAGGTAAACAAAAACAAAGATAAAAGGTTGACATTCTTGCCACAACATGCTTTAAATATAGCCAAAAAACAAGTTGAATAAATGGTGTCACTGAGTATATTTATGTGGTCAGATTAACGTGGGTCATGAAATGGAATAATCAATTTGCTTATATACTATAACTATCTAAAACTGTAATGACTCATCGATGTTCACGTGAACATCACTTAACTACCAGTAGTCGGCTGTTCATATGCGGGGTATGAATGTTTAACATGGGTGAACTAGATTTGTTACATGCTTGATAATGAGTGGTTTGAAACATATTGTAAGTCAAAAATTTGGGAATTACCTTTATACATCGTCGCTTCCACTTACATCTGACAGTAATAAACTGTCGCTATCGCTTTCCTCGTTGAAATTGACTATAACTGGCTCTATGATGGTGTCGATGTGGTGGTCAAGCTGCCACATTTTTGTTTCTTCCTTCACAACATGACGGATAGCATTCTGCCAAACTTCGGGCGTTACTAGCTGTATGGAAGTCTCAAGTAAAACCTTAACGTCTGGTAATTTGAAGGTTGTGTTATGGCGCGCAATATAACCCTTCACTTGAGCCCAGATGAGCTCTATTGGGTTCAGTTCACAGTGGTAGGGCGGTAACCGCAGCACAGTGACACCACATTGACGGGCCATCTCATCAGTCACGTAACTAATGTTCGCAGGTTTGTGCTGTTTAATTTTTTCATACAATTCCGCTTTCACACATGAATCGTCAAACGGGATTCCTTTTTCGCGCAACCATCGCTGCATGTCACTTTTTCGAGATCCCATAGTCGGTACACGACGACTATGATAGGAAGCATTATCCATGACGATCACAGAGTTGGGCTCAACTCGCTGAAGCACCCCTTGAAACCAGCTCTCGAAGCAGCTGGCATTCATTTCGTCATGGTAATCACCTCCTTTCTTAGAGACGAAAATCAAGTCACACTCTTCTAAAAAGCCACTATCGCTACCAATATGAGTTACGATCAATCTTTGACCTTTCCCTGACGGTCCACGAAGACCTGTTGACAAACCTTCAATGCTTGCTTGTCGGTTACTCACTACGTTTTTGTCTATCCAGGTTTTTTTAACTGTGTGACCTGCATTTACCCATGTCTCGTCCAAATAATAGATTTTTCTGCTTTGTCGCCTATATTCAATCATTTCGCGTAGGTATTTTCGACGCCAGGCGACTATTTCAGGTCTCTCTATCAATACTGACTTCCGATTACGCGTTTCGTAACGAAATTTCGTGCAGGGATTTCCTCATTACCTCGACGCTCATTTGGGGTATAACTTCATTTTCCTTGTTCAGATAATTGAACACGTTGAGCACGATTTCTTTCGCGTCCCTCTTCAGTGCTTTACGAAGCCGTCTACTTGTTCCCTGGCTTTCAGTACTTCCACTCGTGCCATTTGTACTCTCCATGGTTAAGTACAACCAAAACAGTAACCACAGAAACCACAACAATAACAATCACACAACAATTCTTATAAAAACACACAATATGCGATCGCTCAACGAAACACGTTCCAATGCGTTGCCGACGCCTATGAGTCTGCCGGTCGAGGCGCGTCTTTGATTTCATTGGTTCTACCGGCGGAGAACAATCAGCCATTATTTCCATCTCTGTTGACCACCGCAAAGCCACAGAAACGACATGTCGTACGCTATACGGCTGTACTGGAAGGAAGCCGGGATCGAGCTCTGATCACGTGTTGATCACGCGTATGAGTCATTACAGTTTTGAATAGTTGTAGTATAGTAAGCGAAATGAAATATGTAAAAAGTAAAATCATACCTGACGTCAGTGCCAGCGATAGCCAAATAGGTACCGCTCTGGTCGAAGCACAAATCCTTAATTTGATATCCTTCCTCCAATTGCAGGGTTTTGAAATTTCTCAACTTTCGCAAATCCCACAGTTTTACGCAAGCATCATCTGCAGCTGTGGCTAGATAATAACCGTTCTCAGAGAAAGAGATAGATGTTATAGCGCCCGAGTGCCCTGAAACACAACAATAATCGTTAATGATTGTTACAATCATAGCTAGTGTGGAAAATTACCTGTGAAATTCGCCACGTTGCTCTGTTCTTCCAAATCCCAAATTTTTACCTGAGCATCCGCCGTTCCTGTTCCGAAAATTAAGCCGTCTGGATGAAGTTGAGCTGTAGTCAATGCAATATCTGCTGTATCCAAAACCTTCGGAAAAAAATAGATTACTTTTAGAATATATCAGAAGTAGGAAATATGCATCTGATTCAAATATCGGTTATTTCGGATAGTTTAGAGTCTATATTGCCACAGAAAGCCACCTTCGACCTTATTAATACGAGTATTAATCAATAAATTGGAAAAATACGAGGCAAATTTAAAATATTTCCATGAATGAGATATGTTTTTATGGAATATTAAAGTAAGCGATACAGAATACCAAAATACCTGCATATTTCCTATGTCATTCTTTTAATTTATATATTGTTCAGTTATTATTTGTAATACTTGTTTCAAGTAGCAGATTCACAGGCTCAAAATCGTTTATCTCTTGTTCACAAAACACTACATTCTTACCTTGGTCAGCAATCTGCCAGATCGTAGATCGGAAAACGCCCAATGACGATCCTCAGAACAAGACAGAACGTAGTCCCCGGTGGGATGGAGAGAAAGGCCTGTGACAGGAGCATCGTGACATCTCAGGATCAACTGAGTCTGAGCCGTTGGCACATCCCAAATTCTGATTGTCGTATCCGGTGATGCTGAAAGCAATAAATATTGTAACTTCTTTTTCCTTTGCTGGGGGTTCATCAAGTAAAGAAGTAAAAGCTGTGATTTTTTGCCGGCTTTTTGGTGTTCTAGTACACTGAGGAAGGATAGTTGCTATGAAGTCCCTTGGAGGAAAGGCTACCGAAATGGAAGCAAGGTAACCAAGAGTAGGAAGTTCCAGACGTAAATCAGAACCTGGATGGTTTAGTGTAGCTGAGACAAGGGCTAAATCCCCAGGAAGGTGAGAAAAGGGCCCCAACAACAAAAGGAGGAGGCAGATTTCTATCAAATTCTCCTCAACCCGGAAAATCTCCAGCACTGGGTGTGAAATTAATTCACTGAATCGGGTTGTGGACGTTGAACTGCAGGAAAAAACCGCACCAAGTCACGTCCAGTTCTCGTATTTATGTCGATGGAAATTTTAAAAAGTGACCTTTAACAAGATGGAGAGTAGAGTACGATTTTCTACCATAAAATGATTAGACCAAGAGAAGTGTTTTGTTACAAAAATAAAATTCGATATTTTTAAGAACTATTACAGCAGACGCTCGATAACGTAAACACGGGATAATGAAAACTTGCGCTAATGTAAACATAAACTTCGTTCTACAGGATCAAACGGAACGCGCGTTAACGTAAACAATGTGTACGCTCGATAACGTAAACTCTAGGCGCACGGAAACAGCGCGACGGTAAAATGCTGAAACCTGGATGATTTATTTCGGGCGTCGGGGAGTCCCCGATTTATGATGTAGAGTGTAGGGGATTCACCTCTGCGATAAAATACGACAAACTCGGTCAGTCGTATGATCGTTTAGGATACGTTTATACGTACGTATGTATTTCATTTTTGAACTTAAGTGAATACATTGCACGCGTTAATATATTTTACGACTATGACATCCACATCCTATAAAAGAAAGTGTTTAAAGTTGAGTGAGAAAGTGAAAATCATAGACGAAGTTGCACTAGGTGCGGGAGTGACACAGTTAGCAAAAAAATATGGAGTATCGAAAGCAACAATCTGTAAAATTAAGCGTATGAAAACTCAAATTTTACAAAGAACGTGCAATACATTTGGAGGTCCGGGAAAAAGAAAAACATTAAATAATGCGAAGGCACCTAAAATGGAAATTCCCTGTATAAGTGGTTTTTAAAACAACGGAAAAATCATCTCCCAGTTAGTGGCGAAGTACTTAAACAGAGAGCGAGACTGTTAAATGAAAAACTGAAAGAAACTGAAAATTTTGTAGCTAGTGATGGCTCAAAACAAGATATGGAATTCGACTGCTGTCTATATCTGGTGAAAAATTATCAGCACAACCACAATTAGTGCAACCATTCAACGAAAAATTGATGAAAACAATTACCGAGCTAGATTTAATAATGGAACAAATTTACAACGCAGATGAAAGTGGCCTTTATTGGAAAATGTTACCAGAGAAAACCTATGCTGCATCATTTGAAAAATCTGCCCCGGGAAGAAAGCCGGAGAAACAACGAATAACGTTTCTAGCCTGCACTAATGCTAATGGTTCACACAAAATAAAGCCACTGGTAATTGGGAAAGCAAAAAATCCGCGCTCATTTAAAAATGTTAATATCACTGTTGATTATGACTGTTCAAAAACCGCTTGGATGACTAGCAGTATATTCCTGAAATGGTTCCACAGGTGCTTTGTCCCTCAGGTATGACAATCAATTATCACAAATGCTCTATTCATAATTTGAAGAGTTGTTTTCAATTTGTAGGTAAAAGGTTTCCTAAAACAACAGAAGCTTCCAATAAAAGCGTTGTTACTATTGGATAATGCACCAAGTCATCCTCCCGAGCAACAACTGAGGAGCAGGGATGGGTCAATTTTCGTCATGTACATGCCGCCCAACGTAACACCGTTAATTCAATCGATGGACCAGAATATATTAAGACTCACCAAACTATACTATAGGAAGTTTCTACTTTCGTCTGTCTTATCAAAGAATCCTGAAAACTTATCTGAGGCTTTAAAAAAAGTAACATTGCGAGAAGCTGCTTTAGATTTACATAAGCCTGGAATGGACTTAACCAGCAAACTATTCAAAAATGTTGGAACAATCTCTTTTGTACCAATAATGAAGATGATGAAGAAGCGTAATTAGAGAACGTTTGCGATCCAATAATGATAATGTTATTAGTGTGTCATTGGATGTTGTTGATTTATTGAAAACAGTGAATCCCAACATTGTTTGTACTCCTGCTGAGATTAATTTATGGAACGAAGATAAGCAGACGAATGATGCTGATAAGGAGGAGGATATGGACAGTGAGGATGATGAGAACGATCCCATTGAAGTCAGAAGTGTAGTGACTGATGCGCAAGCTATACAAGTTTTTAACCAAGCTTTAGATTGTGCTGAAAGAAAAGAAGTTTCATACACGGATATTTTCTTCGTAAATTACTGGCTCAGGCATTGGAAGACAATGCTAAGCGCAAATTTACGCAGACAAAAACTGTTAATTACTTTTCTTCTAATTAAAAAAAACTTATCGCTGTTAGAATATTTGTTTATTTTGTTATAAATAGTATGTATTAAATGTTGCTTTTAATAAATCAAATATTATATAAATCACGTTCGCTAATGTAAACATTTCGATAATGTGAACCACACTTGGATTAAATTAATTTACATTATCGAGCGTCTGCTGTATAAAATTATTCTACATGAGAAAAAGGTTGTCAAGCTGTAGTTAATTTTTAGTCAACCAATTAAAGAAACTGTAACAATTTAAATTGAAAAATCATCTTTTGCCACAACATTTAGAACTGTACATACAACTGAATAATCATTACCACAATTATTACATTAACTGCAATAGTAATATAACAAGCAAATCAATATTTTAAAAAGGATTATTTACTTGAATTTAATAAACTAAATGTTTACCAAAAATTATAGGACCATTTCAAGGACAATGAAAATTGTTAGAGATGCAAGTTTCGTGCCCTTCTAAATATCTGTACGCTATGTAATTGTTGTAGTTTTTTAAAATAATTGTAGCAATCATGCTAAATAAATCTTAAACAAGCAAACAAAAATTAGGTGTTGGCAGATATCAATTCTAAAAATAAGGTATAAAAATATTCTTACCTGTTAAGACAATGTTTTCATCGGAATGGTAGATGACTTTTGTAACTTTCTTGGTGTGTCCTTTAAGAATAGCAATAACCTGTTCATTGTCCTTGTTAAACACTGTGGCATTCTTGTCATTTCCACCAGTTAACACTTTGCTTGTATCAGTAACATGAACATCTAAAGCTAAAATTCCTGGAATACTAGCCGAGTGAAGACCCTGAAATGATGAATTAAATGTACCTGTGAAGCTCTAGATTAGAATACTAAGATACTTCTAAAGGGCAACAGTAGCTAGACTATCGAACATATTGAAATATCATTAGTGTCGCCCAAAATTTTTGCTGAAACATGTGACTTTCAAAAACAATGGAAGTTAGATTATATCAATTTCTTTTTATCGTTTGACACTAAAATGCAATAAGTGTACACATTGTCCAAGAAATCTCCTTCTTCCTCCATTTTTCGTTGTAAATAGAAACCTGGTATGATGAAAGTTTACTTACTATCAAAGATGCTACTGTCCTGAACTGTTTCAACTGATCTGCTGTGGTGAGTTCCTCAGGAACAGTACGTCCTCTCTTCTTACGCTCTTGAGTCAATACAGTTGCCTTCTCTTGTAATTTCTGTATCACATCTGCACTCATTCCTGCTTGTTCTGTAGGTTGGTTGGCCACACCAGCAGCTTCAGCAGCAACAGCCTAGGATAGAAACAGATCTTAAACCATTTTATTCAGCAGGAGTCGACCAAAGGTAATCAAGAATTATCATTATATTACAACATGCAAGCAGTCTGCGAAACCATGCAACCAGGTTAATAAATCAATGAAAGTTTGTGTCAAAAGTGATCATAACCTGAGTCTTCTGGGGTCTTCATTCATCACTTTAGGTAAGGTAAAATATACAAGTAATAACATGATAAAGTCATAAGTATAGTTCAGCTGCTTTCCAACTAAGTCTTAACTAATAATGATGCCCAAAGATAATGAGGTACAAAAAAGATCAAATTGACTTAAACAAGAGGCACTTTCTTACAGAGACATAGCTAAATTTGATTATGCTGTTCATGCAGATCATTCTTCATTTTTTTTTTTTCATTACAGTAAGCATTGATTTCTCATGTCTACTGCTAACCTGTCGAATAGTGTGCCAGTACTGTATCAATAACTGAATGAAACTTACCGGTTGAGGAACTGTGGTGATACCAGCTTGAGGTTTCAAAGTAGCCAAAGCTTCTCTAGCCGCTGTGACTTCCTTGTTCAAACGGGCTATTACTCTGCAAGCAGCATCATGTTGATAAAGAGCATGACTTAATTCTTGTCTTGCAGTTTGTAGTTGCTGTCTTTGAGTGAAACTGTATAACATAACTGCATCCCATTCGTCTTGTAACAACTTCAAAGTTGCTGGAATGCTTGTAGCACTGGGAGGCTTCGGTTTTACAACTGGCGGGGCTGAAATTTGATTAGTGACAAGTTATTGTATACCACTTTGTTTTCGTGAGAACTTACTTTTTATTTCGATCAAGTCATCGATAGTCAACTCTTTGCCACTGATGGGGTCAACACCGTTCTCCTGAATATATTTTTCAATAATTCTTCTTTCGAATATAGCTCCGGATGAAGGCGAGACGACAGGATGCTCCGGTACCTCATTCGAAACTGGAAAATAGATGAGTTTAGCGAATGGTTAATTGGTGGATATTAAATCACGGAAATTTTGAAAGCAATGAACTTACTCGCACAAACTAATGCCATTATTTTAGAGTTTTTGCTGGTTTATTAACATCAAAACATGAATAAAAGACGCTGCCGGTGCCTTTCTTTGAGGTTGACAATAATTGACAAGTGACGTTGACATTGGCATGCTAACGACTTTCATCATGGCGGTTAACAGATTCATTGAATTCCCATTTTTTCAAAAAGTTTTAAATCTCAAATGCCCTTTGTTTTGAATGTAATATCAATTACAGTTCTAAAATGAAAATGAGAAATCTATTTTAAAGCAAACTAGAAATATATTTGGCAGCTAAAAGTATGCAAAATGTAGTTCCAGTGCCCAATCATTATGAATTCCGTGTTGCCGAACCTACCGATTTTTCGGTATTTCAACCGAAATGAGACGCCGAAATATTGAGTACGTCGTTTTCCACGATTGTTTAAGATGATTCAGGTATTTCTAGATTTTTTACCGAAAAACAGCTGGAACAAAAAAGTGGTAGGGCACACCAGGGACGATTTGGAATGCCTACAATTATGTACGCAAATATTGTATTCCGCTTTCCTATATTGGTTTTTGTGCATATTACAGATACAGACTGGTAGATTACCGTCATTACCTCATCACCGGACGAACAATAAGGAAACCGTAACTCGTCTGAATTTAATTTAATACTAATATGTCAGGTGGTACGGCTTCAGAGGTAAAACCGAAGTCAAAATCTTATAAACAAGAATGGCAAAAGGAGTTTCAATGATGGTTGTAAAGGAGTTTAGAGAGCGACATTGTACAAGTTTCAAAAAACCTTTGTCGTGTATGTACGCGCAAAACAAAAACTTACTTTTGTTTCATAGTGTCCCAAAGTCCCTTGCTGATCTTGTGACGGTGTTGATTTTTCCTCCCACCGATTTTGTCCTTGAATCTACCGAACCTCAAGGACACTGTCTACGGATTTATTCTTTTTCGGTTCGACAACACTGTCCAAGCTAGTTTGACCTAACCTCACTTTTCAGTGTCAACTGCAGAGCGAATGGGAAACAAAACAGTGTTGCTGGTGCACAATATGATAACCATGTTGCACCCTCAAAAAATGGCGGCTTATTCAAACTGACGTTGTCTGAATGGTCAGATTTAAATTTCCGGCGGTTTCTGCCTGGGCTTCTCGCAAGAATAACCTTACTTTTTCCGCATGCCATTTTCCTACGTACATAAACATTTCATTTTAATTGAATAAAGACCCTATTACGTTATTTAAGACATATGCCTCTTGTTCAGAGTTGTGAAGTATAAAAATGTAAGTAACCAAAGCTGTAATATATTTGTAAATACGATAAGACAAACTCCAAATCAAAACTGTTTCTTTTTTAATTCCTATTTTTCAATAAAGATGTAATTATGGATTTTATTCACCCGTGGATAAATAAATTAAATATGTATGGCTATATCAATACAGTTCGATTATCTGAAAAAACCGGTTTTCCGAACACCCGTGTCCCTCAATTAGTTCAGATAATCTAGGCTCTACTGCAATGGTATGTATGTATTTCATTAACTTAAAAAGTAAATGGCTATGTTAACTTTTATTATTTAGGTCAATAAAAAATTGAACGATGTATGTAAAAAGGCTGAAACACTATTTAATTTAGGATGATTCAATACAGTATAATATGTATCACAATTTTTTTAAAAACCAGTGTAAACTATTAATCTTCATCTTCTGAAGATGAACTACAGCTGCATGTAGATTCACTTGAGCTACTAGAACTAGAATCACTGGAACTATCAGAACTACTGTCTGAACTGTCGTAGCCACTAGAATCCTTCTCTTTCTCATTTATTTGCTCATCAGCTCCCACAGGAACATCAGTTTTTCCTTCCTCTTCAGCTTTTATACGATTTTTGAGCTGTTGTGTTCTTGATGATCTGTGTAAATATTTTCGTTTTACTTGAAATTCATAACTCCAGTGGCCATACTCCAGGCATTTTTGGCAACGAACTCCTTGAGGTGGATAGGTATTCTTACTGAAAATGAACAATGAATTAGAAAGTATTCAATAGGTGTTTTAAATAAATTACTTTTTGCTGAGGTATGACTTATTTATACTTCCTCCAATAGTCATATTTAGTTTTTGAAATATGCCTATTAATCCTTGAGTAAAGAGGAAAATGAAATAATATTTGCAAATATTGTAGATTAACGTTTGTTGTCACTTTTTCGATCGGGAACAAGAACAAAATGAATACCAGGGCAAAATGGCAGCTTTACAGCGGGGACGCTGAAGAAAGACAAGTGACACTATCAATATTGACAGTGTTGCCGACCATTTTTTCACCACGAAAAACGTTGAGGGATTTCCTGTGTAGCGCCTTATCAGGCCACGTAATGAATACTTGAATAAGTTAAATCATGACAGTTAAAACACAGGCAAGTAACTATTTTCGATTCCATTTGCGTCATTTTCCTCCCATGTAGAGTTGTGTTGTATGCACAATCTGGCAACCATATAAGTAATAAAGGGTTGTCCAATAGGGACGCAGGAAAGTAAACGTCAATTTGACATAGACGCCATCTTTGTTTTCTGTCACCGACATGTCATTTTGTTAGTTGAATCGTTGAATGTATACCATTGATCGCCATGGAGTCGTATTCGATTGAAGACCGCATTAAAGTTATTCAAGAGCACTACAAAAATGGTGCAAAAATAAAAAACACGTTTCGCGCGCTTCGTGAACATTTCGTTCGCAACAACCGCCCAAACGAAACAACCATCGGTCGTCTGGTGCGTAAATTCGAGGTAACAGGTTCTGTGGCAAATCTGCCAGGCTCTGGCCGGCCAAGGAGCGTTTGCACACCGGAAAATATTGATGTTGTGAAGGAGAGTGTGAGAGACGATCCGAAACAATCAACAACGCGTCGATCCCAAGAATTGGGCATTTCGAGAACCAGTTTGCTCCGCATTCTCCACAAGGATTTGAATGTACACGTCCACAAGATCCAATTGATGCAAGAGCTGCGTCGGGCCGACCATTGTTCGCGCCGAACGTTCTCAGATTGGCTCCTTGAACACCGCCAAATTGATGCCTATTTTTCATCAAAAATCATGTTCAGCGACGAAGCGCATTTCACTTTGAATGGGACGGTAAACAAGCAAAACTGCCGCATCTGAGCGAACGAAAATCCCCGTGAGTATCAAGAGCAGCCGATGCATCCTCAAAAAGTGACTGTGTGGTGTGCATTGTGGTCAAAAGGCATCATCGGACCTTACTTTTTCGAAAATGCGGCCGGGGACGCCGTTACCGTCAATTCTGAGCGATATCACGTGATGATAGAGGACTATTTTTTGCCGCAACTTGAAGGAATGGATATGGACGATGTTTATTTCCAACAAGACGATGCAACATGCCACACAACCAACGTCAATATCCATCGATTGCAGTCCTTCTTCGGTGATCGCGTGATTTCGCGCAGAGGAAATGTGCCATGGCCACCAAGATGTTGCGATTTGACTCCCTTGGACTTCTTTTTATGGGGATATTTGAAAAGCTAAGTCTACGTCAACAAACCAGCCACCCTCCAAGAACTCAGCAACAACATCATTGCCGAGATAAACGCCATAGAACTGACCATGTTGCAAAATGTCATTGAAAATTTCGACCATCGCGTGGACGTCTGTAAATCCAGTCGTGGTGAACATTTGAGCGATATTATTTTTCATACATAAATGGTATAAATGAACCTTCAAAATAAAGTACTCAACTTGATTTGAATATCAATCTTTCTTGTTTTAATATGCGTTTACTTTCCTGCGTCTGTTTTGGACAACCCCATATAATACTCCGGTGCTCCTGCTAGGGGGAAGTCAGGGGGGTGAAACTCATATGAGCGAATGGGAAACAAAGCAGTGTTGCTAGTGCACAATATGAAAACCATGTTGCACCCTCAAAAATGGCGGCTTATTCACAACTGACGTTGTCTGATTGGTCAGATTTAAATTTCCGGCGGGTTGCTGCGTGGACTTCATTTTAAATCAGCTATTTTCAGAGCAGCAGGGTTGATATGCAAAGCTTACTATAGTTGCAATGAAATCGAAGCCACATGTTGTTATTGAACAACAACATGGGTGCCTGCAGGGTGGTGTCAGAGGGGTCATGGCCTCTTCTGGGAATCTGCTTTGACTTTAATGTTTGCATGCTTTTGTGAACAACTTTGAGATTTTTTTTAGGATTTGTCTCTGCCTGAGAAAATTGCTTCCTCTGCTCATCAAAAAATTTTGGAGGCAGGTACAATTTCACAAAAAGTTATCTCTTGATGATGATTAGCACCTCTGAGACAAATTCCTGTGGGTACCCATGGACAATAATATTATTGTTCTAATAAAAAAGAAATCCGAAATTGTAGTCACATGTCAACACAATTCAACTGTTTCCTAATTTTTGATTTATGCAGGTACCAATAAAGGCTGGGGAATGAAAACATCTGGACCATAATGATGTTAATACTGATTTGTTTCTAGAAAAATGTGTCAGATTTATATAATGAATATATATTTAGGTATTTGCAATATATGTTTTTCTTTTGAACCTTTCCAGATTAGTAAGTAGAGTGATCTTGTAACAGCTTGTGTTATTGACATTGCTATTTTAACCTACAAAAAAGCATTTATTCGTCAAGATAGCGCAAAATATTAATAGCACATGCTGTTATAAGATCTCACAAATCCCACCAAATTTTTATATACATAAAAGTATAGCAATCTCAGATTTAAATGAAGAGCTGAGAACGTTGCGGGATATTAACGCACAATCTGGCAACCATGTCACACCCTCAAAAAATGGCCGCTGACAGCGACGCAAGTCACCGTGTTGCCATTGAATAGCATGGAATTAAACCTTCTTCAGTGTATATGTTTTGTGGTCAACAGGGTCCTAAAAACAATATTTATCATTTATCTCAGTTTAAATTTAAAGGTGGCAAAAGTACCATGAACTTTTTAAATACTTCTCACAGATATTTTATACAGTACATGTTGAACCATGGTACAAGTACCGTTGAAAATGCTATAAAGTTTTCCGCCAAAGTTACTGGTGGTAAGCGGAGTTTGAAGTAGCTCAAATGGGGCATTTTGTTAAACGGTCAAATACTTTCAGGATCTGTGAACGATGCAAACTCTTTGAAAACATTAGTGACACAAATCAATGGTGTAATATCCAAGCAGGGCTTCAAGATGGTCTTCACAACATGCGAAGTCACAGACCAGAATCTTATAATTTGGTTAAACACAAAGAATGACCACATAACACAGTTACAAAATGTATTCACTCTAGCCCAATTAGAATATTTTCATGCTATTCTAATGGAGATAATAAATTCAGTGGAGTATAGGATAACTTACCCAGGTCAGTAGCGCTCTATATTCACCCTAATGGGCTTAGGGGACACAAGTGCAGGGCTCCAAATTGCATCCTTAAATATCACATATTTCTGAGAAAATTTTTGAGGATCTTTGCCTCGCTCTTCAATTGAATCGGTTAGTGCAAAAACCTTGTACCATAATTTTAATTTTTCAGAATACAATTAACTTTTCACTGACAAATAAAACAGTTTTAAAGTACTTTTTTGGGTATTTGAATACTAAGAGGTTGAAATTTTGAATAACATTAACAATAAATTATTAGGTAAAAGCATAAAAAATTGTTATTAACTTATGTTGTTTTGGCAGTAAATAGAATTAGTGATAAATAACTTAAACTAAAGATTCATATTTTTTATTAATTATTATTGAAAGCTAAGTATACCCATAGGTAATGGTAAATAATTTAACAGCAGCTTCCTTTCAAAGCAATATTTAGATTGAGTTAAATTTTCTTGGTCTAAAAGTCAAAGGCAACCAAAATACAGGTTGATAAACTTATTGTAATTTTTTTAAATTTTGGCCATAAATTTAGCATTTACTCTTTGTTTTTAAGGAAATTTGACATATGAGGGTTTTTATATGGCAAATTTACTTTTGAAATGACCTATTGAAGTTGCTACCATCATGTGTAAAAACTATGTAAGTCCCAGGTTTATGATGCTTTTGCACTGAATGTTGATTGTGTAGTGCTTGAAGGGTATTATGCCCAGATTATGTGCATCTACGTTTAATGAAGCATTTTCCGTAAAAAAAAGGTTTTTTCAATGATGATTTAGTTGTGACCAACATGTGCCAAGATCTTATTGGCCATCAGTCTCTGCATCACTCAACACACTGATGTTACTAGTATAAAGACAATTTATCAGTGTACTTATCTAAATGTGGGTGTTTTTATTCTAGAATGTTTGAATATTACCTGTTCACTGAAGTTTCCTGTAACAAGAGATGCAGGCCAAGAAGTATTTGAGGAATGGATTAAAGGAGGTTACTATGTGAAACAAACAAATTTTGTATACCTTGGTCCGCGCTTGATTCAGGAATTTTCTGCGTATTTGAAAACTTGCTGTCCAAGCAATGTGTGCATTCTTTGTCAGGAACTAGTGTTTTTTGTAAGTATAAAAAATGATAATTTATATTAGTTTGTACTGTTAAGCTTTATAACTTCAGCCGTTTAATCAAATTTATCTTATACATTGTTGCTAAAAACAAGAGTTAGATTAACAACAAATTGACCAGATTTACAATACTTGGGATAGCAGTAAATTTAATTAAAAATGAAAATATATATTTGTATTTGTATACCTGTCGAATTATGTTTTTTAAATAATGTTAATTGATTATTTCAGGGAAAGAGTTGTGGTTCCTGTAGAAAAATGTTACATTCCTATTGTCTCACAAAGTATTTCCAAACTGTCCGTCAATGTCCTGGCTGTCAAAGCAACTGGATAGAGGATAATAGGAATACAAATCATGCTGGATCTGATTCGGATGACTGATAACTGTTTAAGTACCATTTTATCTGTCGAAATTTATCATTTTATTCTGTTGGTTACATGTTATTTTTACAGTGTTGCAATAAACTGTTTTCTAAAAAAATGCATCTCATTTGTTGTTTCTTTACAATTAATTCAAACAATCTTTATTGTTGACATATACCTTAGAAAATACAACTAGAGTTGTGGGAGTAATGTGCACCCCAGAGTTTTGATATTGCTCTACAGTGGAACAAACACGATATTAACAATGTAAATAGTGCAAGTAGCATATTTAAGTGTGCCTTACGCAATCATTGAATCATTGAGTAATGCTTTATGTTGATACCTTTTTTTACAGTAAAATTATTTTGTCAAAATTGCCAAACATTGGGAGTAATGGTCATTATGATTAGGTAGTGGATACATGGTGGTGGCAGTAATGGGCACATTTACAAATGAAGGGTTTTATTCACATTTAGCCATTTCAGGTATATCATTTTATTTTTAGAAGTCGGATTATTAATCACTTAACTAACAAAGACGTTCAAGAAAAGCCAAATATTGATGAAATTAAGAATCGTGATGGAACAATATTAACAGATAAACGAAAAATATCCGATGCATTCTTAAATTTTTTCACTAATGTTGGAGAAAATTTAGCATCCAGTATTAAAAAAATGGTTTCGAACTAAAAGTTCACAAAAACCCAACTTCCCAATTCATTCTTTTTAGAAAGCGTTAGTCCGATTGAAGTACAAGAAGCTGTCCTATCACTTGAAACCAAAAAAAGTCCTGGTGTTGATGGTATCAAAGCTGACCATTTAAAAATAATAGCGTACGACTTAGCCGAACCACTTTCTTACGTCATTAATTGGTGTTTCCAATCTGGAATTTGTCCTGATGCATTTAAAACAACTGTTATTACTCCTGTTTATAAAAGCGGTGACAGAATGGAAACATCAAATTATAGACCCATATCAGTACTATCGAATATAGCCAAAATTTTCGAAAAATTACTACAAAAAAGGATATTACAATTTTTGGACAAAAACAAAATTATATGTTCTGACCAATATGGATTTAGAAAAGGAAAATCTACTACAGATGCAATTTTGGCTGCAATGGATGAAATTAACTCTAATGTCAACAAAAAGATACCTACTATTGGTATCTTTGTTGATCTAAAAAATGCCTTTGATACGGTTAACCATGTCGAGCTTCTGAAAGTTATGGAAAGATTGGGATTTAGGGGAGCGTCACAAATCCTTTTAAAAAATTACCTTTCAAGTCAGGCACAGACTGTCAAAATCACTAACACTTACAGTAAAAAAATGTACATCAAGTGTGGTGTGCCTCAAGGAACAGTACTAGGCCCACTATTATTTAGTCTCTACTTAAATGACTTATTCAAAATTAACAGTTCTGGAAAGATTATATGTTTTGCAGATGACACCCTCGTATTATATAAAGCTGATGACTGGAGCACACTGAAGCAAATATCTGAAAAGTATTTTATAAGGATCATTGACTGGTTTGATACCAAAATTTTAACAGTTAACTTCAAAAAAACAAAATTTATTGCATTCAAAATTTTTATCTGCCTTCGAACAAATTTCCCTTAATTATCATGGCCAAAAGACCAAAATCGATAGAGTTAACACTTTGAAATATCTTGGAATATCTATAGACTCATATCTAAGGTGGGATAACCATATTAAATATGTTTTCAAAAAAATTAGAAATGTTGCCTATAAACTCAAAATGCTTGCTAACATTCTTACAGAAAGTTATCTGCGAATCCTATACCATGCCTTAGTTGACACCCATATAATATACGGCATCACAGCCTGGGGTGCCGCCTGCAAGTCATATATTTCTGACCTGAATATAGCACAAAAAACTGTTTTGAAAGCCATTTTCCATAAGCCAAGATTATATCCAACAAACAACTTATATCAAGAAACAGGGATACTTGATACAAGACAACTTTATTTCTTACATGCCACCACCTTATACCACAAGTATTGTAATAAAAAGAAAAAATCCTATAAACACGAGCATAACACACGATTTCGAATAGGCTCATCTAATATCCAAAGACCACACAAAACATTATTCAAAAAATCATTTAAATTCTTAGCAGCTAAATTATATAATGTAGTACCAAACGAAATAAAGATACTTAATTTTGGAAAAATAATTAGAAGAAAATTGAAAGACTGGGTTAGTAATGTGCATATATATCCATACCACGTACAGCGTGTTCAAGCTCTTCTGCCCCGGGATTATGAGCCCCGAGTTGCTTTTTGTCGCACAATGTTAGAAAGACACAGGGAAGATCCACGGTTCTTTGAAAACATTTTATGGTCAGATGAGACCACATTTAAGAAAGATGGGTACATGAACCTGCATAACTTACACGAGTGGCACGTAGCAAACCCACATTTGATGAGAGAAGATAAATCTCAGATTTGAATCCGTTAGATTTTTTTTACTGGGGAACTGTAAAAGAAAAAGTGTATTTCAAGCCGATTCAACATGTAGCTCAGCTACGGCAAAGAATATTGGAAGCAGCTGAGTTTGTTAATAACCGTGGATTCGCTCGTTTAATAACCCGATCTTTTTTAAATGTCGAGCGTGTATTGCGGCTGAAGGAAAACAGTTTGAGCATTTGCTGTAAAGGTAAATCATCATCAGCAGCATTTTGACGCCCAATGTTGTGCAAACAGTTATCCTTAAGGGTCCTTGTGCGTTTTCATAATCGCTGTTTAATTAGGAAATTTTGAAAAAATTTCAGTTTTTCTTCAAATAAAAATTGTGCATAAGTTAACGAGTAATCTTCTAAGTGTTATACCATTTTGGAATCGTTATTAAATGCGCCAACTTTTAAGGTTACTTGCCAAACTCTCGTAGTACATTTTTTCCAGTACAGCCAGTTAAAGTTGAGCAAAGTTTTACTTTGGAATACTTGGTTGGGAAATAAGTGGCAATTTTTCCTGAACGAGAAAAGTTGGCAGTAAGGTTGAGACACCAGTTTGAAGATGCAATATTCATCATTACATTGTAAAAATAAAATCCAAAAAAAGTTAATATTTGTAGTAACAGGAGTTGACAGACTGCCGTAGGGTGTGAAATTTGTATATCTTTTTCAAAGACCTATAATTTTCAAAACACATACATAAAATTTTTTTAAATATTTTTCTGATAGCTGTAATGACTTTGCCTATCACCCGGTTTCGGCTTGACGTCGACTTCTGGGACACCCTGTATACGATGGCCAGGCGTGTCAATAAACAAATTGAAATTAGAGTGCAAAAAGGTGCTAGCAACAAGGAGCTAACCCCTTTTCACCCATAATTAACACCTTTTAAAGTTTGCAGATTGGAGTTTTTGATATAGCTAACACTTTTATTAATCTCTGTATCTAAGTACTGAGAGCCATCTTTGGCCTGGACGATGTACTACAAAAAAGCACACTTTTAACACCTTTTTATACTACAAATCTTGAATCCGAAAAAATTGTCCAAAGTCTTCAATTGTAGAATCGACTGACGCCTAAGCTCCGAGTTCCATCTGTTTAAAGTATTATCTTTTCTTAGAATTCAGGATATTAAGAAGCCGTATACTGTTAATATTTTATTAAGCGCAATCATAATTACATAATATAGCGTTTATTGCAAAATAAAATGATTCTCTAAAAAGTGTAATCGTCCGGTATTAAAATGAACAGGATCATTTGGGAGATTTCTTATTTCTACGTCGAGGTCCTTGAGAACTATCACTGTGACCGTACAGGGTGTTTAACAAATTTTCGAGATCTGGTCTGTCCGCCTGTGGAGTGGTGTGTCGCTTAGGTTGGTTGTTCTGTTTGCCTAACGCGATTCGGTACTGGACATGATGCGAGTCTGGTCGCAAGTGTTTCAGACTGTCTTTCTGGCATCCGGCCCATTCGGTTATGTCGTAAACGGCACCCTCCATGCACGCGTAGTAGTGCCATAGGAATCCGAACACCTAAAAAAATAAATACAAGTTGAGTCATTTATTTTAACAGCTTGTAGAACTCGTCAATAGAAGATGATGTACCAAAAATCACCTATACAAAGGTTGCATAATAAGAGAGTTTACATTATTGTAGCGTTTTTTCTGGGTTCTTTTGGGTGTGGATCAAAACACTGGGTTCCACAAAAAGAAATGCACTAATTTATATAACTTGATAAAACATTTATACACCACTATTTTTTTCAAACTATAGATATAACAAAAATTATAGTACCAACCACTCACCATTAGATAAAAAATGTCCAACTTTTCTATATTATCAACAGCAGTACAACTTGAAAATCCTTTTTTAAGAAAGAAGAAATTTTAGCCAAAATTTTAGAATATTGCATCATTTATGACACACGACTATGTAAATAACTTCCAAATTCAACGTATTAGTACTAATACTGCTCATGATACTAGCGAGCTAGATTCTTTTTTACAAAATCCTGAAATATCTGTTAGAATTTATCATATGAACATCAGAAGTATAAAACATAACTTTGACTACTTTAAATTAATTTTGAAAAGAATACAAAGTGATATAGATATAATCATTCTATCCGAAACATGGCAAGTGGGCGATGTGACTCTGTTTCATTTAGAAGGGTACGATACATTGTATAATTTTGGTAACCATAATCAAAACGATGGAGTGATGGTGTATGTACGAAACAATCTGCCTTATAACCATACCATATTTACAATCAACAATGAACTAAAAGGTATCAATCTAACAATGCAAATTGAAAATCGTAGAGTCAAAATTACTTGTGTTTACCGACCACCATCTTCAGATCCTCATACATTTATAAGAGACATAGATGAACTATTAAAAAACAATGAAAACAATCACCTTCATAATCAAATATTTATAGGCGACATCAATATAAACATTTTAGAGGAAAATTCTATGGTGAAAGAATATTTAAACATTTTATCAAGTAATGGTTTTTTATCATACATAAATAAAGTAACACGACCCACCAGTAAAACCTGCATTGATCACTGCTTTATAAAGGATATTTCCAATATTTTTTCTTACATGCCTATTATCTATGAAACCGATATTACAGATCATTATTCCACTGTATTATTAATATCTTCACAAAATAAAAACCAGAACTGCCCAAGGGCAAAAAATGAAAGAAACCTTGAATACAAATATTTCACTGACAACTCAAAATTAATATTTAACGCACAAACGGAATCGTGGGAAGACATTTTTTTAACAAATTCGTTAGACGAAGCTACAAATTTATTAATACACAAAATTCAAAAAGTAATTGAAGTTAGTACTAATAAGGTTAAAATAAGTCACAAGGAAAAAAGCAGAAATGATTGGATGACCAAAGGACTAATAAAATCTGCAAACGAAAAAGAAAGACTGTATAAAATCATGAAATATTTACCCACGAAAGAAAATATAGATCATTATAATCAGTATAAAAACAAATTTATAGAACTTTTAAGAATAGCAAAAAAAAATTACTATATAAAACAATTGAATAATAATTCACATGACTCTAGACACCTATGGTCCACTGTCAATGATATATTCAATAAGTCATCCTATTCAAAAAACAATATTAATGAAATAAAAACAAAAACAGGACAGAAAACAGACAATATTCAGCAAATATGTGATGAGTTCATAGAATTTTTCACGAATATAGGAGGAAACTTAGCAAATAATATCAAACAAAATGCTGATATTCATCTGCATGAAACAAGACTGAATAATTCATTTGTATTAACTGAAGTAGACTATCAGGATGTTTTCAATTCCATTATGACTCTAAAAAATAAAAAAGCCCTGGAGTTGACGAAATTAGAGCTGAACATCTAAAGATACTGGCCAAACAAATAACAGAACCACTTGCTTATATCATTAACAAATCCTTCCAATCTGGAGTATTTCCATCAGCTTTCAAGACAGCAATCATCATACCTATCTATAAATCTAATGATAATACGGACGTCACTAACTATCGACCTATTTCACTTATATCAAGTTTAGCTAAAGTTTTTGAGAAATTACTACTTAATAAAATGATTAATTTTCTTAATAAATTCAAAATTCTAAATTCAAATCAATATGGTTTTATAGCGGGCAAATCTACAACAGATGGGGTATTAAGTATAGTAGATGAAATAACCCAAAATATAGATGGAAAAGTACCATCGATATGCGTATTTGTGGACTTACAAAAAGCGTTTGACACAGTTAACCACAATATACTTTTGGAAATCTTAGAAAGAATAGGTTTTCGTGGAAAGATGTATACTTTAATGGAAAATTATTTATCAAATAGACCGCAATCAGTAAAATTATTAAACTCGTATAGTAAAGAAATTTTGTTAAATGTGGTGTTCCACAAGGTACAATTTTGGGTCCTCTGTTATTCAATATTTATTTAAACGATATATTCAAAATTAACAGTACTGGTAAAATAGTCAGTTTTGCAGACGATACTGCTATACTCTATAAAGGTAAGGATTGGAACGACTTAAAAGATATTATCCAAAATGACTTTTGCAAAATTATTCAGTGGTTTAATAACCGAAAATTAACAATTAACTTTATTAAAACTCATTTTTTACCATTTTCATTACTATCTAATCATCTACCAAAATATAACCACCTTCGGTTTAAGGTAAATGATAAAAATATAAAAATCAATAGAGTTAATGATACAAAATATTTAGGAATTTATCTAGATCCCCACTTGAGATGGGATGTACATATTTCTCACATACTAAAGAAAATTAGATTCATAGCATATAAAATAAAATTTCTAACCGGTATATTAACTGAATATTATCTACGAATAATATATCAAGCTTTAGTCGAACCACACATAACATATGGTATAGTAGTGTGGGGTGCTGCATGCACGACATACTTTAACGATTTAGATGTACTTCAAAGAAGAATTTTAAAATCAATGTTAGGCAAATCAAAATTATACCCAACTAATGACTTATATAATGATGCACAAGTATATGATAGTAAACAACTTTACTTCTTACATACCATCACTCATTATCACAAAACTATTAGTGAACACGACATAATTAAACATAATCATAAAACCAGATATAAATTACGCGCAAAAAATGTTCCTAAACCAAACAAATCCCTAATGAAACGATGTCACCTGTATATAGCTCCAAAATTATACGAACACTTACCAAATAATTTAAAACAATTACGCTTCAAAAAAAAATTAAAAAAATTTATTAACACGATTGGGAGAAATCAAATTAATAAAATAATCTCAAATATTACACAATAAATGTTCTACCATTCTTACCAATAATTTCTTTTTTCTCTCTATTTTATTATATTTTGCAATTCAACATACATATGATCCATGCACAGGCGTTGTCCTTCTATGGATATATTATATTTATTTACTCGTTTCATGTTCCCTGTATTTTAGAGTAAATAAATATTATTATTATTATTTATGTCTGACTAATTCTTATGTCGCCATTGACTGCACTATACTCCACTTCGCTCTGCTACTCATACTCTACTGTATTCAGTACTCTCCTCCGTCTCCCGGCCGCGGAGTTACGAGGGATGTCTTTTAAGTTTTGCATATGGAAATAAAACAACACGGTAGGTAGTTTTAAATGACTTTATTGTTTTTCGAAGTACATATTCTCCACGAAGATTAATACACATCTGCATGCGCTAGAACCAATTTTCGAAGCACTTATTCCACTCGTTTAGTAGTAGTAGTAGTAGATAGATTTATTTAGCACATTCGGCTACATAAACAGAACAATTGTAAACAACTTAGAACTAGTAAATACAAGCCATATGGTGTATGATGTAAATGCTGGGCAACCTATAATTGTAGATTTAACAAGTGATTTCTCAATTTTACTTTAAATTTTGTCAAAGTTTTCTGGTCTTTTATCTCCGAGTATAATTTATTATATTCAATCAACCCTTGATGGAATACAGATTTGTAGCATATGTTATACTTTTTGGTCATTAAATGGAAGTCATATTTATTTCTGGTATTATGTAAATGATGGTCGACATTTGATGATGTTGAATTAGTTAGACTTGATGGAAATATATTATTTTTTACTTTATAAATGAATATCATTACAAGATATTTGATAAAATTTTTTACATTGAGCCATTTTAATTTGCTAAGCATTTGCCTAATTGGAGTATATTTATCTTTATTTGGTATTATTCTCATGCACTTATTTTGTAAAATTTGCAGTCTTTCAAAAATTGAATTATTTGCTAAATATAGAATAGTCGAACAGTACAAGAAATTTGGAAGAATGATGGTATTATAGATAATTTTTCTGCTATATGAACTCAGACATCCAGAAACTCTCGATAAATATCCCACTTTACTACTAATCTTATTTATAACTTTTTCATAATGAATATCAAAAATTAATCGAGAGTCAACAAAAACTCCCAGGTATTTAAAATTTTCTACGAATTCAATATCTTCACCATCAATATTTAGTTGAACATTTGTACATTGTTTTTTTTTCCGATTAACAAGGCTTTCGTTTTACTTGCATTTAATTTTAGTCTGTTAGATGCTAACCATTTTGAGACAAGCTTCAAGTCTTCATTTATATAAGAGATACCAGACTGAATATTTTTAGTACTTATATAAATCATAGTGTCATCGGCAAAAATTTGAATTTTGCATTTTTTGACTATGGCAGGTAAATCATTTATGTATAAAAAAAAGAAGTGGTCCCAGGATACTGCCCTGTGGAACACCCAACGTATTTTCAATTTTTGATGAAATAGTGTCATTAACTTTTGTAACTTGCATCCTTTTAGACAAATAATTTCTAAACCAATCTAAAACACTTCCTGTTATACCATATGCCTTCAATTTACCTAACAAAATATCTCTATCAATCGTTTCAAATGCCCTCTTCAAATCCAAAAATACTGCTATGACAACTTCTTC